TGGAAGTATTTTAGGCAAATGCTTTCGCAGTTGTTTGTCTCCAGAAAATCTAAGAATTTCACCTCTGACATCTGAATACAAATGCCCCCAAGCTACTCCTATTAATCGTAACTAAGCAAAAATAAGAAAAAAAAACAAAATTTTGACTTGTTCAATTTTGTTATTCCATGCTGTAGTATTCAAACGCAGTAAATGCTATATCTGTTTGCTTTGAACACTCTAATTTACTCAAAGTAACAAAATCATCAAAGCTATTAAAAATAACTATGATAATTTTAAAAAGAATCATTTTAATTAAAAGAACACATAATAGCAAAATGCGCACAAAGTCGATACGTAATGTATCAGTTATGTGGATTAAGCTAAAAGCGTTACTTAAAATATCGATTCTTTGAAATTCAACTACGAGCGTTTTAACTGCAACAATTTTAATATACGCTATTGGAGCTGGAATTACCGCGGCTGCTGGCACCAGACTTGCCCTCCAATTGTATTTTGGGAAGGTTTTAAATTCCCATCATTCCAATTACAAAGCCAGATTGGCCTTGTATTGTTATTTCTTGTCACTACCTCTCTTCTTTAGAATTGGGTAATTTACGCGCCTGCTGCCTTCCTTAGATGTGGTAGCTATTTCTCAGGCTCCCTCTCCGGAATCGAACTCTAATTCCCCGTTACCCGTCATAGCCATGTTAGGCCAATACCCTAACATCAAAAGCTGATAGGTCAGAAACTCGATTGATAAACACTAAAATAAACTTAGTTTATTACGTGTTACTTCTTTGTTATAATTCCTTAAGTTATTAACTTTTCTCTTATAAGGCTTAACAAGTACATACTCAAGAACTTAATCAAGAGTATTAAAAGCAAGTATTAGCTACAGCTTTTCCGTAGTTATCCTTATAGTAAAAAATGTCAAGTAGATTATAACTGTTTTAATGAGCCGTTCGCAGTTTCTACATATAAAATATGCATATACTTTCACTTGCATGGCTTAATCTTTGAGACAAGCATATGACTACTGGCAAGATCAACCAGGTTACTATTTCATATTATCATAGAACTAATAGCTAAAAAGAAGTAAAATATCATAGTAAAAGAATATTATAAATAAAAATTGCTTTTTACCCATATTTTCTTTCTCTATCATATGTTTCTGCTTTTATTACTATTATTCTGTATAATACAAAACTTTTCTTAAAATTCTTTTGAAATAATACCATAATATATTTAAATAATATATTATTTATTATATAATTTAACCAATTTGATGTTTTATGTGTTATTTTCCTAATTCATTAAATTATATTTTCTTTATAATTTTATGATAGGAGTAAATACACCTTCCGAATCGTAAAGCATATAAGCTAAAAACGAATGATTTTAATTGCTTATAAATAAAATCTTTACCTCCAGAATGATGCCTTTTTATATTAACACTGTTTAATTATAGTATACATTTTAACAGAATATCCTTTAAAATTTATACATAGCAAAAACTAATTATATTTTTCCCTATATAATATAATAATTTTTTTTTTATTATTTATTAAGCGCCCCATCCTTATAATGGATAAACTTAATAAATTAACTGGTCTACTTTTCAAGAAGAATCATAAAATTATAAATAAAATATTAATAACTTAATATTACAGTATTCAATAAAAATACTGCAAAATTAAGTTATTAAAACTAATCATAATTAAAAAAACATACTTATTTTTTTATTCTTTTTTGAACTTCATAAGCATGTATAATTACTACCCTAGAAAAATATCATTAAAACCTAGGGATAAAAATTACAATTTTATTTATAAATTCAATTTGAACTTAAAAATAAACTTATAATTTTTTTTTTAATTCTTTTTTTACTTTAAAATAGCAAATTTTTTTTTTAAATTTTTTTATTTCCTTTTTAATTACGTGGCTGCCTCACATTCTTACGTTGAATCATTTATTACGAATTTTTTTTTTTTTTAATAAATGCAGTATATTTTGAATGAATATGGATATTATGCTCAAACCACTAAATTAAGTGTTCTTTTTTTTTATGTATATTTTTAATATTCTAATGTACTACAATATTCCCCCCCCACCCTGTTTGTTATCTGAGTCATATAGTTCATATGTATCGGCTTGTTATTCAATTTTATTGCACTATTATTAATATTTTAATTTTCTAACTTTAGACCGTAATATTACATATACTAAAATGTAAGCTTTTTATGGGGCACCAAAAATAACCCGACTAATAGCGAAAATAATTTGTATCTTTGGCCTTCGAGAACATAGATGCAGGTGGAAAACATAATATATCTACATTAAGTAATTATGTATTCAATGAAAAAATAATTTATTATATAATTATAACAGAGTTGTGCACTAACATGTTTTCCCTTGGAATTAATATCTTATATAAGATTCTTTATTCTATGGTGAATAAAATACATTAATGTAAATAATGTATTTAGGATTAGATTCTCTTCATTAAAATTAGTAATTTTTTATTTTTCCATTTTAAGTGCACCTTTTATATTCTCTGTTCATGACAGAGTTATTAATTTACTCATTTATCTATATGAAAAAAGGTGAAGAACAAGCCTCATAATAGAAAATGTTTATTTTTATATTTGTGTTAACTTAAAAAGATAACAAGTTATCTCATCACTTTAAGATGCACTTGGATTGGACTATTATTCATGTACATTTTTACTAATACAAATGTACGTAACGTTCCTCATATATATCATCTATTATTAGTATTTTTCATTTATTCCTTTTATAAAGTAAATAATATATATATGAACTTCATTTTTTTTTTTTTTCCATAGAGAAAAAATTCCTGCAAATAGTCATGAACACTTCATTTTACAGTAAAAATAATTCATAAAAAAAAAATATGAAGGAGAATATATTTTACATATTATTTAAAAGTTAATAATACAGGAGTCTCTAATGATTTATATGTTCCCATTTTTAAGCCAAAAAAAAAAAATTTACAGATTCTTGCTCATTAAGAGAATAACCGAAGCATATTACAGGTACACAGAAAAATCAGCACCATAACAATATAATATCTCTTTATAAATTGATAACTTAATAACGAATGATAGCAATGCTATTCGTGTTAACATGTTCGTACACAGAGATTTGTCATGCCTCCACTTCATTCCATTTAGTAGAACGAATTTTTACTTTCTCCCCTTTAAATCACATACATTTATTCATTAGTAAACAACAAAAGATTTTTTTTTTTTTTTTTTTTTTCGTCCTTTATTCCAAGTTGATCCACTTTGTTGCAAACGCACAATGTGGAAAAAAATGTTAATGTATATGTTCTTCAAAATGTAATACATTATTTTATTCATTCTATTTCCCCCTATATTACAATAACATTTTGTGCTACAAGTTCTTTTAAAAATGTATTATCACCATTTTATGGTTAAGGTCAAATATGTTTAATTCTTCTAAAGTTAAATTAAACAGAATTATTCAAAGAGAACTCATTGTTAAAAACAAAATTTTTGAATGCAAAAAAAAAAAATAAACAATAACTGTAGCAAATATATGTACATATATGCATATATATATATATACCAAAATATTCAATAATATATAAGGAAACACATCATATATATTTAACTCATTCCCAATTATATACACATACACGTATGTATTGCCGCACATGTGGCAATGTGAAATAATGTACTTCCATATATTCATGCTATCGAAATGCCGGAAATATAATTAATTCACCATCTTATTTTTATATAAGGATGCACATAACCCCACTGTGTATCCCTCATCATGTACACAGAACACTTTACCCAACACTTCTCTCTATATGTAACGATCCTTTGGAACAATTTATTTTGTGCTAACTTTTTGAAAATCTTATACGATATAAAATGATAAACCAGTATAGGAAAAAATGAAATAATTACGCTACAAAATTTTTTTTAATAGCATTTTCAATTATATAGCCCTCTTTTTTTTTTTTTTTTTTTTTTGGTACATAGTTACATGCTGTAGTAAATTAATTTTAAACAAAGTTCTGTGATGCTTGAAAATCAAGTTTACTTTATTCAGAACGGTACATTTTGGTCTTTTTTCTTAATGTAATAAATTTATTTTATGAATATTCATATACTACACTACAAGTACTATAATTTGTTGTAACCTTCAGAATGAATAAAATTTGTTAAATAATTCTTCTTGTGCGAGAAATGTCCAAAAGACACATTTCCGATTCATACAAAATATCATTCTTAGAACTTTTGCTAAGATACTGTTCCATGAACTTCTCCTTTTTACAGTAGCTTGTGTCATTTCAGAACTGAAAACTTATCTACATTTTAATGTGTCGTAACTCAATAAAGAGACACTAATTCAAAAATATATTTAAAAACAGTTTGCTTTACATAGACATTATAACAAACCTTTAAATATGTTTTAAACATAAACATTTAAGAACTATTTCCCGAAATTTGTGAAATATAAAGTCATTTTCACATTCCCTTTGAACGTGTACTATTCGTACGATTGTAATAAGTGTAACACATGCACTATGCCATTACCATTTATATATAAGCACCTCTTAATAGAATTATTGTAAGTTTGTTTTTTCTAGTTATTTGTTCATACCAAAATACTTATATACAAAATGTTTATTTTTATTTTATTTTTTGCCCACATGTATTTTAATTCATGATAGTTTCCCCCTTCCAATAAAAAATTTAATGGTATAAAAATAAATATGTTATTTAAAATACCATCAAATGCATTTCTTCTTTGAATTATATGTTTTTAAAATAAATGATAATGTATCCAAAACTTTGTGAGCATTTTTCAAGACCTTAAAAAAAAAAAAAAAAAAAACATTTAAAAATAACACGTATAAACTAAAAATTTTATCATCACAGCTGGAATATTTTAAAATATATATAATGAAAAAATAATTGCAAATCAAAAGTAATAACCAAAAAAAAAAAAAAAAAAAAATCCACATGCGACACAAAAATAAATGCCCACATTACATTTTTTCCACCAACATATCCCCTCTTTTTTTAATGCCACTATATACAAGCAACTTCATGAAAAAATTCGTTACTAAATCTGCCACAATAAAATAAAAAACATTGATAGGAGAAAAAATGTTGGAATTATTTATTATATAACCTTTTTACTTGTGAAGAATAAAATTGCAAGAAAATTCATTCATTCAAATAGTAACACATAACACATGTATATTTATCATTCTCCATTTATACATATACTATCACATACCCCAAGACTTTCCGAACTAAGAAGGGATGAATATACAGAAAAAGAGCCAACCTTATAGAAGTGGACAGAAGTATGAATATTTCCAATAAAGAATCAGCACATACAAGTATAAAAAGGGAAAAGGAAAAAAAAAAAAAACAAAAAACAAAGCATTCCAAGGGCGAATATAACGGAAGAAGAAATAGTTTTAAAAATGTACATCCTGAAGAATATTTAAAACCAGTGAAATTCGTCAGTGGCGGATTTCTCAACAATAAAAAAAAAATAACAGCAGAAAATCAGGACTTGGATAATTTAAATTACACTTTAAGTGACAATGATTCGGATGATTTTAATGAGTATGATGTCTTTAAGCATTTCTCCTTTGATTTCAATTTTCATTTAAAAAAGGATGAAAATTATTTTATAAAAAATAATTTAAAAAAGTACAATCTAAAGGAACTAAAAGAAAAAGATGACAAATTTTTTGAAAAATATGGATTAGGATTTAAAATTTTAAGGAAAATGGGTTATGAAGATGGTATTGGCAACCAAATAAAAACGAATATAGCACCCATAGAACTTCAAAAAAAGCATATTACATTTTTTGAAGAAAAATCGCAAGAAAATTCGAATCCATCAAACTCTGATATTGAAATACACAACACACACGAATGTTCTGATGATATTTTTAAAGAATCAACATATAGCAAAAATTTATGGAAGAAAAAGTATAATTATAAGAAGAATTGGAATTTTCACAAAATAAAAAATCAAATTCATACACACTTAAAATATAATACCTCGTTTAGACAAAATTTTCATTTGTTCTATTATAATGAGAAAATTCATGATGAGAAACTTAATAATTTACAAAACGTCCAAAATTTTCTCATTGAACATGTTAAAAATATTACTGCAGATTACTTTAATGTTGTAAAAAAAAAACAACTTATTGAAAATAAACTAAGGAATTACCAAAATTATGGTGTTAAAAAGGACATTTATAAAATGCATACTTTAATTTTAAAAAATGTGTTAACATATAAATATTTATTGAATTTACATACCGCACTATCATATCCAACTCTCTTTAACAATGCAACGTATAATGAATATCTTTTTTCTCTTAAGCACGATCGAAAAAAAATACAACAAGGAGAAGAACAAAATGACCATGCTGACCATGCTGACGATGATGACGATGATGATGATGATGGTAATGATGGTGCTCATGATGGTGGTCATCATGGTGATGATGGTTATGCCGTTTTGGATGTACATGATCAAAGTATGTACAACATGTCTGAGTTCTCTACAAGTGCAGGAAGCACAAAATTGATAAACACCCATCGAAAGCTTTTTATTAACGCTACTGGCGAAAGAGAAACAAATGAAAACGGACGTCAAGCGCAATGCCAGTTAAAGTACACCAATTCTGGAACCTTTGAAGAGAAACTAAATAATTTATTGATGGACAATTATAAGCTATTATGCGAAAATGAATATTTCAGAAGTGCAGCAAAAGTAATAAATTTTTCCTCAAATAAAAATGGGACATATAAAAAGATGCATAACTTAAATGATATATTCAATTTAATAAATATTAAAAATATTATAATTGAAAAAGGAAGGGACCAATTGCTCTTGAGTGATATATATACCTGCTTGTTTTTTATTTACGAAAATTCACAATTCTTGTGCCTCAGTAGCTACGTATCAAGGTTTTTCATAGAGTTTTTACGAGTTTATTTTCACAATAACAAAGAACGAATAATAAATCAGTTACTGTATGATGAGAAAGATTGGGAAAATGTAAACACGGAAAATTTAGAAAATATTGATATTTCTAAATATCCAGATGCACATAGCGAGAAAAGAAACGTACTAGACGGACAGAACGAAAGAGTTCAAAACGTGTCAACAAAGAAAGATGAAAAAAATTCACACTGTGAACAACAAGCTTCATATAACCCCAGCAATAAACAAACGAAAAACGAGTTTAATCAAAATGACATACAGTATATAACATGTTTAAAAAAAATTATTTTAATGGGAGCTGAGGAACAAAGTATGACGGAATATCTCAAAATTGAAAATGAATTTGACAGTATAATATATCACATTTATGTATACCCCATAATGTATAAAAAAAATTGTCACAATATTTTTAAACATATAGAACTTTTTAAAGACTCCTTCAATGTAAAATATTATAAAAATGTATTAATCCGTTTTATTAAAAAAAAAATAATAACGAAGGTTAAAAACATGGAAAATAATGAAATAGAGGAGCATACACTGCAAGACATACAAAATAAATTATTGATTCTGTTTGACATTAATAAACAGTTTAATATTAACACCCACATTTGCAACTATTACACGTATTCAATATTTCCATATTTACAAAAATGTAATATATCAGAAAATTTTATAAAACTTATTAAATTAGCTCTTATGGAAAATATATACAAAAAGGAAATTTTCGAAAATATTGTAAAAAGAATAATTTCAGAATTAATTGACATAAATTTTTCGAACGACAATTTTGTACAACATCTTCGTAAAATTACAATGTTGAACGATTTCATCGATGACAAAGTAACCAGTCTCATCTTTAAGGTATATTTTTTTTACAATTTTTCAAAACATGTGTGTGATTATTTAAGAGAACTTAATGCGTTATATGTAGAGAAGAACGAAATGAACAATAATATACACAAATCGGAAGTTCCCTTAGATCCAGAGCAAGACATGCAAACCCAGGAAGAAAAAAAATTAATTTTAACAAATAAAAAAAAATATATATATGAAACCTTTAAAAACGTGAAAGATGTTATTGAAAACAATCTAATGAAAGATAACTCCATAAAGAATATCATGCTCAGTATATTAAATGTCATAAAAACGTATTTGATGCAAGACAAAATTATCACTTTTCCCGTTGAAAAAGTATTAGACTTTGACAAAAATCACATTTGTTCAGATGATAATATAAATCACTATTTCTTATATAATGATATAAGAATTCCAATTCCTCTTTATGCTGTTCCACAAAGAAGTACTAACATATTTGAAATGAATTATATGCATATTATGAGAAAAAATCAGAAAACAGATGAATCAAATAACACCTATACATTTTCTCCAAAAAAATATGTCAATTTAATGAACAAATTAGAAAATGATGTAAATCAGTATAGGAGAAACGTGCAGGAAGACGAAGAAAATATTAACGTAAAGAGTTATATAGAAAAATATTGCATACAAAATGATATTCTATTCATACAAAAAAATGATCGAAAAATAAACGGAAATGTTGTATACTCAATTAACAATTTTTCTATATATATAAATAATAATATTATATACATTTATGAAAATCATGAGTGGATACCTACCCTATTACGTGATCTCTTGAAAAAAATTTCATAGCACACTATATTGAGAGGTGGGGAGGGGGAGGGAAAAGTATATATAATTATTCAGATGAAAATGTGAACCCTTTTTTTTTTTTTATGTGTAACTGTTATATATTTTTTGTTTTTATGAATTTATTCACCCCCTTATAATCATTTCAACATTGTTGCTGTTGCAAACTATTTTTGCTGCATGCTTCTAGTACTGCATATTTCTTACGTATTTTTCTGTATTTTTTTTTTAATTCATTTTCTATATCTTTCTGCATCCCATTTTATATACTTCATAAAAGTGTCTTCTTCTTTTCTAGAAGGAAAAAGGTAGAAAGATTCTACCATTGCAATAAAAATATAATAACTTATGTATTCTGTGCATAACTCAGCAAGTTCGTTTGTGTATATACACCAATGAATGCCTTTGTTTTTATACCAAATGAGAACCCCCCAATTTTGTTTATCCCATACACCCTTGGTTTTTCTAATAAAACCGAACATGGAAAACGTTGCTTACGTATAATTATGAAGATTATAATTTTTTATTTCCTCTTCTAAATTCATGATAGTTCCGTTCACATTATCCACTGGAGTAGAGTCAGCAGATTTATCATTCTTATCGAAATAAGCATAATTATAAGCATACAATCCGTCGAAATGTGCATTATTTTCTATCGATTTACCTATTTTAACATTGTTTTTAGAATTATTATTTACATTTTTATTACTACTGTTTTTATGTATAGTATTTATGGCGTTGGAATATATTTCATATTTATTGCATTTCTTAACAAGTGGGTTATTCTTCTTGTCTTTTTCCTCATCAGATTCATTAACATTATAATGAACGGATAAATTACTATAATTCTTTGAATTTAGCCACGTCCTTGTTTTATCCTTCACATGGTTATTTTTTCCTGTATATGCACACACACGCGTTTTATTGTATTTATAAGTTTCATTAACATCTGTAAAATTGTTACATATTAAACCATTTGCATTTTTTACATAACATGAATCATCATATTGTTTTCCATGATATGTATGATTATTTTCATCTATATATTGCATATATGGCAAATTTTTATATTTCTGATGAAAAAGTTTCTTACTCAATTTAGTTAAAGGTCTACGTATAGCATTTTTGTTATCTATATCAAGCTGTTCATTTGAACCAATTAGATCAGTTTTTATTGATTTAATATTCTGTTCATTAAATTCTCCTTCTTCATTGGGACTTTTAGTAATTTTTTTTCTTATTCTTCTAATATTACATATTCCATCTCTAAATATCTTTTCCTCCTCATTAACTTCGTGTTTTTCCTTTGGTATACATTTATTTATGAAATTATCATTAATTTTTTGCCTCTTAGAATTGGCATTATTTGAATATATATTGTTTTGTATTATTTTATACTTGTTAAAATTATAAACAGTATCAGATTCCTCAGAACAGCTTACTGTGTCTGAAGAACATTCTTTACAAATAGAATGATTTTCGAATTCTATATCATGGTTCCATTCTTTAATTTTCATAATATCATTTATATTTTCACAAATTGCCTTTTTATTAGCAGCAACACTATGATCTTCATTGTGTATTTCTGAAGAATGGCCACTCATTTGTAGTGGACATTTATACATGTTCCTTAAGTCACCCATATACTTTATGAATTCGCACCATTCTTCCTTCTTCATTCTGAAAATGGATGAACAAATGAGGTGTATACAATAAAATGGAAAATCTTAAAATAAAATGAGGCACAAAAAGTAGTAAAGCAGATTAGGAATGCGATAACATGGCTGCAAAAGTTATACAAGAGTGTTTTTCTTCCTAGTCAGATGGTACAATAAATGTAAAAAATAGAAACCTAGCAAAATCATAACATATCGTCGTTGTGGTATGCCTAATTTCCTCTTCTTACTCAAAATTGGATTTCAAGTCGGGAGGCTTTTTCTTAAACCTATAAGATGTTGCTTCAGTCATTTTTTATATGCTTTATTTTCTTTATCGGACTAACAAAACTTTCTGTGTGTTTCACCTGGCTCAAGTTCCTTAATAGTCTTATTAATAAATAATAAGGGACACAAGAAAAACTCACGCATTATGCAATGAGAAGGTGCTCAACAGAATCACATATGTACATAATACATTATCTTGAAACTCTTATACATAAAAGGAAAAAGAACTAGGAGTGAGAGTCATGATATAATTCAAATGTTCTTCTAATGGCATGTGCAAATATCCTACAAAAAATGTGCACATACCATAGTATGTGAATTCATAAAGATAACCTGTATATACGTGTATATATATATATATATATTAATTTGTATGCAATCACGGGACTTATTAAATTTATATTGGGAAGAAAGAATTAAGAACAGAAAAAAAAAAAAAAAAATTAAAGCAAAGCATTAACATAGGGAAAAATCGACTTTACAGAAGATAAAAATAAAAAAAAAATTCACTTCAAGTACTCATTTAAAAAACTATTAAAATGATAGCATGAAGCTCAATTTTGTATGTTCAAGAAACAAACGGATAAGTATGCTGTGAAATTTTCCAAATTCTTAATTTTATTCATCCCAAGCACATGTTTTTACGTGAAAAAATAGTTTTTCATTAAACACATGATGTCCATTTAGCTCAAATAGTTTCATCCTTAATTCGGTGTTTTTAGGAACATGATAAATTTCTAAAATAAAAAAAAATTCCCTTTTGTAAACAAGTGTACATTTGAGAAAAAAAAAAAAAAAAAAAAAAAATTCCCAACGATCATCACTTTTTTTTTATATGGGTAATATAATCACAAATCTGCTTTCTCTTGCACATCTTTGAAATGATAAGGAGATTATTTTTACCATATTTTTCCAAGGATAAAGGTCCTCCAAGAATAAGATGTCAAATAAATGGTGTAAAAAGGAAAAGATTTTTTAAAATTGTTGTGGCAAATCAAAAAGATAAGAAAAATGGGAAACACATAGAAGTCTTAGGCACGTATGTAAATAAAAATAATATAAAAGAAAAATTAAATACTTATAATATTAACAACCCTAATAATGATTATTTTTATAATAATGTAGAAAATATTAAAGAAATTAGATTAAGATTTAATAGAGTTAAATTTTGGCTTGCAGCAAATTGTAACTTTAGTGATCATATGAAACACGTTCTAAGCTTATGTAAAATAATACCACAATATCCAGTAAAATATAGCAGAAGATGTTCTGATAAATATTACTATAAATATAACGAAATTATAAATAAACATAAACTACTACAAGCAGAAAAAATCAATAAATTCCTGAAAACAGATTTAAATATTCAATATTTGAACAACTTCGACAAAACAAATGTTGAACAAAAGGAACAGGATGATTATGTATATACTCCTGAAGAATTTACATATCTTAAAAAATTATCAAAAAATAAAAACTTAGACTTTGAACACACTGACAAAATTAGAAAAATCATTAGGTAACTTTGAACACGCCATCTACACCTCATTGTGCTCAAAAAACTATTCTTAGACACGGAACCTAAAATAGACAGCAAAGCAACAAAGTGAATATGTGCTTCATGTTGATTGCCTTTCCAATTATATGAAAAAAATTAAAAAAAAAAATGTGAAAGAAGCTTCTTCACTAATTATAGCTATACAGAATTAAGTACTAATTTAGGGGTATATATTCCCTAAACCACAAGTCCCTCTGATTTATGCTACTATCACAATTTTTTAAACAAATTCGAAATATTTTAAAAATACAAAAATACTTGTTTTCGTAGAATTATTCCGTTGAATATTCCCATATTTTTATTTCTTTTCTACCAGTTCATATATCATTTATATTAAATATATATTCTTTTGTTTCTTTAATTATACTATACATAAAAAATATATCTACCGTTTAGTGAAATTGTAAGATGTCCATAACTCTGTTTGAATGAGAAAATGGAACAAAATATGAAAAACGTAGCCCCTCTTTTTTTTTTTTTTTTTTCCAAATATTTGAACATGTATGCATTCTAATATATGTATATATATAATTTTTCTTTTTTCATGTATATACACACATTTAGCATTTTTTCTTATTATTTCATTTTTTCCAACTTTACAAAGAAAAAAAAAAATCAATATTTCAAATACAGATTGAATTGTTCACATTCCATATGCTTCATTGTTGCATTTATCGTTGCGTATAGTTTTAAAGAAACGGTGTAAATTTTGACAGTATAAAAACAGAATTCAGTAACGTCCATAGAATTATAAATAATTTAAAAAAAAAAAAAGAAACACAAAAATACAAAAAAAAAATGGAATACGATAAACTGAATTAACTTCGTTTAATCATTTGCGAAATTTTTTTCTTTTCTGAACTGTGCACTTTGGTGTGTTACAAGTGTGAATAATTCTTTCTAAAAATAATAGACATTTTCATATCTAATAAAATTGATATAACGATATACAATTATCGGAAAAAAGACAAATTAAAAAAACTTGGAATAATATATATCATTCTTCTAAAAGGAAAAATTTGCATAACATGTAAAACGTGTAAATTTAAATTATTTTTTAAGTTATTTCCTATTTAACAATTTTTTTTTTTTTTTTTTTTTTTTTTTTTTTTGGAAAACAAATTAACACTCCTTTTTTGTCTTTATATTTAATTGTTAAAAAATTCGCTCTTACATATTTCTTAATTAAAAAATAGATTGCACATTAACTAATAGGCGTTTTTATTTATAATTATAATAAAAATACATCTGTAAAATTCCTGTCTGTGTAAAATTATCTTTCTTATTAAATTAAAACAAAAATAATGACAAATGGTGTTAATGCATAAATGCATATACACTCCATACATGTTAAATGGAACACACGCACGTTTTTGTTCTTATCTCTTTTATTCCATTCTCCAAATTGGAAAAAATGAAAAACTGACATTATTGACTTAATTCACTGAAATGTAAAAACTTTTTCGATCTACTAAACAATATGAACACTCTAAATAATGACAGCATTCTGCAGGATTATAAAAAACCTGCCGAAGACTTAAAAAAATATACAAATCCAGTGTTTAGGTTGAACTTGAAGAAGGGTATTAGAAATTGCAAAAAAATTAATTCTGCTAATCGAATAAGCAAAGATGACTCATTATATAATGTCAGATACGATGAAAATAAAATTTTTTCAAATACTAACGACTTTGATGTGAATTTATGCTCGACAGACACGACAGTTATATGCAATTCAAAAACTCATCATAGTAACTTCAGTAGCCATAGAACCCAATGTAAGAACAATAATTGTACAACAGATAAGGGAATGAATAAATTAGCAAAAGACAAACAAAAAATTAACATTTTCAGCTTGAATGAAGATAATTTATATATAAAAAGCAGTTTTTTAAAGAATAATGGAGCAGTCAAATATGGGATCAATTTAAATAAATCTCTCGATAAAATAAGTAAGATAAGAGTTATGCAAAAGTTTAGAAGAAACATTCACATCCACAGCAATGAAAAAATGCGCCATAGAAATATATCCCTAGAACATCCTAGCCTTTTTGATAAATACACTACAGGTATCACTAATTATAGCACTACGAAAAATAACAACAATGTCAAACTAAACAAATTTCATTACAACAAATTAGGAAGTGCAAATAAACATGATACAGCATTAAGGGTAGATAAAGTAAATGCAAACTCTTCTAAAAGTAATTTATATGATGATGTCCCCAAAAATATATATAAAAATTATATAAATGATATATTGAAAGGTAATGAAAACACAAATTTTAATTTTCTTAAAAGTAATAAAATTAAAAACAGACAAAACGTAATTCCCAATACTACAAATTATGTGGATACAAAACACAAAAACAAATTAGACGAGAAAACAAAATTCTTATTTAACTTCTCTCATGTTAATAATCCTGAAAACTCTAAAAAGATAAGTAACATTCATTCGAATAGTAATTCTGATTATGACAAAGGCAATTATGACAAAATAATAAAAAAAAAAATTCTAAACCTGACTTCTAACAGTCCGGTATTCAAAAAGAGAAATTTTTTAACAAAAAGCAAATTAATCATTGAAATGAATAAAGAAAAGAATTATCTTAACATTTCACAACATTTAAGCAACTACATACAGGATGAAAGAAACAAGAAAAATGAATACAACATAACTGAAATTACAGAAAGAAACCATATGATAAATCAAAATAAAAGTACCAATTCCACGGATTCCATTTTGTATTTCACGAATGAATATAAAGAAAAAAAACAGTGTCTTCAAAGTTCGCATAAATTTAGTGAGTTCCTAAAGAACAATCCTAAGGAAAATATAAAGCAGCATATCAACAATTTCAACTTAAGACACTCATTTGATATTAGCAGAAACAGTAACCTACGTATAAATAATGTATACACAAAAAATAATTATTTTAAAAAAAAAGTGCAAAATAAAAACACGAAATTAAAAATGTACGAAAATTTCCTAGACTTTGAAAAGGAATTAAACCGTAAAAGGAGCGTAGAAAATTCTTTAAAAAAAATCAATGAAAAAAAAGTAATGGTATTTTCTGAAAACAATTGTAAACAAGAACATAATTCACATCCTCTAATTGAAAAAAAAAAGAATAATGTAAAACACACACTTAAAAACATGTTCGAAAAAACTGATGTTGTGCAAGATGTGTTATTGAACAAATGTACCAGCAGTAACAAAAAACAAGAAGTAAATAAGGGTAATACATATGTAATAAATATCCCAATGAATTTTAAATTAAAAAAAGGAAATGTTAAATGTCATAAAAAAAATACTGAATACACATCTATTGAAAGAGAACAAAGCTACAAAAACCCACTATTAACTAACCACTATAATAATATCAAAAATATAGAGAACAAAAAAAAGCACAATCATCCAAATTCTAATAATAAATCAGAAATATTTGATAAAAATGAATTTCTCGATTCCTTCTTGAAAAAGGAGATTAATGATGATAAAAATATGCAAGTTGAAAATTTATTTAATTCATATATAGGCAAAACCATGAACGAGGAACCATGTGAATATAACAGACAGGCATGTGTTGAAAAATTAGACCGAAAAATTAATACTTCATATGATAAAGGATGTGTTAAATTACAATCCTGTAAAAATCATACGTACAATAAAAAGCATGACGACGTTGATTCAAGATCCCATTTGAGTACCAATATGGATGTGTATAACAAAAGTGTTTGTGTGAGCGAACAACTGAATAGACAAATGGAAGAATTAAAAACACAAAATGATATTGGAGTTAATGAAGACCAAGTTTCTCAAATATTAACAAATTGTACTCAAAATTTTAGCAGTAATGAGGATAATAACGAACACAACAAAAATATTAATGTAAAAATCGGTTGCGATGTCGGTACAAATACACTTCAAATATATGATTCGTACAAAGTGCATGACAAGGAAAGTATAGATCAACAAATCCTTAATCAAACTATTTTTGAACAACACATAAAGGAAGAAGAATGCTTTAATAGCAAAAATGAAATATGTAAAAGTATTAGCAAAAAAGAACAATTCAATTTGCCCCTTAATTGGGAATGTTTTAAAGATATATTTAACAGTGACACAAATAATGATACCATTTTAAAAAACTTTGTACAAAATGATACCCCTAAATTAGCTTCATTAAACGGATTAAGTGAAATTCAAAATGATAGCATAAATGAAAATACAATAAATAAATCTTTTCATGAGGAAAATAATAATGAAACACAAGTTAACGAATGTGACATACATTCTAGTGATAACGATAAAGGGAAATGTACAGAAATAAAATGTAATGCCACACAAAATGAGTCGAATTATGGGGAAAATAAATATTCCAATACAAAAAACGAAAACATAAATAAGGATGAAAAAGGGAGAAAGGTATATGAACAATGTGATGAGAAAATTATCAAAAAGGAACAAGAAAAAAAGGATGAATACTTAGAAAGGGAATATTTCTCAAACATTTCAGAAAATAAAAGTAGTACACACGAATGTGAAAAAGAAAAAGATAAAATGGACAGCGATGAAATAATAAGTGACATTAATGCTATAACATTAGACAAAAAAAATGAACACAATTCCTTATCTAACAATAGTAATTCTGAACTCTTTAATGCTTCCATGCACGATGATGGAAAAAATATAGGAGATGATACAAACATTAAAGAGCAAAATAGGACGAACGAAACTGAGTTATTAAATAATGAAAAAAAAATAGAAAATGAAGAACTAAATATAAAAAGTATTCTTTCCCTCTTCGAAATAGGAAACGATAATACAAAAGATATCGTAAATAAGGAAAAGGAAAAGGAAAGCACGCCTCAAAATGGTTGTAGCACAATTAGGAAGGACTCTGAAAGTGCCAATAGCAACAATGATTCTTCAAATAATCATAACAATCCGGAGCAAAAGTGTTACGTGTTACAGGGAGCAATACATATGAATAATCATGAAAAAAGAGAAGACGAAATTTTTATGTACAAACAAAACAACCAAATGCAATCAGAAAGCAAAAAGGAGGGACAAATTGATGACACCACTAATAATGTAAATATACTAAATGGTGACACCACTAATAATACAAGCACACAAAATGATGACACAACTAATAATGTAAATATACAAAATAATGACACAACTAATAATGTAAATATACAAAATGATGACACAACTAATAATGTAAATATACAAAATAATGACACAACTAATAATGTAAATATACAAAATAATGACACAACTAATAATGTAAATATACAAAATAATGACAGCACTAATAATACAAGCACACAAAATAATGACACAACTAATAATGTAAATATACAAAATAATGACACCACTAAAAATACAAACACACAAAATGATGACAACACAAATTATGAGTATACGAATGATCCTAATCGAGATGAAAAAGTACAAGTAGTCCATAATGTACACGATAGAAAAACACTAAACAAAGAACTTTCTTATGAAGATAAGGAATATGAAAAACATAATATATATGATAAAAAAGGAGAAATGGTTTCAGAAAAATATGACAAAAACGTCCTATCCATTGCCCAACAGGAGGATGATAAGAATGATAAAATTCATTCCATAAAAAACAATAAAAACAACAACTCTGAGTCCATAAGTGAAGATTATGATACATTCCGTGACCAAGATAATGGAGTATTTCATCATATGGAGGACAGTAAAAATGATCATATTGAAGCAAATATTGACACAAAGGACATTATTAATTTTAATGAAACGTTAAAGAATGAGGATTTGAAAGAAAATAATATTCAATTAGGAATTATAATTTCGGAAAATGATTCCAATAAGCCTTTCCACAATTTAAAAAACTCTTACAATAACAATGACATTTTAACACATATTATGGAAACATCAGAATTAACTCAAAATATAAATAAAAAGAATGAACTGGAAAAGGAAAAAGAACAATTTGATAAAGAAGCAGAATACTCTTTTTTTCAACGTTTTAGCACACATAAATTACAATCTAATGGTTTTGAAAAAGGAGTGCTACCCGACAACAATCATTTGAAGGATGTACAGAAAAGGGGAGACAACTTTAACAAAAAAATTTTACGCACAGAATTAAACCAAAATAAAAAATATGAGATAATAAAAGGTTTTAGTTCTCAATGTGTGGAAATAAACAAACACAATTTATTTAAACATTTAAATATCAGTGAAGACAGATTACACTATATTAACTCTATCTATGATTCTTTTGATTATTATAACAGAACAGATGAAAAAAAATGGAAAAATGTACATGAAAATGAAATTAACATAGGTGTAAATAAAAGCATTGAAAAAAATAAGGCAAAAGGTGAGGAAAATCATTCATCAAAAAATGATATGTGTAAAACACATTTTGAAGAAAATCCAAAACCAGCGTTTAATCTAGATTTAAATGAAAAGGAAGGCACTAAAAATGCATGTCCAGATATAACCATCTTTGAGAAAAAGGAAACAATTCATCAGAACAAAAGTAATACTCTTAGAACAACAAATATTATTGATGATATGATACATGAAAAAATAGGTAACGAAATAGAAAGTAATAAGCATAGTGAATCGATTACTTTGTGCGAAAAATCCAGCTACACTTTCAACCATAATACTGATCAAAATTCCTCCGATGATATAGTGAAAGTAGTGAATGAAAAAAATATCCAAACAGAAAACAAGTATTCACAACCCTCTAATGAAAATGATGAAAGGGATAATGACTGTAATAATGATTACAACCTTGATTATTATGATGAGGAAGCAGAGGAGGAAAATATTTGCTACGAAGACATTAAAAGAAATGTATGGCTACAAAATGCAAATCTTCATAAAAATAGAATTCAACACATTCAGACGGAGTCATTTAAGTGCATTCTTCTATTTTGCTATTTGCACAAAATAAAATATTTTCAAGGCATGCATGATATGATCATAAGTCTATTTTATTTAAATTTACAACCACACGAAATTCTCTGCGTTTTTGAAAAAATATTACATTATTATGCCCCATATTTGTATTTACAAAATAGTTATAACTATAGATCCACATTAACCAATGTAATCCTTGAAAAGGAAACAATCAACTCTGTTATATCAGATATAACTATGCAAATATGTAATTATAATGGAAAATTATTTCGTCTATTGTTTCAATTTTTTTTCCCACACATTAGTCATTACTTCGATATAACAATCAATGACACATGGCCATCTTTTTTTTTCGTTAATCTAAACTTTAGTAAATTCAATAATGTGTCATGCTTGTTATATATATGGATGAGATTAATTGAAATAAAAAATGAAATGAATGGGGTAACTTGTGATTTTATTCTTTTTTTATTATCCTTCTTTATGCACAAATTAGAAATCGCGAAGAAAAAATTTTATGAAAAAACAGATGAATATTGTACTATGAATAGAAATTACACATGCATACCACCCAGCGAAGAGGTTCAAAGGGGAGAGACGTATACAGCAGAACAATTAGTAAAATATACTCATCCTCTAGCAAATCAGGTGCAGATAATTACACCGAATGTAGAAAAAAATTATCATATGAATGAAGAAAAAATGCATGCAACGCAGAACCAAGGAAACAAAGACGTGGACAACGAAAATGTTTGTGTAAAAAAATCATGCACAGAAACCAAAAAAGAATCTCAAGAACAAATAAATGGAATTTGTGGAAATGAAAAAGAGCAGACAAAGCGTCAAAATAACGAAATTAAAGAAATACATGAAGAAGAGGAAGAAAAAAAAAAAAAAAAAAAACAGACTTTTAGAAAAAAAAAATTATCCATGTATTGCACAGAAATGTTTTCCCTATTTTTTGAATTTAGTTCATCCTTTGATGAACATTTTGGTGATAGGTACAAAACACACATAGATGAAATCATGATGAATATATCAAAAATTAAACAGTTCGTTCCTGTAAGCTTTTTAGATTTTATAGTGAATTATAATTCTGCATACCAAAAAAAGGATCACTTGGAAAACCCTGAAAGATGCAACGAAAACGGATGTCTATCAAATGATTTAGCAAAACAAGTACATGATAATTTATGTTTACGTATAAAATTGTCCGATTTGTTATTTATTCATAATACTAAAAAGTGTTATCAATTTATTTTCTTCCGATTAGTAAAACATCAAATAATTTTAAGCAAGTTGAAGTTTATTAATTCGGCCAGCTTAGTCATAGAAGATTTTTCATATTTTAAAAATGTAGACGATTTCTTGAATTATAAGAAAAAACTGAAACATTTTCATTGTAACAATAAAAAAGTACTATACATCATGATCCAATACAAAGATGAAAATGATACACAATTGAATGATAGGGATATGAAACAGAATATTAACAATGTGAATGGAAGCAAGGAAAAAATTTCAGGTAATGATGAAAATATAAATAAAAAAAAGTGCTTGAACAAAGTTTTTTTCAAAAGAAATAATAAAGAATATAATACTGGCAATGAAAATACATGTGAATCTCAACTATATAACATTCATGTGAATAACTTCATAACAACCTTAATAAAGAATAATTTTAAGCGCTTAACTATACTAGATGAGCATTCAGACATTGTCCACATAAGCAATGAGAAGAATATAGCTGAAGAAGAATTAAACGGTGATAACTTACCATTAAAAGAAAAGAGTTTTCTATTTCAAATGTTCGATAAAGTCAAAAATAAGATATACGAAAATATTGGAAAAGATAATGAGGTTAATAAAAATACATCTCTAAAAATTGATTCTATTCAAAATAAAAATTTAAAGTTAGCTTTAAAAGAATATAATTTTAAAATGTTCAGCGATAGAAAGATAAAAAAAAAAATAAATTGCAAGAATAAAAAAATATTTGTGTATTCAAAAAATATTATGAGAAAAAGAAAAAATCAAAAATCAAGAAATAAACTAGTAAATGAAGCTCAAATTTTATCATCAGGACAGCTACGAAAAAAAACAGACACAAGGGTTTCTTTTTCTATTGTGGATTATGATGAACATAATGTAACAAGTGGTTCATTAAATAATTTGAGAAGTAAAAATAGAACCAACCTTAACTATAGCATATATGAAAAATGGCAACTTAATCACGTCATTAATAATCCATGTATGAGGAACAGTTTTGTACTTAAAAAAGGTACACAGCAAAAGCACAAGAAAAAGATCCTTGGAATTTCAAAAAAAAGAGAAATAAATTTAGTGAAAAGCAAAATATACAATAGTATATTGCCTCTACACAATAAAATTAATGAATCTAATAAAAGTAGCACAAAAGTACATACATTCAAAAATAATTATAACAAAAAAAAAAAAACTATCTTTATAAATAAGCAACAAATTGATGAGTACATTAACGAAAGAGAAAGGAAAACTATACATAAAGGGGAAAAAATGAACTTTTTGGAGTTTCAAGAGAGATTATTGAATGATTTGCTCTCAGAAACAGTATCAAAAAAGATAGACAAGGTCTTATGACAAGAAATATACCAACACCAAAATTAATTCTAATTCTAACGTAAAAAAAATAAGGAATGAAGAAAAATATTGCACTTCACAGTAATGTGAATAAATGAATCAAGAATTATTCTGCCCCATACTCCCTCTATATGTAAAATTAAACACCATTTTTCATCCTCAATTAAAGCTAAGAATGTAAATATTTATACCATACAAATGATCATTTAAATGGTAGCACAGTTGGTGAGTTCTCAATATACTAATTTTATCGAATGGACGTTAACGAATTGCAACAACAACAACGTAATTATGATGAATAATTTTTCAACATGTAGAAGAAACACAACCATTCTTAACACCAGTACAAAAAAAGTGTTCTGCTTTTCTTTTTTTTGTTCCTAATTTTGTATTTTCTTTTTGAAATAGGACTATAACAAAATTTTAACTTCTTAAATAATAAAATTTTAAACATATAGAAATAATAATGACCAAATTTCTTCTTAATAATAAAACGTGAATAGATTTATATCTTCGTTCACTATCTTTTTTTTTCATAATATGTGCATATTACACGTTATTATTTATAATTTTTTTTTTATCCATATATGGCGAATATTAGGTTGTCTCATTCCATTATTTTATTTTTTTGTTTTTTTTCACATAACTTTTCGTATGTTACCTTTAGAATGGGTGTGTACATACTGCACATCTAATATTCATATTCACAAACATGTTCTTGCTTCTACTAATTTTTTTTTTTTCATTTTTTGGCACAATTTACTTTTTTTCTATTTCTGTGGAGTCTATTAAGAACAAAAAAAAAAAAATAATACTGTAAAATAAGTTAAAGTCATGATATATATATATATATTTTTTTTTTGTTAAAAGAATAAGCAAAACTATTAAACATAAAATATGTTGGAAACATAAAAAAAACTTAAAATAAATCTTTTGGAAAACAATTGAAAATGTGAAAATTATGGTATACCAAACTTTTTTGCTCATTCAAATCAAAAAAAAAAAAAAAAAAAAACTGTAGTAAAAATAAAGGGTAAATGGGGGTTCCATAATCTGAATAAATTAGAGAAACCATGAAATGATGGATTTTGAGCTGATTAGATTGAGAGAATAATGATTACATTTATTTTCCCTCTTATTTATGTTTATTTTGCGTGATAATTATTTATTTGGAAAAAAGAACTAAATGTTCAGGTAAAAAAAAAAAAAAAAAATATAAGACACAAATATTTACACACCTTAATAAATAATTCAGTTATCTGAAATCATAATTTATACGAGTCTGCATCGTGTACATATTTACATTATATATATATATATATATGTATGTAGGACACGGATCAAATTAGTCACTACCCGTTTGGAATAATTATCCTCCTTATATATACTTCAAAAAACCCATTTCTTAAACTGTAAAAACTTAAATACGGAGATAGTTGAAAAGACAAAAGAAAAAAGAAACCACTGACAAGCATAATTAAAATGAGTTGTCTCATCTGCATAAAACTTGTAATACTCCCTTTTCTTTTTATGTATAAAATGTTCATCATATCGAAATGGTTTTCCATTCTGAACAGATGAATATGTTTCATTCCTATTATTTATGCCGCTTTTGCAGTTATCACCTACTTTCAACAAGCGTTTTATCCTTTCTTGACTTTCCCGATCCATATCATTTATTGTAATACCATTTAACTTGCACATATGTGAATCTAGTAAATTGGTACCATCCTTATTCCAATTCGAATAATGGTCCTTTATTATATCATTATTATAATCTTCATGAACTATTATATCATATATATTGGCAATAAAAAAAGTGGATCCTTTGAAATGTGAAATATTTGCATGGTGACAAATTTCTTCAACATTGTAATAATAGAGATAATTACTGTACACATTTTTGTTCGAAAAATTCTTAATTTTTTTAAAGGAGCTTTCATATAATTCACCAGGATCCAATACACCCCTAATTGTCACTACTTTGGGCATTTCTTTCTTTTTCTCTACTAATATTTCTTCAGAAATTAATCCTCTATTTACTAATATACATTTGCCATTCTTTAAAAATATAGGACAAATTACATAATAATAATTTTTTTTTTTACTCTGCTCCTGTAATTTGGGCCCCACATAAAATTCGTTAGTGGTGTCCAGTACTCCAGTTAATTGAACTCTCCTATATTTATACTTTTCGATTACAATTTTTTTCAGTTCGTCTTCTGTTACATCTTTTTTAAAAAATTTTCTCCAAAAAGAAATTGCAAAATTTTCGTTTCTTATTCTACTCATCCATTCGTGTACATTATGAACATTTTCCAAATCGATGGTTAATTTGTTTCTTTCTTCATTTCTAATATCACTATTTGATATTCTCACATCGTCATTCTGTACATGTATTTCTCTCATATCTATTTCGCTTTCACTATTATGGTTTAATTTATCCATTTTTCTAAAAATTTGGTTATGGAAAACTTTAATTTGTTCATAAAACGATAGCACTCTGAAAAATGCATTTAATACATTGACACTTCTAAGAAAATCATTTTCGTTTTCGTATTGTACTAAATTTTGATTGAAATTTTTGGAATTCTTTTTCAAAGTTGAAAAATCATCATACCATGGAAAGTTTGAATCACCAAGTCCTATAATTGGTTTATTTAAATTGTGCAAAATGTAATCAATTAGAAACTTCTTTTTCCCCACTTTTTTATACTGCCACAAACCCATTAAAAAACAGAAGGAACAAATAAGGGATGAGTAAAAGAAGAAAAAAATTCTTTCATTTTTTCTCAATCCAAATCTGCTATTACGAACACATCGAAAAATTGGCGATGATACTTTATTCTTTATGTTGATTAATCTTATAATAGTGCTATTCTCACATTCTAAGGGTAAATAATATTGTCTTTCACTTTTATTAATTAAATTTATTTCTTCCTCACTTGCTTTATATAATTTTTGACTTGGGTATTTAAAATGTGCTACGGAAATTTCCTTATCTGTAATTTTGTCCATACATTTTCCATTAATTTTTTTTTCAACATTTTTTAATTCCTCATTTAATAAATCGATATGAACCTTATGCAAAAGGTATTTGTTTCTCCATTTAGATGCAAATTTGTTTTTCCTTTTCCTCGATTTCGCATTGTGCATTTTTTTCCCCTTTACAGCGAACACATATTTTTCACCTTTCGAAAATAGCAATAACCTTTTTCTATGTGTTCTTTTAAGCAAGCTATTAATATAAGTTTTTTTCACATTATTACATTCAATATATGTGTGTTGGACACATTCTATGTGCAGTTTGCAAGTTTTCCATGTACATAAAAAATTCGTACTGTTCAGCTTATAAACTAATTCTTTTACATTTAACACATTATTTAAAAAAGGCATTCTATTATGTTCACCTAGGTAGAGTGGGGCAGAAATTGCAGGTTGTGAAAAGTTTGCACTCGTTATGTATATGTTTTCTTCAATGTGTGCTTTCCACACATGTATAAGGATTCACGATTATTTATATACATTATACATAATCCATATATGTATTCATATGCATGGGTTTAGAAGAATCCACTGAACTTGTAGTTCATTTCCTAGTGAAATCGTTGAACTTGCTCTTCACTTCATTATATATTTGGTACGTTTTTATCGCAAACCTATGAAATGTTTCACTTCTGAGTAAATAAGATTTTATTTTCTCTTCAATTAATTTACCACCGATATCATTAAAGATAAATGGGAACCTTTTCATGATGGTAAAAAAGAAAAATATAACAAAGTAAAAAAATAATGTAGCTATATACGTTAAAGCAAATGTGTTTCAATAACATAAAAAAAAAAATTATTAAAAATGACCTGCTAATGAAGGTTAAAATTTTTTATAAACTTAAAAAAAAAAAAAAAATAGTAATATTTAATTTGGAGAACTGCTTTTACATTTCCTTCTTAAGTGAAAAATATAATAGCTGCAACTTTTATCACATTTAAGTAAATTTCATGTTTAATTGAAAATGATAATATGAGGAACTTTGAAGTTTAATTATTTCCTATTTACTCGTAATTTATTTTATTATTTTCTTTTCTACTCCACCTACGCTATATGAAATGTGATGAAAACATACATATATATATAAACATATATTTTTTTACATATATAAAATATAATAACACTCCATATGGTGCCACTTTAAATTTGCACGAAACATTGTTCACCGTCAATTTATTCTTAAAGAGAAAAATGAAAGAATGTAACTTTTACTAAAAAATCAACTATATTTACATTTTTACGGAAAAACAAATTTTGTTTTTTAAAAAATAATTAATTTGGTGGCAAATATAACTATTAATTTTTGTTGCAAAAAAATGTTTGAACTTGGTATTTTGAACTTTTTTTTTGTTTTTTTTTATTTTATTTTTCAAATACACTTGTCATTTCACACTATAAATAAATATCATTCATCGTTCATTATTCTGCAAACATATAAACACTATTTATATCCACTTGTTAGACAATCACATTTTTTCCGTAATTTTTCAGCAATTTTAATTGTGTCTATGAATTCCTCATTTGTGTACTGCATACACATTTGGGTACACATGTTAGTATTAAATAAAAACGCATATTTGTGCTTTTCAACTTAGTACATTCCGTCTAATATTTTTTTTTGTTTTGCCTTATATATTTTTAGTTAATTGAATTTGTTGAATTTTTTTTCATTTTTGCAAGATATATGAAGTTGTTTAGTCTTTCTCACAACTTGTTATATTTATCACTCATAAGCAGTATTTAATTATTTTATTATTTTTTTTTTTTTTTTTGTGTGTTTAAAAATATATAAGGAATATACTTACGAATTATTTGTATATATATCTAAATATATGTACAAATATGAATAAATCATTTCTGTTAAAGATGTTAATTTTTTTTTGTCTTTACACTTCTGTTTTAATCTTACTGTAATATTACTACTCTAGCACCACCTGATGTATTTTTCAAAGCAACTCCCTCCTTTTTAAAAGCAAAAACAGAAAATGGAAAATAAAAAAATCGCATTGGCGACAATTAACGACATTGAAACAGACAAAAATGTGGACGCATTAAGTATGATCACAAAAATCGACCTGAAATTAACAAATTCGAAAAATGGAAATTCTACTAAAATAAGGAACATAAACTTTGAGGATTCACTAAGAATGAATGATGAACAAATAAAAGTAAAGGAAGCTGTTTTCATGTTAAATAACATGGAAAATTTTAATTATTCAATTAGTTATACGGAAGTTCAAGATATAAGAAATGATTTAAGATTGTTTGCTATTAACAATTATCATGAAAAAAAGTACACAGATTGTCTTATACACTCCATTCATTCTTATATGATTGGGAAAAAATATTATTCGAAATATTTTGGTTTCTATATCACTGGCGATATGAGTACAGAACTAATTCTTATTTGTAAGTGTTACGTACTAGTTGAAAATTTTGAGGAGGGAAAAAAATATTTGCATGAATTAAAATTCTTAATTGACAACACTTTGTTATATATACATAAAATGGGCATTCTTGATGATCAGCAACAGAAAAAGGAAGAAGATTTGAACAATACTAGTAAAATGAATAATTTAGGTTCGAACTATGAAGAGCCAATTATACAATGCGGAATAGAAGTCTTATCTAATATACTTTATATTTTTGGTGATTTATTAAGTCTATATAAACAAAATGAAGAAGCAGAAACATATTTTTTAAAATATCTCTACATGATAGAAAAATGCTTCAACGCGGATAGCTTAAATTATAGCGATGCTCTAAATGATGTTTGCTCCTATTATATAAAAATTAGGGATTATTCAAAAGCATTACCTATTTGTCAACAGATTCTCGAAATAAGAAAAAAATTCTTTGGAGACTACAATTCAGAAAACCCAAGTGAGATTATCGCTGATTGTTACTGTAATTGGGGATTATTACTTCGATTATCAGGAAATTCTTTAGAATCTCTACACAAATATTTAATTGCAGTAGATATGAGAATGAGAATACATAAAACAAGACAAACTGTTCAAGTGCAAGATATTTTACTTTCCTTCGCTATTATTATGCAACAACTAAACAATTTCAGGATGTCATTACAATTGTACAAAGAGGTTTATTCATTTTATAAAAATTATTATGGTCCCGATGATATAAACACAAAAGTTGTTTTCAAATTAATTGAAGAATTAGAAAAGGATGTCATGAAAGAAACAAACAAAAATGGGAAAAGAGAACCATCCCATAATTTAGAAAATTACATGACGAGCATAAATGACAAATTAAGAAAAGACAATAAAATAGAAAAAAATTGGAATTCACTTAATGAAAATTTGCAAAATATGTCGAAAAAGTCAGATGTAGATCCACACTTTGTCGAGGATTTTATGAATGAAAGAGTTTTAATTAATACCAAAAATATTCCCTCCAAAAATTTAAGTAACAAAAAAACATTTATATCTTTGGAAGGAAAATTAAAATATAACAACTTAAGTTATTCTAGTATTGATGCATATAAATACATGCAATCAAATAAAGACTTCGAAATTTTAAAGAGTTCATTTTTTATTACTTCCTCTATTAATAGAATTAAATCTTTGTATGCGGATTCATGGAAAAGTACCCTAATTCCGTCTACATATATATTACCCTTTGTAGAAACTAAGATGGTAGACAATAATTTAGAAAAGTACTCCCAATGTAAAGATTTTCAAAATGCTATTATTTATAAAAGAAAAATTTTGCCAATAGTTAACATACCGCTGATAGAAAGAGGTTATGTTAAATTGGATAACGATCAGCCAATTATGACATGTAATGATGATGCCAAAATTTTATTAAGCGAATGGAATATTAAGGAACCCTTTGTAGATTCCAAGGGAAATGTAATCAGTAAATATGAAGATCTGGACAACGAATTTAACATGTTTTTATCAATTTTAGATGAAAATAATGAAATTATGCTTGGTTTTTATAACAATCCTTTGCTCGTTCCTAACCCTGCTATATATCACTGCCTCATTTTGGGTGACCCATATTATTTTCATCGATACAATCAAGTTAATAATTTGTATTCCTTCGATAATTTGAACACAATAAATAAGAACAAATTTTATAATCATAATAAATTTCTTGGATCTACTAACACAAATCGTGACAACGTAAATTCATATAATAAGAATTCAAATGATTCTATGAGAAATAGGAATCAATCGAAAATTAGAACAAAATCCTTTGGGCAGAAGGAAAAAAATAGTTTATTAAGAGCTGAATCGAAAAAAAGTACAGAAAATAAGAATAGTATCAACGATGAAGCGATAAATAAAGAACATTCCACTAAACCAAATGAAATGCACAATAGAAGCACGTCCAAAGTTCTTTCGAAGAGCTTAAAATCAATAAAAAAAAAATCAGAAGTGAAATCAGGGATGAATGAATTAATAGAAGGGGAAGCCTCGAAGGATGAGCAAAGTGATAGTAAGAAGGATGATCAAAATGACGACCAAAGCGAATACAAAAAGAAAGAGTCAACAAACGAAATGAATGAACTGAACGAATTTGTTAAGAATATTAAATCGAAAGAGAAAAGAGAAGTAACTAAACTATCAAACATCTTTAGCGGAAATAAAAAAGAACCCAGAAAAAAGGTTCCCATTAAAAAAGTTCACATTCTAAGAAACAAAAATAATAGTTCATCTACAGTTTTTTCAAAACAAAAGTATGCATTGAAAGATACTGGTAAATTGAGCACATTTTTTCCTCGAAATACAGAGAAAATAAAATTAATTGGGTATGATAATGCCAATCAAAGTGATAAATTAGAAAGAACATTACGGAAAATTAGGTTAAAGAAAGAACCTGTCCTAAAATCTTCGATTGTTCATAACATCAGAATGGATCTTCATAGCAATGTAAACATGATTGAACAGGATATAGACAACTTAAAGAGAGAAATATATTATGAAAATTTTCCATCGAGTAGTTATACCAGTTCAACGCATTTATCCTCACCGAATGAAAGTGACACAAATACAAGCTATAATGAATATAGTAAATTCAAAAAAAAAGGAAAATATTCTTCAAAGAAACATGCTAAAGGAACTATTCGATCTGACGCAAATGACAATAGTATTAACGAAAGAGATAATAATATGGAAAATAATAACGATATTACCACAGATAATAGTAATGAAAATGTTAGTCTCAGAGAGGTAAGTAATCATCGAAACTCATTTTATAGTCAAGGTAGCGAAAATGATGATGAAGATGTTATTGATTTATGTAAAATATTCAATGTTAACCAGTCTCACAAAGTTTCAAGTAATTCTTTCAATGGAAAATCATTAACAGACAAAAAAGATAATTCGGAAAGTTATATATCAAGTTATAGCATGGAATATGTAAATAATCATCTGAGTCATCCAAGTGACGAAAATCATAGATCTTACCTTTCTAGCATGAACAGGATTAACGAAAATTTTGTCCCTATCAATAGCAGCAAGAACAATGAGCGTACCATATTTGAAAAAGATTTCCAACGAAGCAGTTCACATAATAGTGATAATCAAAATGATGCAATTAAAAAACTCAGCAAATGTAGTGAATTTCATATGAAGGACAAAATAAACAATATTAAAAGTGTAAACAAAACTGATATTTTATTTAAATTTAGACTTAATCAAGAATGTTCATTGACTAACGAAAATATATTTTCGGATAGCGACATAAGTCAGAGTGAATTGTATGCTAATCCATTGGGAACTTACCACGAATTGTCGAGTAAGGGACATTCCATTAATGAGAATCAAACGAAAGCCAAAAAATTAGGAGATCAAAAAATGTTTGACACATCGGATGATAGGGACGTATCTGTGTATTCATCTTTCCATGAGAATAATAAACATGTAATGAATACACCAAAAAATGAAGTCAATAAAATAAGCAATCATTATACCAAGAAAAATTTATGTGTGAGTAATCATAACAAAGACATCTTAAAAAATAAAAAACATAGTAATATGAACAAAACTAACGAAGAATTCATCTTAAGTGAAAACGAAGAATTTTATAATGAAATGATTCTTACAGAGTCAAAAATAGATTCACAAATTTCATATATATCTGAAACTGCAAAAAATTGTCATAATGCAAACAAAAAGGATACTGTGCATTCAAACGTGGGTGATGAAATTAATTATTCTAATAAAATTCATAATGATGGCAAATTTTACCAGCCCAATGAAGAAACATTCTCAGAATCTACAAAAAACGAAGAATTATATGACATGGATAAAGAATGCTTCACAGATAATATATACTTGAGAAGTAATTCCATAGAAGAATTAGATTCTAATTTAATCACTCAGAAGTATATAACGAATAATTTCGAAAAAGGAATAAATACAGAGGAAAAATTAAGCATAAGTGGTAGCATCGCAACAGATTCACTAGAGTATGAAATGGATAACATATCCAGTAACATCTCCTACAATAACAAAATGAAAAAAACTCAGTCAAATAAAAAATATTTATCTCAGAATGAGGCAGACATAATATTAACTAAAACTCATGATGGATATTCAAATAAAAACATAGTGCATTATAATAAATATGATAATAATAATAATTACACCATAAAGAAAGAAGCTAAACATGAAAATATGGTAGGGGAAGAATTGTCCTCAAATTTATCAAACAGCAGTGCCCATAGCATACTTACTATGTATAATGATAATAACGAAATGCAAGAATGTGACATAAATTATGACCCTTCATTTAATGCAAATGTAGAAAGCTACAATGATGGAAATCATGTGAAGGAAAAAAAAAAAAAAGTAGCCACTTTCTTACATTCCAATAAGCAAACACGAATATCAAAATTATTTTCCTTCTTTTCAAGAAAGAAAAAAAAAAAAAAAAAAAAAAGCACAAAATTGAGCACTTTCAACGAACTTATCAAAAATCAGAATGAGAATTTAAACGATGGAGACAAATACAAAAATTTTCCAAGCAACCCTTTCAGCAGTATATCTATAAAAAAAGAGGAATCTAAAGATATTAGTGTAACAAATAGTATTATCAAAAGAAAGGGGGGAAAAAAACATTTATTTATGTCTGTGTCTTTGCATGGAATGGAAAAACCAAAGCAAAATATAAAACCAAAAGGATTAGGATTAAAAAAAATGTTAATGATGAAAAAAGGAATTTTTAGCAAGAATAATTTCATTGAAAAAAAAGAATCACTATCAAAAAATAGTAATCACAGCAAATCAGAAGAAAAGGAAACAAAATCCCCCATTAATATATCATCCAAAGAAGATGCAAGTGATGGTGAATTTGAAAAAAAGACAATCGACAAGGAAGATGAGGACAAAGGTGCAGAAATCAAAGATATACAAGTAGAGAAGGAATCCTCAGAAGACATCACAAATAGTGAAGAACAAAAAGAAGAAAAAATGAAAACATCTGAAAAAAGTGAAAATAAATTCCCCAAGAAAATGAGCCCATTAAATGCCCCTAAAAAAACTATTTTAAAAAAAATATCTCCAAAGATAGTACCAAAAATTGTTGTAAATAAAGCACCTGCTATAAAAGAAAGAAATAACATGAAAAAAAATGATGATGTTAAGTATGAAGTAAAAACCGTGAAAAACATAAATGAAAAGTTAGCATTTGATATATTGAGAAAAATAAAATATTGTAAAATTGGATTTGAACCGGATGAAATATTAGGTACTCTTCCCACAGTCCATTTACTAAATGAAGATAAAATCTTGTTAGCAATTGTTCCGTGGCAATTAGATCTAACTTCATTTTCCTTAGCAAAATCATCAGTCGAAGAAGAAACAATTAAAAAAATAGGATTGTTGCATAGAAAGTTCGACTTATCTTTAGATGAAAGAAAAAATCAATTAATAAATGAAACGAGACTTTTAACAGGAGAAGGACTCAAAGAACTAGGTTTCACAAGTACAGTTTCTACGGGCAAAGCAGTTGTACCTGACATAAGTCTATTATCAGGAATTGATACAAATGCTTTAAAAAATGCATACAAAATAGAAAAAAAAAGCGAACCAAAGGAAAAAACACCTACAACCAAAAAAGAATCACCAAAAATGGCACCTAAGGAAAAAGGAGGAAAAAAAGGAGCACCAAAATTTATGAAAGGACCTCCCAAAGGAGCTAAAGCAGGACCTGTTATTGGAAAAGGAAAAGGTAAAATATCCAAAATAAAACAAGCAAAGGATGAAGGAAAAACCAAGAGATTTTTCTGGGAAGCTTTATTTGAAGATGATATACCAGGAACTTTGTTTGAAGATAAAAAAGAACTGATATCAAAAATAGCAATAGAAAAAGAAAACGTAGAAAAATGTTTTGCGAAAGCTGTTAGTAAAAAGGAAGAAGGTGGAGAATTGAAAATTAAAAAACCAAAAATAATTCAGTTGTTGCCTGATTCTAAAAGAGAATATAATATGTCTATAGCTTTATCTAAATTTAATAATTATACCTTCAAAGAAATAAGAGACGCAGTTATGGATTTAAATCCGAAAATACTTAATATTGATAATACAGAAGTTTTAATGCAGTATGTACCGACTCCAGAAGAATTCGAAATTGTTAAGGAATATATATTATCAAATGGGGATTTAAATTTAGTGGACAAACCAGAACAATATGTTGCTGCACTTATGGGAGTGCCATTATTGAAACAAAGACTGGAGTCTCATTATTTCGCTTTATCATTTAAAGAGAATTATGAAAATACATTGAACCCTTTAGAAAATATATTAGAAGCATGTGAAGCTGTAAAAAATTCCACAAATCTATTTACTATTTTATTTACCATATTAAATGTAGGTAACACATTAAATTATGGAGATCCACAAAGAGGTAATGCTTTTGGATTTAAATTAACAACACTAGCCAAATTAAATGACATACGATCAACTACCAAACCAGTTAAAACACTTTTGCAATATATATGTGAAATTATCTACCAAAAGGATGCAGATATATTAGACATTATTGAAGAACTTAGATCCATAGAAAAAGTGACGAAAACAGACAAACAAATAATTGACTCTATATTACAAAAATTAAAATTGGGCTCTAATAAAATTAAAAACATTTTAGATCTAGCAAAAAAGAACCCAGATGATCCATTATATGATGCACTTAAAGAATTTTATTTTAGTGTAGAACCAAAAATTGAGGAACTAGACACTTTTTATAATCAAACCTTTGCCGTATTCAAAGAAATAGCTCTCTATTTAGGGTATAAAGAAAAAGAAGTTGGTAACATACAAGTTCAAGATTTTTTTAAAGAATTGTGGAAATTCGTTCAATCAATTGAGTTTAATAGAAAAACAATCAAAGAAGTAACACTAAAGGAGTTAAAGAAAAAAGAAAAAGAGCTAGAAAATGCCAAGAAAGGAGCAGTTCTCAGTAAAAAACAAAATTTCGTCATTGTTAAAAAACAAGAGAAAGAACCAAAAACGAAGCTAGAAAAAAAAACATTCAAGATATTTTAATCTAGGCTATGAATAAGTACAAACAATCCTCGTAAAATATGTGATCCCATTGAGTTTTTTTTTTTTTCTTTCCGTAACCCAAGAAAACTGAATTTTCATGATTTCCCTTTATAATATTGTTATATATATACATTTTTTTGTTCCCATCCCGTTTAATGTATGTGCTTATACATAAATATATTCTTTTCTTGTGCCAATTTTGCAACCCTTTATACCATTTTTACCTATTTTTATATTCTTCTTTTTTATGTACTTGTTTCGGTGTAAAAATTTTTATATTAATAGATAAGTCATACATTTATCACGTATTAGGTAAAAAAAAAAAAAAAAAGACTCTATTTTTTATTCATTTTTCTGAATTCTTCTCTGATGTAGTTGAACAAAAATATAAGCTTAAACAAACAGTTACAACAAATTTTATTGGTTAACAACTTTAAAAAATGAAAAAAAAAAAAAAATAAAATAAAACGAAATTAAACGGAATTGAATTAAACGAATAAGCTAAACAAGCTGGGGACATCTTTATGTGTATTCTAATTTTTATAAAGAACAAAAAAAAAAATTATTTTTCTGCTATCTGTTACAGGAAAATATAATGGAAAAAGGAGTTCATCACTGGTAATATTTGTTCAGTCTCCACCTATAAGTGTGCAAGTATATACACATGATATGTTAAGATATGTGCTTGGTATTATATCTATACATTCTTTTTTAAACTAACCTTGTAGCGGCAGGTGTAATAGGCATATCACTGTCTGGACAGTCGTCTATTATATTCATGTGATCACAGGCCCTTTTAAAATGATAAATGATTTAATAAAAAAAAAATAAATAAATAAACAATCAAATAACAGTAGAAATAATTTACACACGAAGAACTTCCTTCCGTTTTGTATATAAAAAAAAAAAAAAAAATCCAATAAATCCACATTTACAGGTGATGTAACTATTTGCACATACAAACTTAATCATTATATATACTCTTCATTATATGATTACCACCAAGCGTGACATTTTAAACTCCACTCTTCTAACATTCGTATATTATATCCAGAAAAATTAACTTGGTATTTACAGGGACCATGATACAGCAAAGATGGTTTGCACGATCTCAAGGTTCCCTTCACCTTATCCCATTTTTCTTTAAAAAAAAAAAAAAAAATAGAAGCTTTATATAATTTCCATAAATATAAAAACACATTTGTGAAAATGCATATGTGTGTTCTTTTATAACACCCAAACTTGAATCATAGGGGTAGGAAAAAAAAAAAAAAAAAAAAAATTTATTCATGCATGTTTTCTTATGCTCCCTTTTTTAATATAGAACCGGGACAGTAAGATGTGAAACTTCTGACACATTTTTTGCAGGGCCAAAATGCTTGACAATTTTTAGACCATGTTTCTTTTGTTTTCTCAGATATATTTTTTATGTTGAGTTCTTCACCAACACATGGACCTAATAAATGAAAAAAAAAAAAAAAAAAAAATAATTGTTATTCTTAAAAATGACAAAAAGAAAATGAGAGCAACAATGAGGAATTTAAATGTAATTTCTTTTTTTCTTTAACCTTCATACGTGGAAGATGGTGCGCATATCTCATCGTCATCTTCGTGAACAGTACCGATATAGTCATAATCCTAAAAATGTTAATACAAGCCAATTCTCCTTTAATGCATAATAAAAAATAATATCATCAACAAAAAAATTTGCAAGGATTTTCCCCTAACATTTGGGCATGGCGTATTATAGTCCCTTTGACAGATGATATCAGGGTCAATTAACTCTGTCTCATTAACTAATAAAAGAGGAATATCTCCCCCCCCCAAAAAAAAAAAAATAAAATAAAATAATAAAAATGTTCTGAAATACAAATAATTACAGAAAAAATACATTAGAACATGTAAAAAGTTTTTAATTTACAAAATGATAACTTCTTTTCAGTACGTTTAACGGATGGTGGAGGAATGATTTTTAATTCCTTTAATAACTAAATCGTCAAAAAAGGTTAATGGGTATATACATGTGTATATTAATTCAAATGTGAGCTAGAAATAGCGAGTTAAGCAGCTGTCTACTCTACAATTGTTGTCTGTACTTATTTGTTTTTGGTAGATTTTTATTAAAAGAAAATGTGGATAATCCACAAATATACACATATATGTTTGTATACATTTTCGCTTATTTACACCTTTTATTTTCTCAATACCTCCCCCGCTAGGTTCGTATTTGAAGGGTGGCTATTAACTGGTTCCGGTGATCTTGAGGAACTTGTGATAATGTCTCCTAAAAAGTTTGAAAAATTTTCGTTTTCCTCTGGTCTCCCATGAATATTGTTGTATGCATGCAAACATGCACATGATAACATTTTCAAATTTTCTAATTTTTTACGTTTAAAAATGGTTAAGTATATATCTGCAATTATCTAAAAGAATATTTTAGAATTTTTCTTTTTCTACAAAACCTGCACTTCCCCCTATGTTCTCTAATTCAGTGTCCGAGAATAGTTTGCCTTTCTTTTGCATTAATGTACGTATTTTAATAAACAAAAAAAAAAAAAAAAAAAAAAAAAAAAACATACGTATAAAGCTGAAATTTAATCGTTCTTATAGGATTCCCCTTAATTCCTTTTACAGAAATTGTTCACGTGTTAAAATATATTTACATATTTGTGTAATAGTGCACGAAAAGAATAAACAACTTCCTTTGCTTTGTATTACTTATCTATTCTCATAATAAAACCTTCAAGCACAGTAAATCATAGTTTGTATTGCGCGTGCACGAATGTACATATTTTCATGGTACATTCATATAGGACTTGAAACTTAGTTATGCTCATTTCTTTTATGTACGTGTTTATGAACTTACTATCTCATTTTCACATGTCGCTTTCTCGATGTAAAAAAAAAGAAAGAGGATAAAAGGAAAAACAATATTCATTGTTTACTAATAATATTGCGATTTTCGAGTATATAATGTCAATTTCCTTTTTCATGTATTAAACATAAGTATTCAAGTAAGTCACCTGCGTATATTATTATATATATATGATCATATATTAATTTGACAATCATTTGTATAAGCCCTAATGTAAAAGAATAGGTAACATGTAATATTTGAAACATGCGTTTAACATCTTGAGGTAAAATCATACAATTTACATAATGAACAAAAATAGTAATCCCATGATACAATACATTAATGTGTAATTACACATTAACACCTTTTTTTTTTTTTTTTTTTTTTACTACAGTCCATAGCTTAGAATTTTTTGTTTTTTTTTTTGTTTTTATTATGGCTTCTTCATATTAAAAAACTAATTACAAAAAAGATTTATTAAAAATAAAAAAACAAATACAAATATAATAGATACAAATACTAATACATAAATCTAAAATAAAAAAAGACGTAAACAATATGTTGACAAGGGGCAAAGTTATCACAATTATCCTTATATGTTCTACAGTTTTATGGATATACAAATTCGACAAATATAAAAAGTCAAACATCATTAAATGGATACTTGTAAAAATAGGAAAATATAACAACACAAATTATGAAAATATTGAAAAAACATTCATTTACGTTTTTCAATGTAACAAATAGTTTATCAAAAAATTAGCAAAGAGGAAAATAAACAAATGATTTTTTTTTTTTTTTACAACTTATAGATTCCACTGTATCTCATAGGTGCCCTGTCTGCTTATGCAATTTTTTCCATATCTATAAGCTTATATAATTTTAATAACGTACCTAATGGTCAAGAAGATTTGTTAAAAGTAATTATAATAAAAGAAAAAAAAAAAAAAAAAAAAAAAACATATAAACATATAAACAAGCTTTTCTGAAGTTACACCGTCTTTGTAACAACATACAAACTCTCTTTTCTATACAATATGACCATTTATTATTTATTATTATTTTTTACACCATTTCTTGAAGGAGTTGAATATCATTAAAAAGCAATTGGAAAAGAGAAAATTCACCTTTACATAAAAATAAGACATATAAGACGGATGACACCACCACCTACAGAATATGCCAGAATTCTAATATCCCAGTCTTGTATATTATGAAAAAACAAAAGGGATCTCTGTCAGAAAGGAGTCATGTCTTATCACATTAGCGTTTCATAGTTTATCCTCTTCACTTTTTTTTTTACGAAAAGGTACCCCTCAAAACGATATTTTTTGGAGAAAAGGAAATAGGAAATGAGTGCAGGGATAAATTTATATTCCCCTTTTCTCCAAATCCCTTGCTTGCACTGGATAACTTTTGCAAAATTTGAAATCTCAAATTATTATAAAAATGCATGCATTTAAATGAAATTGTCGTGTTTTCGCTCTCACATAATTTTGACAGCAAATTAACGAACGAGTATATATTCGGTATAGTCCTCCTCATGATTTTTTTCCCGTACTTATCATACTTTTTCTTGTACATGGAAAACTCATCGTATTTTCCATTTTCGTCACCTTCATCATCGTCATTTTTCACACTTTCGCATATTTCATCATTCTGATCTTCTCTCTTTTCGCCAAATCCATCACTACCTGTGTTCACAAGCTCTTGGTTCATCTCCAAACATTTAGAACTACACCATGTAAAATCATTTCCATTTACTTTTGTATCACCACTTTTCATTTCAGCATACGTGTTAATGTTGGAAATATCTACTGTCCTGTTTATGCAATTCGCGCAACTTATTCCCTTTTTCGAATTATTATGTATATTAAAATGATCAGTGTTGATATCAGAATCTTCCAATATTTTATCTTCAACATTTTGATCCCTCATTGCTGTTTCACCAGTTTCTTCTGTATAATTGCTTATGTTGTAGTTTATAAAGGGATAATAGTTTTTATTGTAAATATAATTTTTAATTTCATTCAGTATTATATCATTATTAAAATCGAAAATATATTTTCTCAACTCTCTGTATTTTGTGTAACAGCAAGAACATATTAGAAAAGGGATTTTTTCTTCCATGCATTTTCTTAAGGTATAATCCGTTAATCCTCCACAACAGTGTAAACCAACTATTAAATTTATTTTATATTTATTAAAATCAAAATTTAATATAGATTCATGCATAATTAATACGTTTTTAATTTTGTTTGCAAAAATTTTAATAAAGCAGCTAAATAGTGAATTTACATTAATGTCTAATATTATTACTAGAACATTTTTAAAGGCTAATGAAATGTGAATACCCAAATCTCCTTTACCTCCTCCTACATCTAAAATACAATAATCATATGTTAAAGTGGTTCTATCAATTGTTTTTCCACCCACCAACTTCGGTAAGAAATCAGTAAAATCCTTTCTCTCTTTTTGTTTACTTAAAATTTGCTTATCTTCACACGTTCCATCACTTGCACAATCATAAATCATATTTGTGCCTTCTTCAATTAATGTTTTACAATTCTTGCCCATATCTATATCTGATTCAGTCGAATGGTTCATATAAAACTCATTAATATTGTAAAATTGTATATCATTCCATTTCGAATTTTCAAATAAATTTACATTTTTTTCTCTCAAAATTTCTATATTATTTTTTATCTTTTTTACATTCTCTGAACTAACTAATTTTTCATTTTTCTCCATAAGGAGTTCTATATATTCTAAATAATTCTCAAAAAATGTGTCATTACTTTCTATATATTTGTTCACCAAAATGGATATGTGTAAAATAATATCTTCCCCCTTAAACACAGACATTTTGGAATTTCCTTTATCTATACTTTCAAGCAAAACTTTTATGTGATTAATCATCCACTGTATTTGTGGTACTTTTTTATTGTTCATATAAGATATTATATCTTTCTTTCTTTTTTTCTTCTTTTTCCTCTTCTTTTGTTCTACAGTATTTCCACTCCTTCTTGCATCTACTAATAAATGTTCATTCGAGTTATTCATGTTCAAATCGCAAAGGATAATTTTGTGCATTCGTTTGTAACAATTCATTTCTGTAGTATAGTTAAATTCACTGGGACGTATTTCAAACAATTTTGGTATTATGTCAATAATTTTAATTATAAAAATTTCAAAATTATTCATTTTTTGATTACAAATACTTTTATAATTTTTATTTTTATACACAATATTTCTTATGCATTTTCTTTTTTTGTCTTCATTGCTATTGTATAACTCTTGAATATAACTTTTCTTCACCCTTAAACTTCTGCATAACATTAGCATGGAAAAGAAGCCACCTTCGAATAATTTAAAGAGTTCGTTAACATTGAAGAATTCGTCGTTAACCTATAAAAAATGTGCATTTTGTCATTATAATTTAATGTTATTAACTGGTAAGCACAAGTACCACAAATCAGACTCATAATAATGATAAAAAAGTGTGCCACGGGAAAGAGGAGAAAGGTAAAAATTAGCAAAAATGGAATTCATACAATAAAAAAAATATTCTTTTTTTTCTTCTTCCTCTCTACCAGTTCATACATGGATATACATGTACATAAAAAATTTTCTTCAAACGTAAAACATACACATTCGAAGTTGTGCAGCCTCATAAACTGAGTATTTTCAACTTCAGTATATCATATTTTATCCATACTTTCAGGAGGTAGGAGGAAAATACTAATATAGACTTCTCATTCGTATTAGTCAAGACAGGTAATCCTATAATATATACCAGAGTATCTGTTTTTATGATTTTCCTTACAATCTCGTATTTAATGTATTCATTCATTAATAGCAAGGGGGGATTTTCTATATCATCCATTGGATTATCCTTTATGAAAATATCATTATTCGTACATGTTTCCTCATCTTCACATTTCTTCAAGTTCGCATAAAAGTTCTTAGATAAATGGACTGAATATTCCAAAAATTCCTTACCAAGTGTTATTTCACTATTATCCTTATTTTCTGAATTCACTTTTTTCAATAAGTATGTTCCAAATAAATTAAATTTTTCTTCATCTATGTAAAAGTCTTTGCTTATTACCAACTGAACGTTTTTCTCTGTTGACAAAGATTCTTCATTAAATTTATTTTCTATTATACAAAAATTAAGGACATCATTCTTGTCATCGTCATTTTTATAATTGTGTATCTCATTAACTGACTCCTTATTATGATTTAAAATATGATATTTGTAAAATAAAACATTTCTCTTTTTATTTATTTTTCCATTCGAAATTGTGTCACAAAAATGTAGCAGTTTCCCATGTTTTCTTACATTTTTCACTTTGCAAATTAAGTGAACAAAATCTGTAAAATTATGGTTCAAAGGTTTGGAGAATCTACTAAGTGCTTCAAAGTGCGTTTTGTTCTCCTCATATATAGCTATTTCATTTTCTATGATATCCATTGTGTTTTTTTTTTTTTTTTACACATAATTCTAGCCTTTTTTTTTACACCTGTATGAGTACATGCTAATATACATATATAGCTACATGTAATCTACAAACTGTTTAGTGAATTCAGGAATTCCATTATTTCAAATCATCTGTTGCTAAATGGAGTTCAGCTCATCAACTGTTAAGCATAATTCACAAAAAAAGCAAATATAGAGTTTTATTAACCAAAAAATTAGCCGAAATTTCCTAATTAAAAAATCATTAATATATATATCCAATAGTATTAATTCTAAATTTATATAGATCTTTATACGTATTCATAAAGGTCCATGTGTATATTATGCATATATATATGTGAACATAATTTATATTCACGCTTAAGTATTATATTCATATACTTTTTTTCTTCCACAAGATTCAAATATATATTCCCGTGTAATATGTCTGAAAATATCAGTATGGCAAAGGTGAAGGTTTTCCCACATAACGTTAATTAGAAAAGGTGATGAAAAAATTTTTTTTTTAATGCATCATTTTTACATGAAAATTTTGTTCCTTCGAAATAACCTATAGAGTGTATATCTCTTCCAAAAAACAAAAAAAAAAAAAAAAATACTTCTATTAAACAAAAAAATATACTTATTATGTTTTCATGTATTACATATAACATTCACTCATCCAAATGTAAGTATCATGCCTGCAATAATTTTACGGAGTAGAAAAAAAAATTTCTTTCAAAGTAGGTTATCTTAATATGAAGCACAGGTGGATGTAAATTTATAAAAAAATAACAAGTGATGAACTTGTTAAAAAAAAAAAAAAAAAGTTGAAGAAGTTATTCCTTAATACATTTTTATTTTATATACCATTTGGAAAAAAAAAAAAAAAAAAAAAAAAAAAAGATTCTTTATGCTAAAAAAATTCTTCCAAGCAAAAAAGAATCCCCTGAAGGGGAAACAAAATAGAAAAAACTGAAAAACTTTCAGCACATTACCGGACGACAAAAATTTCAAGATGAATTACAGAAAAAGTGAGAACACTGCAGATCTAATTGACAGTATAATAAACAGTGAAAATGGGAAAGTTCAAAAGTATGTTTTGGAAAGAAAAAGAAAAGAAAAGGAATTTCTGGAAAAAAAGGAAAACATTAAAAAAAAAACTTTAATGGCTCCAAAGCTTAATCAAATGTTTATTAAAAATAAAAATGAAGATGATAAATTAATCAGCGAAACTGTTGGTTTAAGGACAGTTCACGAGTATAAAAAAATCAAGAGTGGAATTTATGGTAAGGAACAGGATAACCACTTAATTACAAATATCAAAGAAGACAAGGACAGCAAAAAGAAAAACTTCAAATTGTCTTTTTGCTCCGATGATGAAGAAAATGAAAATGATCAAGAGGAAGATGAAGAAAATGGAGATTATTTCAATGGAAATGGTAACAATGACGATGTCAATAAGGAACAGAGAACCCACATTGATAAAGGGGCATTAGGAGAAAAAACACCACAAGGAGAAGAAAATGATACTTCAGGAAATTCAACTCTTCACTCTGACATTTTTGGTGATAACAAAAATAACAAAAAATGTTTAGATAAAAATACACAAAATAATGATACACGAACAGAACATGAAAAATGTATACAGTTTAAAAAAATTATGAAAGACCCAACTGTAAATACTTCCTTTTTAAAAGACAAAGACCGAGATGAACAAATAGAATTGCGAAAAAAAGAGTTAAGAGAATTATATTTTAAATTAGAGAATGAACAGAAGGAAAAAGTTATTGAAATAACATATTCATACTATGACGGTAGTGGTCATAGAAGAAAAATATCAGTAAAACAAAAAACGACAATAGGGCAATTTATAAATAAATGTGTTGATAATTTAAAAAGTGAATTTATTCATTTAAGATGGGCATCTTGTGAAACCTTGATTTTTGTGAAAGAAGATATTATTCTTCCAAATTATTTAACCTTTTATGAATTAATTAAAAATAAAGCCCAAGGAAAAACGGGACCACTATTTGCTTTTGATGCTGTAGAAAATTTATCTGGTGTTGCAGACATCAGAAAGGAAAAAACTGATGTAAGTAAAAAAAAAAAAAAAAATGTACTATACTCAAATACTTCGAATTTTTGCATGTTAGAAAATTTCGCCTTATATGTTCATAAATACACGCATAGATATACGTATATATATATATATATGTACACATGTGCACATATATAAAAAAGTGAACAAAAGAGTTTCTCAATTTCAATTTTATTTAATTTTTTTCCCCATTCAGACACACGCAGGAAAGTTAGTAGAAAAAAAATGGTATGAAAAAAACAAGCACATTTTTCCAGCGTCCAAGTGGGAAATTTACAAACCCATGAAAACATATTCAATTAGCTACACAGATTTGTTTAATCAGTTTTCTTAGAAAATTTATCCATATAAAATAACTACAATAATTATTATTCTTATTAATATCACTATTATACATTTTGTGACCATTTATGTATTTTTCCCTTTAATTTTGATATTCATCCCTTTTTTTGTTTTTCCTGTACACTTTTTTAAGTACAGCATTGCCTGCATCTGCAAATGGGGAAAAAAAAAAAAAATATAATAAATTGCACAAAAAATTTAAATTTTTAGTTATAATTTATTTTATTACGTATAATCTCTCTGAAATGCAAATTTTGTTCTCTCAATCCATCTGCATGTCAGAGAGAAACAATAGGGTAACGTCCATTAAGGAATTTTTTTTTTTTTTTTTATATATATATATGTATATGCACATTTACATTAGTAAAAATTGCATACTTGGAAATAGCTTAGAAAATGCTTGATGTCTATCATCCACATTTTTATCAGATCCCCGGAGTTTGTACAAAAATGTGTTAATATGTTTCTGTTCATAATTTTCATCATATTTTACTTTTTGTTTTTGAATTTCACCTATTTTATATTTTTTTCTGATTCGATTGGCAACACATTCCCGTATATACACCTACAAAATGGTAAATATAGGAATATTCTATAATTTCTTCATTGCATAACAATATTTGTTCATACTTTTATGACTCTATAAAAAATTGCTCTTAGGTGGTCGCACCATTATTTTAAATTATATGTAATAAAAATTTCTTCTTAGAGAAAATCCATTTCTTAAAAGGTCTTGCACATTTTGCATAAAACATGTCATAATGTGAGGCAAAAAATTAAAGAAATCATATATTCAGAATATACTAGCAGCGGTGCTAAGTAGAGCAATTAGATACACATGCAAGTCAAGAGGATTTGCTTATATTTTTCTTAATTCTAGTTATTATACTTCCCCACATTGTTGATACAATTATCATTTTTTTCTTTTTTCTACTCCTCTGTACTCTTTTTTTTTTTTTTTTTTTTTTTTTTTTTTTACATCTTTAAAACATTTGAGATATCGAACCAAATCAGTGAACAATCGTATCATTTCTGCTCTGAATAAGATGTAATTTCCCTTGAATGAGTATTGATAAATATGTGCTGCGACTGTTACAAACCTGTCCACGGGAGTTTTTTGAATTTCTATGTAACCTGTAGAAGGACAAATTAGAGATGCAAAAACAATATGTTTTTTCTTTCTTTTTCTTTTTTTTTTCATTAATACAATTTTTAAAAGCATTATACACGAAAGCATTATGTTAGACCAAACTACAAACATAATCATGCATTTAATTATTTCTTCTTATCCACTCTTATTATAGCGAAACCGTGCTCAAATAGGAAGTTGTATATTTTAACATTCGAGTTGTTCCTTTTCAAACGAATTATATGATTTATATTTTTCGTGATGAATAATAACTGAACTATAGTTTCGGGGATGAAAGGAGATATCAACACACATTGGTTGTAAATATAATCCATATCCTTTTTGGACATAACTTTACAATGTTTCTACGGAAAGGAAAAAAGTGAAGAATGATAAATATACTTGTGAAAGAAAAAGAAAAAAAAAAAAAAATGCTTCATTGTGTTGTTCTTGTGTAAAATTTTTTTTTTTTTTTTTTGGCCCTTCTAATTCACTACCTCAACGTGGTAATTCTCTAAAACATTTGAGTGGATTTCTTCTCCTGACAATATATTTTGATTCTGATCTATATGGATAATATTCTCATTCATTTTTTCTTTCAAATAATAAAAGAAATAGAATTGTCCCACAGATGAATAGATCGAAGCTACTGTATTTTCCTTTATACTTTCATTTTTTCTGTTTATGTATTTTATATAAAGAGTAAAATATAGATACACATCTTTCAACATAAAATACACATAATACAGCAATATAAATGTATATATAAACATAGTAATAAAGGAAAGAATAATTCTTAACAATATGTGGTATGTTACTAATCTTATTTGCTCCAATTGTAGGTTAAAAAAAAATAAAAACATAAAACAAAAATTCTCCAATTTTATATTGTACATTTCTGTCTCAATATATGGATTAACGAAAATAGAAAAAAAAATCAAAAAAAGAAACCCAAAGGATAAAAAAGTAAGACAGTTCAAGTGATCATCCATGCGCATTATAAATAAAAACAAAATATTAATGAACAAAATTTTAATCATATAATAGTAGTACTTTTCTTGTTTACATAAAAATGTATGCAACCCGTAGGTATATTTGTAGGTATAATTTTGTTTCAAATCTGCAGGTGTTAAATAAATAGAGATAAAAAGAATGATGTAGTAAATAAAACAAATACAAGAAATTATTGGTATACCCATAAATGTAACAATTTTTAAATGCAAATTATTATAACATAACGTTGCAGTGTCATAATAAGACATGCTGTAATTAAACAAACCGATACACATGTAGGAAGAGAGAAAAATAAACATAATCATCGAATTAGCTATATATAAAGTTATTTGTATATATTGATAATAACATATTTTAATGGATATTTTTAAAAATTCTATAATATCGTTATCGTAAAAAATTGTCATATTAACATAATTTTGAAAAGTAAAATTATGCAAAAGTAGAGGATATATAAAGGTGTCCATAAAATTTCGAGCCATATTCTTTTTATTTTTCACCCTTTTTCCCTTATTCATAGATTCGTTTTTTTCTTTTGCATTCCTATCCTCATTGTCTACTCCTATTCTTATTCTACATTTTCGTCCACACAAAAAAATCAAATTACATATGAATGTGAAAAAAATAAACATAATGACAATGCTCACAAAGAAAGTGATTTGTGTGAAATGTAACTTAGAATAGTTTTTACCTGAATAGAGGCAATCCAATTTAATAAAATGAAGAAAATTCAAATAAATAATTTTAATTATATCAAAAAAAACGTTGTGCATATAAATATTCATAAAATAATGATTCTTTATATTTCCACTGTGCAGTTGTTGGGATCCCTCTGTTTGTTCCCTTTCATAAAATGTGTAATTTTCTCGTTCATTTTCTGTTAAATCATTTGAAAAACTCAGTAACAAAATGAGGGATAAATAAAATACGAATTCACGAAAATAATGCAGAAAATAAATGGTTCCTTTTTTATAGATACCCAAATGGTAAAAGTAAAGACTGACATTTATGCACTTAAATAGAATCAAAAAAAAAAACAATGATAAAAAAAAATAAATTCCGATGAAGAATACAATAAATATAATATGATAGCATTTCCTGCATATAGAATACTTTAAATATATGTTTTTATGATAATTTTGTACACAATTATTACACATAAATCCTTCATGATTTTCTGAGCACCTACCACATGCATCCAAGCAAACATTGGGATTTTTACAGTATATATATATATTATTCATAAAAGGATACACATTAGTTTTGTCTTCTTTCACAACACAGCTATCAAAATAGTTAAAGGTGATATCATTCTTATGTTTAAAAAAAGATTCGAAATTGTCTACATGTAATTCGGATAAATTCTTTTTACAATAAAAATTACTACCTAAGTCAGAGCACTTATCACACCTATTACCAACATAATTTAAATAGAAACTGTTGTCACATGAACAGTCATAAATGAACTTTGAAGATCTCTTATTATTAAAGCTACCCGCGGGACAACTAAAACAACTTTCAGAATTTCTGTGACTTGTATATGTGTTTTCTGGACAAGGATAGCATTTGTTATTTTTAAAATATTCCCCATAGTTGCAAAAAATAGACGTACACCACAGATGCGGAAGTAAACAACATGCCAAATAAAAGAAGAATATAATGTTCCTTTTCATTCTGTCAAAAGTTTTTTGCATTTTTCATCGCAGATTTTGTCCAGTGTCTGTGCCAAATTTATTAAATTTTGTTTAAAAGGAGAAAAAAATGATGAAAAAGAACATAGTAAAAAAGAAAAAGAAAAAGAAAAAATTCGTTAAAATATTTCAATAAGTGAGACATTTATTTTTTTAGCAATTGCGCAAAAATCTCTTCTATTTCATAATTTTTTTTTTTTTTTTTTTTTTTTTTTTCACCTCCTACTAAATCTGTTAGCTAAATGATGTTACTACATTTGGGGGTATAAGCTTAAAAGAGCAGAAAAAAGATAAAAAAAAAAAAATGCAAAGTACTTTTTTTCCTTCTTTTTTGATCGTGTTTTTATTTTTTATTTTGCATATCAAAATGTTATTGGAAATAACGCCCTTCTTTGTGTGCAACTTTGTGATGAAAATGAAAAGGGATAAAAGGTAAGAAAAAAAAAAATAAATAAAACAACATAAGGTGAGAAAAAAAAAAAAAAAAAAAAGCAAAAAATTTCCTACAACACAATAGATCACCATTTTGTTCAACCCTTTATTAGCATAACGGGAGTTCATTATACAAACATAACATTATATGATAAAATTTTTGAAGAAGGTATATATATATACATACATATATGGATACATACAGAAGTGCATGCATTAGTATTGCATATGAACAATACCTATAAATTCCTTATTTTTTTTTATTTTTTTATTTCCTTTTAACATTTCCTTGTCATGCACGTCGTCCCCAAAGTTGACATCAATTAGCAGTGCAAAATGTGCAATTTATAAAATTTTGATTCACCCCAAATAACGCTGTTTTCATATAAACTTTTACAACCAACAAGGGTATATCAAATCTGTCATGTGAAATTATAAAATAAGAACTCAAGTGACCGTCCTACAGCAATGTTTTTTGTGTGATTTAGGATATCCTCTGTTCTTCTCTACGTAATCACAGAAATTAGAATGTTTCTTTATAAGGTGAAAAAGGAAAGTTCCATAATTTCGACTCTTTTTTTCATGATAAAATGACTATTCAATATTTTGTTGTTATAATATGTAACCTGCTAAGCCTTCCATCTGTACATTTGCTTACACAAGAATTCTACATCGTGGAAGGATGATAAAAAAAGTTACAGAATGTGTGTACGTTCATCGTTACACCTTAATTAATGACAAAAGAAATAAAAGATGGATGCAAAATATATATAGAAAAAAATGTATGTTCCATTTAACAAAAATAAATTACTCTTTTGTTCAGAAAAATAAGAACATCAACAAAAATATATACAACATGAATTGTGTTGAATTGTATAGGTACAGCTGTTTACTAGAAAGAGAGAATATTACCAATGTAACCATTTACAAACAGATTAACAAGAGAGTAGAAATGATATACAAATTTCTGAACCCATCCAAGATTATACTATTAATCAAGTTATATATACAGAATACCCACTTAAATATTTACCAAAGTACGTTTCATTGTCTTATTGAAGTAGCAATTACAAAATTGTGTGAATTTCACATAGAAGAAATTGTAAAATTGTACAACATAATTAGCAAGGTAGAAAATAATCAAAATGTCGTTTATTTATTTAAATATGTTAATAACCATTTAATTAATAATTACACATTTATCGATGTAAAATCTTTTTCAATGATATTAAATGCCCATGCAAAATTGAGAATTAAGGACATGAAATTAATTAACAAATTCTTGCAAATTATAATACAAAACAATTTACCATTTGATATTGTAAACTATTCTATTTTTTTCAATGCCTTTTATAAATTAAAATTAGTAAATAATGATTTTGTACATACTTTGGTGACACAATTCTTAAGCGAAGTTCATGTGTGGATGAAAACGGAAAATTATTCTACTCAGATTTTAGGTGACGCAGGTGAAGAAAATAACCCATTGGTTCATGGTGATGTGGATATCCAAAATTCTAATCGAAAAAGCCAACTCATAGACTACAGCCCAAGTCACATATGCAATATTTTACTATATTTCACCATTCAAAACATTAACAATATTGTCAAATCAAATGAGGGGAAGGAAGTGAAAGATGAAACAAATCTCAGTGATAACATTTATATACCTTTTTTGTTAGACCTATTAATTAAAAAAAAAAATCTATTAAAATGTGAGGAAATTATAATGTTATGTCAGATCTTCAAAGTTCTAAAAATTAAAAATGACATTCTTGTTAACCATGTAGAAAAGCAGTTACTAGTTTACTTTAATAATGTGAAGGAAAAAAAAATTAACCATAATTCGGAGAATAAGTCGAATTCTCCATTTAATTCTATTGTTATCACGGATAATATTCTCGTAAAAATTTTGTTTGACATGTGTACCTTTTACAACGATATAAATGTATACAACCATAGCATACAATATTTTCTCCATAGGAAAATTGATTTTAGCACATCAATACTTCTCCTATATATATATTCTGAAATCAATTTGCTAAATTACAAAATGATAACTTTATTAATTCAAATTATTAATAAAAATTACGTACAAAATTTTCACGTGGAAAATGTGTTCCTGCTTATTAGATCCTTCTACAAAATCTGCATCAACAGTCAGTACTATTTCGTGGATAACAAAGTGGCAGATAACGTTCTGAACAACCCGCAAATTGTTTCTCACGTTGCTTGTTATACAAAAGATTCATACATGGCAGAGAATATATCACCTCATTCATCTGAAGCAGCAGTACATATCCCAAATGGCACAACTAATACTTCAGAAAAGAACAATTCTATGGTGTCCAAAAAATTATTTCAGGACAGTGAAAAAGCTCCAGTACATGGTCAGCTAAGTGCACCCCAAACTGGTAGCTCGTCATCCATAGCACCCATTCATGTGGAAAATATGTTTCAAAAAATTCAAAAATTATCTCATAACATTTTCTCTAAATTGGAAAAAGATCTGTTAAACAAAAAAATACAAACGAATCAACATAACATAAGGTTTTTATGTAAGATATTATATTATGCCACGGTTCTGAGAAAATTCTCTTTTTTAAATAACGTAATTAATTTATTTACAAACATGGAAAGCGAAGAAATTGGAGATTTTAAAAATATATTAAATATATTGCATTCCTACTGTTACGTTAAAAATAGTAACATCTGTGCCCATAAAATAGAAGAAATGAGTTATCGAACAGTTCAGGAAGAGGCTATAATAGAATTGACTAACAAAGATTTGGTCCTTACACATTACCATTTGATTGTAAATAAACAAAACTACAACCGTGAAATTAAAAACATGATTTATTTTCTCTTTGTTCAGTGCAAATTGAATGATTATCGATATGTAAATCCGGATGTTATAAAATCATGGTTAAACTGTTCCTTTTTAAACATACATTTATTAGGAATGCTACTATGCACTCTTATGTCGAAAGAACTAAATGTTATAACTTATTTTAATAGTGAAAATGCAAGAAAAACAATTTCCAAAATTTTACACTCTAATGAGGATCTATACAATGAAATAAAGAATAGTCACATAATTCTAAAAAAGGACAACATATTTAAATACACAAATTTGTATAATCAAATTTTACTGCACGTTGATAAACTTATTTTAAAGTGTGATAACATTTACGATATTACAAGAATTTTTAATTCTGCATTTATTTTTTTAAGTTATTTTGAAAAATTAAAGAGTGAACAAAAATTAAGCACAGAAAATTTACAGATGCAAAAATGTATATATAAAACCCTGAGCAATATAGAAAAAAATGTTCTACAAAATACCCATTTGTATAATAAAGAGTTTATAATTCTGTTGTCTGCCATATGTATATATAACAATAATTATTCTTACCTACCCTTTGCCTTCTTCTTTCAATATTTCGATTTGTACATATTTAAAAATTATCTTTCGTATCTAATTCTTTTAAGTTCTGATGAGGAAATTAAAAACATGGCCAATGTTGTGTTCTCCCTAATGAATTATGAGAAAAAAGAAAATAAAATAAACAACTATGGAGAAAATATCGAATCATTTTATTCAATTCACATATCACGAATTATAGCGAGTGTCGAAAATGCTGTCAAAAACTGTACAAATTCGGAAACATATTGTAACCAAATTATAAACACGCAAGGAGAACTAAATAGCAACGAATTAAGTGAAGTTTCTCATTACAAGGGAACAGAAAAAATCAGTACACTTATGAATTTAAGTCATTTCCAAATAAAGCAGATAATAAATATTTACAAACTCTTAATAAATAAGAACGATTTTGAGGGAAACGAATTTTTCAAAAAAGTTAAAGAAAAATATTTGCATTCTTCTGAAATTAATCATGTCTTGCTGAGCAACCAATCACTAAACGAGTTAAATGAATTATGCTTATCTATGTTAAAAAAGAAGGTATCAAATATATTCCTATTCAAGCAAATTTTAAAAAGGAATTATGAACACATAAATTCGGAGAATATGCACTTATTAAAATATGAGTATATTATTAATTTGTTAAACATTTGCATAAACCTAAAAAAATATAATTTTTTCATAAATGAATCAGTTGTAATTAACATTGTTTTGAACAATTTGTGCAAGTTCAATACATTACATAAAATGAATAAACTCATTGAATCACTACTCCAGTTAAAAACATGGAATTCTCATGTGAACCTAACCAATGATCTACAACTGAATGTTAAGCAGATCTACCTTGACTATTTCTTGAATAACCAAATTATAGATTTAAATAAAGTATTATATCTTCTGTATCTACTATACAACTTTAACAAAACGGATCATTTTTATGTCATATTTGAATGTTTTTTGGGGAAATTTTTTCAATTAAAGCAGATAAAAGTGTGTCAAAAAAGAAGATATAATTTTATTACAAGTTTGAATAACACTCTTTTTATAGCAAAAAATATGTACACCTTGAGCAGTCATGATGAAAATGGAAAATTTTCTCAATCTCAACGTAACCCATTTGAAAGCATGAACAAAAGTAACGATGAATATGTAATACATCTGAATAAAGAAAAAGCTAGTATAATGGAATATGAAATACGAAATATAATAGAAGAACGAAAAAGAATGATTCAAGAATTCTCATATACAGACAAAGTGGAAAATATAAAAAATATGAAACATGCGACATGCATAAATGATCATTCCTTTGTTACTTTATTTTTACTTCTTGACCTACTTAAAAACGATAAAAAAATTGAACATTATAAAATTTACAACTTTTGCCATACATTGTTTAAAGATTATATATACCTACTAAATAAAGAAGTAACCATTCAGTGCTTGTATATCTATTTCTACTCACGAATTAATGAAGAGTTCACACAAGAACATATAACCCTTCAAGAAAATAGATTCCTCGATGATAAAATACACTACATCCTTAACATTTTAATAACTTTCATTCATAATTTAGATGTATACTCAATTTTAAAATTGTCTTTTATTTATATTAATATATATATATATTCACGTAAAAACTATCACGTCAATGAAAACATCAAAATACTTTTTGAGCAAATTAACAAGAAAAAAAGTTTAATTGAAAAAAATAACATATTGTACGAGCAGGTGATGAGGTATGGGAATGTGTACATCGAAGAATAGGAAAATAAAAAAATAAAAAAGTTGAAAAGGGGTAAATATGCTAATGAGAGAACAAATCGTGGTAAGGGGAATTTTCTTGGATTAACTCCAATTTGAGGTTCTTTCCAATTTGCATACGTACTAACAAATATCCAGTGCATAATATATATACATATATATATATATATTTTTCTTTCACAGGATATTATTTTTATACACAATAGAAATAGGATAAACGTATTAGTTTCTCTATTCCTCGACTTTTTAACAAATTAGGACAAAAAAAAAAAAAAAAAATGAAATAAAATAATTTTTACTATTTTTACCAGTGATCAACCATCACGTCTTCTTTAACTTCGAAATAACAATCAGCGATGATAGATGTAATACCAAAAAGATAATGTATACAAGGATGAAGACGTTCCTCGAATCCTCAATGTTGTAATAGCTCAATATAACTACGAAGAAGAGATGATGTGAAAGGGTGTGCTATAATTAGAGGTGTAAAATGGGGAAACCAAACGGATAAATGTTCAAAAAAACAGATATTCACATTAGGCCGTGTTCACATTTGTTCAATTATGTAGATGGCACGGTGTGAATACACCCCAAACTTACGATATTCAAAATAGTAGGAGGCAAAAGAACTGGCATCTAAAATGCTAGAGTAAAAGGAGCACATCAAATTGTGTATATTTTTTATGTACACCTGTGGAGGAAGAAAAATAAAAAACAACTATTATGAAATATTCTAATAGATATGCTTAGACACATTCAACAGAAAATGACAAATTAAAATATCACTCTTTAAATTTGATTAATAACTAATGACACGTGAAGAAACAGCATAAATTTATAATAAACATATGTGAAAAAAAATTCATTCACCAAGATTTAGACTAGCATCCACTCAGTTGCGAAAAAAAAAAAAAAAAAAAAAAATGCATTACCTTTGTAACTAGAATGTAAATAGGCATATAAAAAAAAGTCTTATGAAGCGACTTCAATATGGTTTCCAGAAACTATAATGTAGAAAAAAAAAAAAAAAGAAGAAGAAATGGAATATTTATATCTCACATTATGATATATACTATCACAAAGGAATAGATATAAGGATACTGAATTTGCATTCCCTGCATTTCTACTATCATCCCATTTTTGACATTACCAGTAAGCATATATGGTTAAATCCATTGTGCAAAAAGAAAACGCGAAAGGACATCAGGAATATATTAATGAGGGAACTTAGAAATATGGATGAAGCATAGGATTCTTCATTAAAGTAACTAATATAAAGATACAGACCTACTAAATCTGTTACATAACTTGCGAAATTTAGATAACAATAGCAATGTAAGTCTAACGTAATATTTTTAATTTTATAATTTAAAAATATTCTATCAAATGTTGGTATAATTAACAATAAACAAATGTAGAAAATATTGGAAAAGTTCAAATTGTTTAATAATAACTTAATAGGATAACTAATAATGATGTTTTTTTTTTTCTCTCGTCTTAAGCTATTCATACTACTTAAACTACTTATACTGTTCATATTGTTTATGTTATATATGTCCTCTTTCAATTGTCCACTGTTTAGTAATTTTTTTTTTTTTTTTCTATTTAAATATGCAACATCTTTCTCAATTATGGAATTATATTTTGCAATCCCAGAATTTTGTATTCCTGAATAAAAGCTAAACCTATCAGAAATGTTAAAAAAATTTTTAATACCCCCTAGAAGTGGAATCACAATTTTGTGTTCTCTTTTATTTCGAAAAAAAATGCTTGTATTGCGTTCATCACATTTTGAATCATGTACTGTAAGCAATGTATAATTGTGATTATAATTGATATTATTTTCCTTTTTTAAAATATAATTTTTTAATCTTGATAGTATTTTAAAAAAATTTAAAGATTCTGCTATATGTTTTGATATGACACAAAAAGGATTCACATATTGTCCTTTTTTCGTAGACTCATTTAGTACGAATTCATTATTAAGTAGTTTTTCATTGAAGTATGTATTCTTTGAAAAATTAAAATAATCCCCATAGTATTTATCATTGTAGAGGGTGTTACTAAATATTCCTCTATCAAAATCGGTATTCTTGATACATAAATTATCATTACTATTAACTTTTGTTGCATCCTTTTTAACGTTGTAATTGACCTCTTCATCATCTGATGATGAATTCTTGGTTTTGTCTTCACTCTTGTAACAGTTGCCCGTTCCACCCCCTTCTTTAATATTGATCTTTACAGAACCATTTTCCTTACAGTTTATTTTACTTAATTCAATGATTCTACCAAACTTTTCCTGTTTTTTACAAGTCACATTTTCAAATTGTTTAATATCATCATAATTAAATATATTGTCCTTGTTTTTGAGAAAAATAAAAGAAAGTATAAAAATAGACAGTGTTTTTATAAAAGTATTTATAATCATAATATTCACTTGCTCATACAGTATTACAAATATGTGATATATAAAATATATAAAAATCGTGGATAAACTTAATATCATTTTACTAATAACTTGTATAACGTATATAGCATTTAAGCTAAATTCCTTTTTGTATATATTTGTAAGTTTGCCACATAGAAAAAAAATATTTTCTGAAATTACATCAGTAACACTCTCTAACAAGGAATATAAAAAACAAAAAAAAAAAATTTGTTCTTTTTTCCTTATAAAATTATTCGAAATTAATATTAAAATACACGCGTTAAATACCTGTATAATTATACATGATAATATTAGTATATTCAATTTTAAATGATAGTATTCTGCATTTATTCTGTTGTTTATCAATTCTCGAACATTATGCGAATTGTCTCTCTTTCCATAATTAAAATTTTTAAATTTGTTATAATAATAATAATAATCATTATTTTCGCCTGACCCCATATTATTTTCTGTTAAATCACAGCTATCCTTAAATAGATAACCCATTTTTAGGCTCCCTCTTAATGTTTTGTAGGACTTTTTTATCTTCTTCTCTTTATCATATGGATTATTTACATTCTCTCTTTTTGTATCTTTATTTGTAGAACCCATGTTATCAACAATTGCCAGTGATTGAGAATCTTTTTGTATGGAACTATTTTCATGTCCATTGCAATGATTACATTTTTCTGTATCCTCATAGTCATAATATCCCAACGTCTTCGAAATGCACATCATATTTTCATTAAAATTTTTAAAATGAATTTCTTCATAATTCCGATTCTCATTGTTGTATTCATGGGGGGTTGACGCATTGAATTCAGAATAATCCACATTTCTATTTTCAAAATAACTCGCAAAATCGCTTGTTATTGTGTCATTCTTTTCATCTCCTAGTTTTACATAATTCCTTGTTTCCTTTTTTTCTAACCTGAATTTCAACAATTGAAGTTCTTCCTCATTTGAACATCCTGTCAAACTATTCGGCGTGCATGAGTTTATCTCGACAATACTAGTATCGTAATTCATGTGTTCGCTAAAGTTTTGTACTCTTTTGTTTATGCACATGTCTTTATCTCTTTCTGTTTCATTGATACTGTCTAATGTGTTATTGCAGATCATGCTATCAATAATTTTCTCTCCATGGGAAATGTTACCATCAAAATTGTACTTGTTTTGTATGTTCGAATATAGCTTGTTTAAAGTACACTTTTCATTTTTCCTCTTAATTCTCTCATCAGTTGGACTAATAGGAGAAAAATTCCTAATCTCAATTTTATTTCGTTTCTTTTGTTTCCTTCTAAAAAATATATTTCTTTTATTTTCAAATATATTATGAAACAATTTATTACCATGAGGGCATCGTATATCTTTTCTTAATAAATTATTTTTTATAAAACTATTTCTACATGTTATAAATTTTATGCGTACGTTCTTCTTTTTTGCTTCTTCTTTACATGTAGACTTTTTTGTTGTGCTTTTTCTGTGCTTTCTTTTATCCAATTTTAATTTTTTCTTTCTTTGCCATATGGAATATGTTTTATTTTTTCTTATCATATATTTCCTGCATTGGTATAGAGACATATCGGACAAGCGCTTCACACAAATATCATTTACACTTTTTTTTCTTTTACTAATTCTACGGGAAAATCCATCCTTGTTCCTTTTGTAAAAAAGATTTTCATTGATATCATTGGATTCTTTTTCATAAGATGTTGAAGAATAATATATTTTCTTAAAATTATTATTAATCTTTTCCAAGTAATAGCGAATATACACATAGTAGGCGATATAATCAAAGAAAAGCGTATAGAAGCATTTTAAACATATTGGTAAATACACAACGACAAATAATTTTGTATTTAAGAATTTGTCATCATTTTTGTTATTAAAATTAAAGAAATGTGTGAAATAATAAAAAAAATTTTCTTCTTCCTTTGACGACTCAATATTTTCATATTTATTTAATAAAAAAGTAAAAAAATGCGATATCGTAATTTCTGCATATGTATACGTTATTCTTAAAAAAAAAATGTATAAAAACAGGATATGATAAATGTAGTAATTTTCAATGAAGTAATAATAATTCATAAAATTTAACAGCTTTTCTTTTAACATGGTTGCACGAGATTAATTTTTGTTCTAAAGTTTTATGTTATAGTTTGTTCTTTAATATATCTGTGCATGTGTGTATACGTGTATATTATTTCTTCTACACATATAAACTACGTCTTCCAAAAAAAATAATATCAGAATTTTAGAACAAGTGTCACATTTATATAGCTATTTCAAATCTATTGCATGTATTCATAAACAGACATTTATACATTATCTCTCACTGGGGAATGAAACTAAAAATATGAATTCACAAATATGCATAAATAATAACTTAATTAGAAACTCGCTAAACATATTTAATAATATTAATTAGTATACAAAACGTTTTAACATATGATAATAAATTAGATATATAAACATTTATATGTAGGGATACATATATTTTTTCCTCAGCGAGCCTATGTCTGAACATACAAAAAAAAAAAGGGGGAATAAAAATAAGGTGCAAACGAAAAGTAACAGTGACCTAAAAAAAATTATATGGATGATTCTCTACACTTATATCAAATTTTTTGTGAACAAATTAATCAAATAAAATGTATAAGACACAAACAAAAATTTTAATTATACGTAATAATCACGCTGTGGATAATCATGTGCGTGCAAAAAAAATAAAGCATGTAAAATATATACTGCATTTTAAAAAAATTGAGAAAAAAATAAAATCAAATAAAATATTTCATATTATAAAACGAACGAAACATGAAACAACCGTGCACTCTAAAAAATGTCAAAACTAAAAAACCACAAAAATACATTTTGCATGTACCAAAGTTCTCATTGAAGCTACGTTAATTATGAAGTTGACGGGGAATATTTCATAATGTTATATTAACTTTCGAACATATAACCTGAAGTGAAAAAAGAAAAAAAAGAAAAACACCATGTGGGGACACAATTAAACACTCACGGAATGGGTTAGGGGGATGTGTAAAAAATGTTCATTTTTATATGCAACATAACAAATTGTGTAATACTCTTTCCTCTATCCTTTTCAAGTTCCATGGGATATACATATGTATACACATATGTGTACATATTAATGGTGAGATACAAACGCCTCGTAAATGTTAAACCAATTTTATATTAATATAATGCAAATTCCGCATTAATATTTTTGCGAATAAATTTCCAAATGCTATTTTATGTGTTTTTACATGAGCTTGTGTGAGTTTACGGATGTTTATTCTTTTTACACTCCCCTTGTTCTAAAAAGTGTTTTTATATAGTGTGTTTTATTTTTTCGAAAATTTTTTAATGCAAAAAGGACATATACTGTTTTTCATTAATAATTTTTTTTTTTTTTTTTTTTTTTTAAATGTGCATGTGTTCAAATGTTAGCGTCTCCCCCCATTATCTTTTCCTTTATCATTAATTTTAACTTTTCTAATTCATGTATTAAACGAGATATGCTCTCTTTTTTTTTATTTATTCACAGTCACATTTCGAATACCCGTGCTTTTGCTTTTCCATGCATATCACGTAAATATTGAACGTTTATGTATATGTACACCTAATGTGTGTGGTGTATACCCGTTGGATTATTTCCATTTATAAGCACATATCTCCAATAATATATAGCAGAGCACATAAAGATTTTCACTTTTATTTTACACAAACTCATTTTCCCACATTTACCATCTGTTCAATAGAAAACTCAAAGTGTGTTCTGAAAAGTGTATATAAAAAAAAAAAAAAAAAAAAATTAAAAACACTTTTGTTTTAACATATGTGACATAAAAAGTGTTGTGATTTTATGTGTTTTGTGCTGCGTATCACTTTAATATAAAATTAAATTTTTCTAATAGGAACATATGCATCCTTTAGTTTTTCCCTTCACATACTTGCATTCCTTTGCTTATCATTCCACTTACCGCTACTCTGTTTTTCTTTTATTTTTTTTGACATATATATGTACATATGTGCTGCTGATTCAATTTGCTATAGCGAAATGGAAAAAAAAAAAAAAAAAAGAAAAAAAGCAAACAAAACAATTATGTTTTTGCTCTTTCTATTAAATACACGAATGTAATGCTTATCACAAGAAATATGCATTTCCCCCATTTACACATGTACAGTTTATATTAATTTTTATTTTCATATCCTCGCCCGTTTCATGTGTAACCTTATGCGCTTTGCATTTTACTAAGCCGTTTTAACAAAATAGCACATACATATATACATATATATGCACATGATTATTTGTGTAACTATACCGTTTGGCATTAATGTATGCACATGTACATATGCCTTTATTTCTTTATAAAATAAGCACATACCATTTGCATATCATTTTATTTCCAGGTCCCTGCTAGAAGGCACACCTTGATAAAATAATTTCATCACACAGTTTCGGGAAACAAAGGGAGCATTTTTTGTTTCATACGTCATAATTGTGTATATATATATATATATACATACATGTGAAGCGTGTTCTATGCAATTTATACTGCCTTGATTGATCAAAATAGAATGAAAATATAAACTTCCTATGAATGATTTATGTTTTTATTAATGCATGATTCGTTTTCCTCTCTCTGTTTTTTTTTTTTTTTTTCTTTTCTTAATTCAAATTGAAAATACAAAAAAAAAAAAAAAATAGATGAATAGATAAGTATATCATTAGACATTGCATCCGCAGAACAGTTGTTGTGTATGAAAGTAATAACATCGATAAGTGTGGGCATAATCATAGGGATATTTATAATTCGAACATTTAACGATACAGACAGATTTTTTTTTTTTTTTTTTCACACACTTTTTTTCGTCAATTTTTAATAACCCGTACAAATGCTTATGTAATGAGATTACTACGATAAAGCAAAAATAGATAAAGAGAAAATGAATAAATTTATTAGAACGTTAATACTTGCTGTTGTTATTAAGATACAAATTAATTTAGGAAGAAGTTTAAGCTATGATAAACATTGTTGTTCCCCAAACGTACATATTAATTTTCACCGAAGTAATAATACTAGTGAAGTTATAAAAAAGATTAATACTTCATACAGGAATGTTAAAAGCAAAAATAATTACAACAATTTCACGAATAATTCTTCCCTTTTTATTAATAATTATAAACCAAAATATGAGAAAATAAAAAGAGTGAGTCCATTAAGTTTTAACATCAAGGATGCCCATAATTATAATACAAAAATTAGTCAAAATGTAATAAATGCATTAAACAGAAAAATAAATGATGGATTTTTTTCCCTATTCAGTTCTGCTAATAGAGACACAAGCATCTATAGCAATGAATTTGAAAGTAATAAAATTATAGATGATATATCACCCAATAATAATTCTGAAAATACTGGAAAACAAAATCAGAGTTCATATGGGAAAACATTAAATGATAATAACAATTCTGGAAAAGATGTAGATCAAAAAAATTCATGTACTTTTTTAAATAAGGTAGTAGAAGGAGGAAAGACAGTATCGTTACTAGGGTTATGGTATGTATGCAATATTTTTTACAATATTGAAAATAAAAAAGCATTAAATTTGTTAAATTTGCCAATTACAATTGCAATAGCACAGATATATGTTGGATTGCCAATTTTCCTAATTCCGTGGTTATTGAAGTTAAGAAATCAACCTGAACTCTTTTATGATGAACAAGAAATGAAAAAAATAAGTTTTAGCGATAGAAATGCATTAATAAAAGGATTTCAAAAATATGTCCTGTTTTTAAAAAAATATAGTAGCATAATGAAACAAAGTATATATCATGGGTATGCCCATTTATTATCAGTAATGGCAATGGGAGCTGGTGCAATTAGTTTTGTTCATATTGTTAAAGCATCTTCTCCATTATTTGCAGCATTCTTTTCATATTTCCTAATGAATAATAGAATGTCTATATATACTTACACCTCTCTATTGCCAATTGTGTTTGGTGTATCATTAGCTTCTATAAAAGAATTATCATTTACGTATAAAGCATTATATTCAACTTTATCAGCCAACGTACTTTCAACTATGAGGGCTATAGAAGCAAAAATCATGATGGATAAAAATCTTGAAAAAATAGGAAAACATTTAACTCCAGAAAATATATTTGCACTTCTAACTCTTTCATCTGCAATATTTTTAACCCCAGCTTTATACCTTGATGCACATAAATGGAATGATGCATATTCGTACTTAATGAATAATAAAGACGTTTTAAAAGTCTTGGGAAGACATGTACTAATGTCAGGTGTATGGTTTTATTTATATAACCAGTTATCATTTATTTCATTGAACAGATTAAATCACATTACCCATGCCGTTGCAAGCACAGTGAAAAGAGTTTTCTTAATATTAACAAGCTACTTTATTTTTGGAACGAAGTTTTCTCTTCTTGGTGGATTGGGTTCAACAATGGCTGTAAGTGGAACATTCTTATATTCTATAGTAAAAAAAAAATTTGGCTAGCTTTTTTTTTTCTTTTTTTTTTTTTTGAAAATTGCAAGAATGCAATGAGTTATACCATGAACATTTCATATATATAATAGCAAAAAAAAAAAAAAAAATAAATAAATAAAATAAATAAATAAATAATAACATAAACTGAATAATATATACACATATGTATATCCTTGTTTTTGTTGTTAAAAATGAGTAAAGTACTATAAATTATGTATACTGTAAAAATGAATGTTACCCACATATATTCATATACATGAATGTAACCATTTATATACAATTTATACTTAATAGAAATGCGTTGTTTCCTCATACTTGTCTGTTCCTATATATGTAAATTGATATTTATGTATAATATATATCTATTTAAGCATATTTTTCAGACTGTTTTATGTCAAGCTGGCATAAATAGTTTTATAACACTTCTGTTGAATTTTTTCATTACACGAAGCTCCATAACTATGTACACAAATATATATGCTTCTCATACATATGTGTGTTAACACCTGCATGCATACATATATATAAATATATATCATTCGAATTAATAGTTTGCAAATTCTTATTTACACGCCAATTATTATATTTATACATTTTCATACTTGCTATATTATTGTTATATTTTTTAATTTTATAAGCAATAGCTTTGTTTTTTGAAAAATAATACACCATTTTTTCCACAAACCCCAATTTATACGCCTGCACAAAATCGTATACTATAAAATAGTAATAAATCTTTGTCTTATTTTTAATAAATCACGTGAAGTAATATCTTTTTACCATTAAGGAGTTGTACATATATTATTATGTTACTACAAGTAAAACTTCAAATGATAATCTAAATTGGCACCAAAAGTGCACTAAATGAAGTGATACTGTTTGACAATTTAGGCAACTCCAACTTGTTGAACTCCTATATTGGAAACTAGCCTACAACTAAAAATTACGCACACAATAGTACTGTTATAAATTAATGCACCTGTTTTGAGTTTAAAATAGTTATTCGCCACAAAACCCTATCTCTTTTTATTTGGCTCTTAAATTCCCTTTAAATTTATCCTCAAGTTGTGTGCTCCTAATTGGGCATTATAATAAAATTAGCCCATATTGTTTAGACACTCGTGCGATACTTTTTTATGCTAACTAAAATTTTAATTACAACAATTTTGCTAAATATTAAAAACGATAAATTATATGAATAAGTCAATTCACGCATTTATGTATGGATATATATATACATGCATATTTATAAGAATCGGTATTTATACACCTTGAAAAGGAGCAATGACATATGTATCAAATAACATTAAAACTAAAAAAAATACAGAAAACACAAAAAAAATATTTCCTATAAAAATAATTAAATTATGTTCTGAATTGAAAAACAAATATGACTATATTATTTTCATATTTCTCTTTCCTATGACAACATATTTAAAGAGAAAAAAAAAAAATATATAAATAAAATGGAACTAAAAAAAAATATCCTAGGAATATATATTAAAACAAGTAATAGGATCCCTGGATACTATAATAGGTTAAAATAACGGTGTTCTAAAAACAAAATACAAGACACTCTTTACATCGACTTTCCTAGCTATTGTAAAAATGAATGTGTAACACGTGTGCCAAAGTTTTATGGTCTCAATTAATTATATTCTATTTTTTTATCAATTTTTAATCAAATTTTTTTTTTAACATATGATCACCTTATATTATTTCGTTCATTTTGTCCTTAAATTAAAGAATTATTATAAGAAGAAAGAGAGACACAGTTAATACGGAAATTATTACATACAGGAAAAAATTACTTGTGTTACTTGTAACTCTTTCGAAAATATTCCTATTCCTATTCAGTAAATTATTAGTTTCATCTACTTCCCTATCTATGTCATCTAATAGTTCATTATGTACCTGTAATTCATTGTTTATATTATAGCTGATATTTTTTAGGTTGTGTGTCGTGCCTTCAAGAAAGTTCAGTTGCTCGTCTTGCAACTTCATCAAATTTTGCTGTTTCAGTAATAACTCTTCCTTGTTTAAATCATTTAAGTATGATTTGTTTTCATTGTCAAAATCGTTTAAAAAATTCATATTTATGTTAAAAGAAGCTTCCTATAAAAAAAAGAAAGAGAAAAAAAAAAAAGGTGTCTTTAATCGTATAAATACACATGAATGATTACATATACATATGCACATCCACTGTGTTATTCCTCGAATCATTAAGGGCTGATAATTTATTTAAAATAGTACCTCTTCATTGGTTGAAGCATAATCTTCATATAAATTCATTATTTCTTTTTTCATTTTTTCTAATGTGGACACTTTATTCTGGTACTTGGATTCATTCTTACTATAAAGCTTATCATTCTTTATGTAATCATTATTTAACTGATGTTGTAAAAATCTGATATTTTGATTAAATTCTGTTATCTTACCCCTTAATATTGCCCTATTTTTAGCCTTTTTTTTCTCCTTTTCATTTTTTTTTAATATCTTTTTAATTTCTTTCCCTGTTTGTAAGGCCTTTTCATAGTCTTTTTCCCACAAATCCATTATCTCTTTGTTTTATATGCATATATATTAGATGTGTATACATATAAACAAATTACAAGTACACATGTGCATATGTTTTTTTTTTTTTTTTTTTTTTTTGTTTCTCTTAATTACGAGAAATTCTAAATATGTAGGCATGCAAAAGTTTAATAAAACGAGTATGTTTCTATGTAACTAAATCTGGATTTTTTTGTATTTATTTTAATTCCCCTTGTACACCCTTTTTATGCGTATTTGACTTTTTATAATCACATAAAATGGTTGAATATGTGTATATGTATATAAGCTAATTTTGTGCTATGATTCATCAAATAACAATCATCCATGTGTTATAATAAAGCCAATGTTTTCTATATACGCATCCTATACAATTGAATTAGGCTAAAGTGATTCTTCTCCAATTACTTAAACAGTGTTATCTCGTACATATATAAATACATGAATGTATATGTACGCATAAAAATTACGTATACACAATGTTTAAAAAAAGCATGTTCTAAAATCATGACAAAATTACAGTTGAGCACTTTTTTCTTCTATAACAAATCTGGTTCTACATAAGATATTTTTCCTTTATAAAAAAAAAAAAAAAAAAAAAAAAAAAATTGGTTTCAATTCTTTAAAATTATAAAACTCAAAAAAAAATTATTACAAGAACGAGTGTAAAATATGTGTTATATATATATACATATTAAATGTTTCATTCTTTACATATATATGCATTGGTCACTTGCTGACTATAATGTCAAGGGTGTGCCCATTTATTTGTCAGCAAAATATTTTACTATGTTTGTCAATTAGTTGTATTGTGTAAGTTTCATGCACTTATATATATACCTCATCAAAATAACGAATAAAAAGGCGCCTTTCTAATTTTTGTAAATATTTAAAAAATATTCAAAGCGTAAATATAAATAAAACATATATGTATATATCACTTTTGATGCAAAAACTAATATTTATTAATAGGAAAGAGTGTTATACTGCTTCGAACGACTCCTTTAATTGTTTTCAATTTTTTTTTTTTTTTTTTATAGCGCCAGGAAATTGTTGTGAAAAAGCTATTTCATTTATTGTGGATCTCTTAAAAGTTTTAAAACCAAAAGGCGGAAAATGGGGCTAATGCTGTCATAAGAAGGAAGAAAAGGAATGAAATAAATAAAACAAAATAATAAGAATAAAATAAACTGTACAATGTTCTCAAATTTGTGATAATAAAAAAAAAAAGGTAAATTTATTTTTCTGTTTTTCAAGTTTTTACTTCCATTGTGTTACCTCCACCACACTATTCCGTTACTGTGCTAAGCGTTTTTTCCCTCTTTTTTTTTTTCCACTTGAGGGAAATAAGCTTTTACCTAACTCTTCCCCTTTGGTACAAGGAATTATACTTAGATATCCCTTAAACGGAATAGAAAAAAGTTAAGAGGAAAAACTGAATGTGTTAACGGGGCACAAATAAATCTTTATTGTTAGTGCCCTTTAAATTCTTTTGCATTGTTCTGGCTTAGTTTACTCAAATGTTGGACATGTTAAACAACATGTTTTGGTGTATTTATCTGTTGATATGTGTGTACATGTACACATAGACATATTCATATGTATATTTAGTTGTTCACACTTTTGAACGTTTAAATGTTTATGCACTTAGATTTGTCACATAATTTTTGCTTTCTCACTTTTTACACCTCGAACTTTAACAATTTCATTCATGCAAAATTCCGCGTACTTGGTGTTTACAAATCACGTTTTGGTTATCTCATTTTACTTTGTTCTCCCTAGTGTATATTTTATATCTGTAGTTAAAAAGGTTTACAAGCACAATAGTGCACAACGGAGAAAAGTGTATATACCTTTTGCTCTTCGTGTGCAATCGTGAAGAGATTATTTAGACAGATAAATCAACAAATATACATTTATCACATGCATGTAAAATAAGATCTCACTACTACTCTAGCTGTTATTTAAAAAAATAAGCCTTTTACGTTGTAAAATGTTCATGTGCTTGTAATATATGTAATTTTTTTTTTTTTATTTTATGTTTTTTTAAATTTTTGCAGCTAAAAAAAAAAAAAAGAAAAAGAAAAAAATTATTTCATTGGTACATGCATAATTTAGTTTTTAGCTCTAATTAAGTAGCTTTAAATTAAACGGTATTACTTAATTGTTATCTTATTTTTGTAATTACTCAACATTTTATTTTTTATAAAATTATAATTTTTTTTTTTTTTTTTTTTTTTCATAAAATATAAAACAATATTTATTTTTTGAATAACATAACAAAGCATAAAACTATAAAAGTTTACTTTGTTTTTTCATGTACTCGACAAAGTAAAAAAGCTTTTAGTTTGTATTTCTCAATTTTTACAATTTTATTTTTTACCAAAACGCCTTTAGCTTTCATAACTATATTGAATTGCATATTCTGTGCTTTTCTGCAGCAGGGTTACAAAATCCTAGGCATTTCTTTTCTCATGTTATTTTATAATTTGTACGTCTTACAAAGGAATACATAAAAATAAGAAAATACACACATAGATATGCATGAACACACGTATTTATATATATGTAACTTATATACGATTCTACAATGTGAAAAGAATATCTACATGTAACTTTACATATAAAATTTCGCCAATTTTACATTTTAGGAGTAACTTTTTCATAAGAGAAAAAATAAAGGCAATATGAAAAAGGACAAGTCGAGGACTAAAAAAAAGCTACCCAAGGGACAAAATAGATACATACCCACGCAGGAAGAAGTGGAAAGAAGAAACGCCGAAATTACAAGAAAACAACAAATGGAGAAAGCTGCAAACGCTTCTGAAACGGAATCTGACAGAGAATCATTATATATGACGGATTCACAAGATAATGGCTCAGAAAATGAAAACTCTTCTGAAAAAAAAAAAATGGAGAAAAAGGGAAATGAGAAAGAAAACGAAAAGGAAACACAAAAGGTGATAGAAGAAACAGAATCTAAGGAAAAGACCTCTAAATAATATTCCTAGGAGTATCGCTCAAATAAATTCTCACGCAACGTTAAGAAACACTTTATTTTTACAGGACCCTCCGTATAATTTTGCTACAGCTTATTATTTTCTCCCATATTACTTCCCACATTTTTCCCCATATTATTTTATTCCTCTTTTTATTTTTTTTTTTTTTTTCCCTAACTATTTATTCATTAGCCATAATCACTCCCATCTAAGGGATGTAAAGTTTCAAAATACCTATATTTTTAATAAAAAGTTGTTTTAGTTTTTATTTTACATATATAATTGTGTATCATAGAATAAGATACATAAAAGAGAAAATATCCCAAAAAATAGGGAACCTTTTATAAAATTCATTCATTATATATAATTAGAATTACAAATGCATGCGCAAATATCTATTCGTTGCAAAAGAAGTTAAACCTCTTTATGCCATTTTATTTGACATGATGTAATTTCATAACTGCACATGTCCTTTTTCTTTTTATTATTCTCATTGAAACAAACGCTCTGAGCGGTGTTATTATTACATTATTAGAGAAGTTATACTGATGTAAACTATGCGAGACTGAAATAATAGAAACTCCAAAAACATTTTAAAAAAACATAGCTATAGACGAAAATACAATAGAAGTACTATTTGAAAGCATAGTACGAGTTACTTTGGGGTAATAAAATATTTATCTTTTAACAGTAAAGCAATAATATTTTTAAAGACTTGAACAAAACATCGCTCACGTTACAACATCATTATGTATAGGCGATTGGGGTTTTTTGAGTTAAATTTTCAAATATAAGAAAGTATATTGTAGTTAAAGCTTTGCAGGGAAAAAAATAAGTGGACATGGCCATGTTTGCTTTAATTATCAAAAAGGGTATATATCTAAGCATTTCCCATATGTGCGTGTGTTATTTGTGGAATAAAAATGAAAATTTGTATATATGTATGCACGTATAAATACATCTGGTTTCTCATGAGTGAATAAATACTTAATTGTAGTATGATTAAAAACAGAGTTCATGTTTTAAAAGCAAAAAGTTTAATGTATCCATTTTTGCAATTTCGTCGTTATATACACTACCGCATTTTATTATCCCTTCTTAGTCACAAATGGAAATATATTAGATCTTGATTTTTTCCAAAAAAAAAAAAAAATAAGAAAAAATAAAAAGACATTACTACATAAAATCTATAATATATTTTTAAGGCCTCATAGAAATATATACCATATGTTTAAAATGGGCAGAAAGAACATTGAAACATTGTGGACGTTTCATGTTTACATCCAGTTCATTTTGTCTGAAAGTTCACAATTCCTTTTACCCTCGCGCAGGAAATAACTTAACCAATAATTCATATATTGTAAACGTAACGTTTAAAAAGGGGATAAATTATACAAAAGGGTAAAACACCCCTTCCCCCTTCCTTTTGAATTATGATCTCATAGTAATTTCCCATAATATAGGTGTGAATATACCTATGTGTATATATATGTATGCCTCTGTGTATCTAATACGTATGTGATCATGGCACTCTTTTAAAAATCCTTAAAAGGGAACAAAAGTTCTTATGATAAATGCGTCTTTTTTTTTCCCATCCCATAACCAATTTATTGATGCGAAACGTCTTTTCATATATTTTTTTTCATTTATTGAACATTACAGAAATGTGATACAATTATAATAAACGTTAAAATGTTCATGTTGTTTATATAGTAATTACCAAATGTTCTTTCATTTATTCCTCACAATTAGTAGGTTCTTCTCTTATGCAATAACAGACAGTCTTAATTATGCTTTGTTACTCTGTCATATCAAGTTAAATAAATTATTTTATTTAGTTCATTTTATGCAATATGTTTTTGAACATTTTTCTGTATTTTTCATTTTTTACAATGCTTTATTTTATATTATTATTTCCTTGTGCAATGGTTTAAGATTAAAAGAAAAAAATAAACTCAAGCCATTATGGGATGGGGAAATATTTTTTTTTTTTTTTTTTTTTTATACATTTATATGCATTTTGCTATATTTCCCCCATTCATTTTACCACAGTCAAATTAGGCATTATATAATTAAATAATACTTTTCAAAATGCTTATTTTTATTTATTTTGTTACTTAAAATACGAATTTGAAGTTGAATAATGCCTCAATATTGATAAGAAAAAAAAAAATTGGTTTAAATTCTTTATTTACTATTTTTTAATAACCTTGCATGAAAAAAAAGTTGAAAATAAAAAATTTACATACAGTCAGACCCTACATTATCAAACCTTATATATGTTTTTTTTTTTTTTTTTTTTTTTTTTTTTTTACTCTTCATTGCCGATGATTATATGTTGGATTTATATTACGCTTTATATATGAATTCACATATGAATATATTAAATTTCAATAGTTTTATCTGCTTTACAATTTACATTTCTTATTTAGCCTAATTTTTTTCTTTAAAGAATTATGAAATTAAAATTTATACTTTTTTTTTTATGTTTATTCATTTCTTTTTACTTTGAACAATTTGTTTTATGAATAAAATATCATCCTTTGAAAAGTTCAACGAAAGAAAAAAAAAAAAAAAAAAAACACTGCCCTATGTGTTTTATAGCCGCATTTTATGTGTACATATATAAGTATATATACTTTTTTATTATGTATTTATAAACTTTTCTCTGAGCTTTGTTTTTACATTTCCCCATCGTAATATATCGTTATTACTTTTTGCAAGGATTAACAAGTAAAAAATAAAAAACGCACAAAATAATTGCATCCCTGAAAATCGTCTTTTAATGAGAATTTCCTTCCCAAGTATGCTCATACATAAAAGTATTTGTGATGTATGTATGTGCGACTGTCGTATGTTTAAAATATTTTACCATATCATTACACTCTATTGTGACACATATATAAGATTCCTACGCATATACATATATGTTTACGGTCTTACATAGGCTCCCATGCAAAAGGGGTTTAAAGAAATCACCACGTCTTCCCGCTTATCTTTATAAATTACACGCGCAAAAATTAACTACATAAAATTTTGGTAAGCTTCCATTTGTTCGAAATGCGTTGTTTGTAAAACTTTTCCCAATTGTTTATGCTACTTTATTACATCACACCCCAACTTGTGATTTTTTTTTTTTTTTTTTTTTTTTTTTTTCACATGTTCATGCTACCCTATTTCCTTATTTTCTATTTTTTTTTTATTTTCATACTTTTTTTTTTTAATGTACGTGTGCAAATGTAGTATAAACGGGTGGACAAATTTTGTACGTTTACATATATATACAACGTATAATTCAAATACATACACAAATATATAAACAAACATATATACATATAAATATGTGTGTATAAATATATTACTACATATTTGAGTAAACACGTATATACATGTACATATTCATATATACTTATACTTACTCGCGCATTATGATATTTACATGTATTCACCCAACAGATTCACACATGATTTATATAATTTTTCTTTTACCCATGAGAAACGTGGAATTTGCATATTTATGCTTTCATTTTAGGAACTGAATTTTATTTCTTTTTCACATATTTTTTCTTATGTTTATACATTTTTACACCTTTTTATTGTATTTTATTATTATTTTATTTTTTTTTCTTTTCATATTTTGAAAAAATATTCTTTTAAGAATCAATTTGTATTAACATAACATTATTTTCATGTTAACAAAATTGTGCCTTTAAAATTCTCCAGTGTTTCCCCTTCTTTACCCTTTTTCCCACAGCATATTTATTTGCATTAAAAAGTAGTTATATATGATAACCATTACTGAATTATTTGAATACTGAACATCTTACAAAAATGGCGCAGACAGAAAACAGAATACGAGCATATTTTAGGAAACTTTATATAAACACATCACACGTAAGTGAAAAAAATTGAAACAGATGGGTCGGGAAAACGCAGATATGATAATGCTGATACTAAGTGAAAAGTCCATGGACTACGTTCTCACGAAGAAAACAACCTTATCCGAACAATCCTCATATTAAGCGTTTATTTCCCTGAATTCCCTGTCCAACTTATTCCATATGAAGAGGAATAAAATGAATTTAGCATGTCAAAAGGATGACAAGCTTAATGGATGAATGAAAAATTACATGATAAAAAATGTTCAAATATTATATGACAATTCAATAATATTCTCTTTTAACATCTTTATTTATTATTATTTTATTTTTTTACCATTTCTTCTCCCCTTCCCCTTCTCATCCACCTCCTTCCCGCACATCGCATGGTACCAATCCAGTATATGAAAAACTACATGACTGCATCAGACCAAGAAATGCAGAACAATGCAGACCCTATAATGGACATCATAGCAACTGCACCAAGTGATTCATTGTACTTTATTGAAAGAATAAATCTCATTTCAGCAATAATAAGTATGAGCACATCCTTTCCCTACCTGACATATTTAATCATTTATTGGAACGATTGCTCATGCAATGATATTTTAAGATGGTGGATAGTAATTAACAGCATACTGCAACTCATTCAAGCACCTGTACGATTTTTCTTGTATTTCTTATTGAGAAAATATAAACTCGAAAATGAGAGGATGCACATTCACGCGTAAGAGAGAAAATTAGAGTTATTGCTAATCTCCCGTACTTATCTATATAAATTTCTATGTGTATTTTGTATACATTTATTTTTCTTCCACCTAATGAATGAACCATGCTTCAACATACATATATGTGCATACAAATATATATATATGCAACCGAGAGCCCTTCTTGCAACTTTTTGTTGCCACGAATTAACCATTTTCATCACCACTGGCGACCTTGTTCGTACATAGGCTGAGGAGACTGACAAGTTCGAAGGGATGGAAACTCAGCAAGAGGTTCAGCTTGCTAAATTATTTATGGTTTATAACAGGAACAGTTGTAATGGTAGTGACAAGAAAATACACAAGGAACTTTTACTTGTGGTTTATATCATGGACCATTATCCTTTCATGCATATTCCGAGTATTCTTCACAGTAATCTGGTTTTGTTTTTTTTTTCCGTATCATCAAAATATCCCGAAACAGAAAAAGGGGGTACCTAAACCATTTTTTTCAGAAATACCCACCTTCAAATATTCAGCAGATAAAAAATTAAAGAACGAGTCTTGTTCCATTTGCTTATCTGATTTTGTTGAAAAGGATGATATTATTGAATTAAGGTGCTTACACAATTTTCATATAAAATGTGCAAAAAAGTGGTTATCACAAAGAAGACAATGCCCCCTATGTCAAAGGGATGTTATGAAAAATAATTAACATGTGGTAAACATGCAAAATGACGTTTTTACATATTAAGTTGGGTGTATGCAGAAATATGCATCAATTCTTCATCATATGTATATTATGTGAATCTGTGTCTGTCCATAATTATTTTATGGACCATTCAGTTTCATTAAATTAACCTCACAAACACATGATATTTTCTTTCTTCACTCTTCCGTATCCCCATGTATACACATACTTATGCCTTTTTTTTTTTTTTTTTTTTTTTTAAATCACAACCATATCTGTACTAATAACTACTCTACTACCTTCACTGTCCCATAACTACTCGTGCTTCTTACCCCCCTCCCCTTCCTTTTTTATTTTTTTTTATTTTTTTTTATTTTTAATTATTTTTTTAAAATTTTCATAAATGTATATGCTTACAACGAATTATTATTTGAGGGAAGCTACATTCATTTCATTTTACTTTTTTTTTTTTTTTTTTTAATATGTATTTATTAAGAATGACGTTTCAGTGCTTATATATATAAGCAGTGCTCCTACGTCTTATCCCATCTTCAAATGTATGCGAATATGTGTACACAGATCTGCACACATGTACACGAGGACATGCATACATATTTACGTGCTGATTTGAGGTTTCACATAAGCATACACATTCCCTCTCACTACTGCATATGTTTTGTTTTAATGTATGCCTTCTCTTTAATAAATGTAATATTAAATTATAAATTCCATTTTGTGCATGCAATAACACTAATAGTATTCTGCAGCAATAATTATCAACTCTTTAATATGTGTATACATATATATATGCATATATGTATGGATTTCTGCTAATTTTATTAAAAAAATATTCCACAACCATGTAGATTTAAATATTATTTGGTCATTTTTTTTTTCCATTTTTTTTTTTTTTTTTTAAAACCAAAATTGATGATATCATTAAGGTTTTTTTTTTTTTTTTTTTTTTAAACCAAATGGTAGCTGACATGTAGCAACGTGAATTGTATTTTAGCCCATTTTCACAATGAATTTTTGATCCATCAGTTTTGAAATCATGTGTTTTAAGAATATAATTATTTTATTCCCTGTTCTCGTAAAGCTCAGGTTAGAAAAATTTTGTCTGTCAAATCATTTCAATGTTCATTTTGTTTCGTCTTTCCAGGATAAAACTTTCTATCAACTGAAAGACAATACTTTGTGCTAATTGAAAAAGAGAGTTATATTACAAGTACTATTAAAAAAGGCATATTAATTGAACGAACAGAATATTTTTTTTACCTTAAAAGATTGACATAATACAAAAAAAAAAAAAGAAAAAAAAAAGAAAAAAAAAAGTGTGCACAAATTATTTCCAGGTCGTAAAAAAAAAAAATGGGATATAAACGTTAGATTAAAAATAATAGGATTGCTGAAGCTTAGCAGCTACTTGTAGACACACATTTTTGTAACTAGATTTAACAGAAACAATTTTTCGATTGGGTAATTTCGCCCTGGGGAACAAAAAAAAAAAAAACATAACCTATCCGTTCTGTAAAATGCATGCACAAGTATGTGTATCTTTTACAAATACATATGTACTTCTTAACATAGATATGGATATAACGACATACCACAAACACGCAGTATAAGTGATTAATTAGGGAAATGTTTGCTTTCCAAAAAATCGTATCCACCAAAATATTTGAAACTTCTACACACGGGTTAAACAAAAATTGTTGATAAATTGTACAGCAAACTGTACGGTAAATTTTGACACTGAAAAAATTATCTTGTTTTTAATATGATTCCATATTTGATTCTTCAATCGGCTTAATTATTGTCAATGGGTCACAGTTGTACTCATGAATTTCTTCATTAAATTTAAATTTCGATATATTACTAAAGACGCTATCTTTTTGTAGTGTCTTGGAAGAAGACAAAATGGAGGTAGAATTTTCCTGTGTTTTCGTAAAATCATTGGATAAATCGATGGTCAGATTATTAGTTGTATTTACAGAGGCGTCCATTTCTTCACTCTTTAAACTTTGTAAAACACCCATATATTTATTATACAAGTCTTGATTAGTTTTGGATGTATTACTTATTTGTTCCATTTTTGTCTTATTCTCCATATTTGCTTCATTTTTGTGTACATTTTCAAAAGTCATATCCTCTTTTTCATCATACGGAGAACTCATGTTGCTACAGGAGATGTCTTCTCCTTCCTCCCTGGCAGATAAATTGTTTTTCTTGCTCTTTAAATTGAGACCCTTATTATGGGTACTATCCCCGCCTCTACCTATTCCGTCTATTCTGTCTTTTGTTGCACATTTATCTCCTATATCCTCTCCATCTAATGCAACATTTCTACCATAAGAGCTTGGTTGGTTAAATATACTTCCTCCTTTCAGAATATAAGAATCATTCGAACTGTTCAACACACTATTATATTCTACCTCCTTTTTAAAACTTAAATAATTTAATCGCCCATTTGGTTCATTTGGACTAGAATTATTGTAATGTTCTACACTACTGTTTTGTGCGAAATCTGAACTTACTGAGTCTAGTAGGATGCTACTAGTGTTACTGTTAGCTTCATAACTCGTTTGAGAAATGAAATTATAAACTTTTTTATCCACCTCTTCAACATTATAATCGTTCTTACTATTTTCATGATAGTCCTCATCATGTTTTTCACCTTTTCTTGAAACCATGTTATTAATATTTTCAGATGGCTTTTTATTTTTCTTATTTCTAGATATATTCATCTGTGAATTGTAACTAGTAAAAGAATCATTCTTTTTTTTATTTTCATTTTGATATTCTTTTAATGTATTCTTATTACTAGAAGTTTCCAATTGGGTTATTTTGCTCGATAACTTTTTCTTTAAAGGATTCTCAGAATTATTTTTCAAAGCTTTTGTGTAACAATTAGATTTTTGTAATTTATTTTTTCGATAATTACTATCTTTTCCTCTTCCCTCTTGATCTGCATGAGCTCTAGATCGATCATCCTCGTCTATGTTGTATTCGTAGTATTTACTTCCGTAACTGTCCTTTCCATTTTGGCTGTTTTTTATTTTATATTTTTTCTCCTTATGGTGATATGGTTCATCATATAGAGTATAATTGGAATCGTCCATATGGTATTTGTTTTGTGAATCTTTTTGTGAGCCTTTTTGTGGACCTTTTTGTGGACCTTTTTGTGGGCCTTTTTGTAGGCCTTTTTGTGAATCCCTTTGTAAACCTTTTTGATGGTTCCTTTTCTGTTCTGTTTTCAGGACACTACTGGTACTTTTCCCATTAGCGTTTTCTGTCCTATTCTCAGCTTCTCTACTGAACCAATCCCGATTAAAATCAAACATGATATCTTCATAAGATTCTTTTTTTGTCGTTTTTGTTTTCTGCTTACTTCTATTTAACTCATATGTGTTGTTTTTATTTGTGCCGTTTAATTGAGAATTTCTTCTTGTTACCCTATTTTCACCTTTCCCTTTGTTATTATTAACTCCGTAATTTATCGACTTCAAATTGAAAATATCTTTTATCTTTGAGCTGTTAAAAAGCGAAATATCGTGGTTTCCCAAGTATGATGAGGAATTATCGCTGTCCAAATAATCGTTATTCTTATCCTGCATCTTGTCTTTCAGTATCATAGCACGCTTACTACTTCTGATTCTGCTGCTTCGATTGCTGTGGCTACTTCCATCCCTGTGATTACTTCCACACATGTGACTACTTCCACTTCTATGGCTACTTTCGCTTCTTTGGATACTTTCGCCTCTTTGGATACTTCCACCCCTGTGAGTGGTATGATCCTTTGTCTCACCTTTCCAACTGCCATTGATATTTCTATCCTTATTGTTGTTGCTTGTATTGTTCAAGGCAGACAATGTTAACCCCTTTAAAGAGGAAATCGAGCGATCATTTTCTTTGTTATGTTTTTCCCGCATCAAGTCTTTCTTTATATCCATTTTGCTGAATGATAAAAAATCAATATTTAAACTTTTGCTATTGGAAGAACTTTCTGATTCGTTTAACAGTCCCTCATCCATTGATTTATTTATTCTTCCTATTGAATCCAATTTATCCTTGTAATGATCAATTTTGTTATTCTCACTCGTGTTCCTTTCACTGTTTTTATCTCTATTTATTACACTGGGTTCATTTAGCCCATCGTCATTAGGTATATCATTCAAGCTGTCTATAACTCCATTTTCATTTACTCCTTTGCTTTTTATTTCTTCCCTTTCTTCCGTATTATTTTTATATTTTTTGTTAAAATTACTTTTATTCGAATTGATAAAAATTGTAAAGTCGTCATCGTAATCATATATTTCATTTTCTTCTTTTGAATACGCATTACTAGCACCATTCATTTTGTAGAATTCTTCTTTCGGTATGTTACTTTTTGTTTCTTTGCTTTCATCTCCTCCATGTTCACTATCAGTATTGTTTTTTTTGCTATTAGTTTCACTATTATAAACAGGATTATGCAAGTCTCTACTCACACTCTTTCCAAGTTTACTCTGACTATCTTTACTCGTAGCATTCTCAACGTGGGTACCAACCAAATCTTCTGCACTCCTCAAAAATGTGTTGGAAAAATTGCACAATTTGTTTCTTTGCTGCGCATCCAGTTCACTTTTCAATTTTTCTATAATAACAATATTGTCATTATTGTTTATAGTTAGCTCGTCTATTTCTTTTTTTAATTTCTGAATCATTTTTTCATACGAATTGTATTTCTTTTGTGCTTCCAAGTGAAATTCATTATACGCCATGGTATTTTGCTCAAATTTATTTTCCTTCTCTTGTAGCAGTTCCAACTTAATTGTCTTTTCGTTTAAATTTTCTCTGAGTGATTTAATTTCATTTTTTAACATAATTTCTTGTTCTTCCTTTTTTATATGCATTTTATTTATTTCGCTTATATTATTCTGAACATATTTTACGTTGCTTTCATAATCATTAAGTTGTTTTCTCAAATCATGTATTATACTTTTGCTTTGTATTACTTCATTTTCATATTGTGTTTTGTCAATGGCTACTTTGGTTAATGCATCTAACGAATCATCTCTTTGTGTTTTCAAATTGGCTATTTCTACTGACAACGTTTGGATGTAGGTTTCTAAATTTTTAATTTTATCAACAGATTTTTTTAACTCCGATTGAATTTTTATAGCTGCATCTTCAATTATTGTCTTTTCTTGCAAAATTATTTTATAGTCTTCTTCAATTTTTTTTAAATGACTATTTGTTACATTTAACATGTGAATTTCCTGTTGTAGTTGTTGAATTATTAAGGTACTGTTAGCATTATGAGACGAATTTGTTATTTGTAAATTTTTATTTTCTTTTAATATTTCATTATATTTTAAAGTCAAGTCACCATATTGTTTGTTTAAATTTTCTAATTTTTCTTTAAAACTTTCAATAACTTCATCTTTTTTGTCTAACAGTGATGCAAATTCGTCTAATTGATTACTCGAATCTATTAAATCATCTTTTAGCTTTTTTATTTCTTTTTTATATACTTCTATTTTCTGCTTTTGTAGTATATTTCCATCCTTTAACTCATCAATTTTATCATTAGATTCGCTCAACTTGTTTAACAAATTGTGTATATAATCTGTCAAATGTTTTTTTGTTTCATTTGAAAATGTTATGATGTCATTGAATTCGGCTGATTCTAACTTTAGATTATTTATAGTATTCTTGTTCAAGTTAAATTCACTTTCTTTCACTTTTATTTCTTTTTCTAACGTTTTTAGTTCCTCCTTTAGGATAGCAATTTCGCTTTTCTCCTCATTATACTGCTTTTCATACTTATCACTTTTCTTTTTTTCCTCCTTTAGTTCTATATTTACTTTCTCTAATATACTGCGTAAGTCTTCTACTTCCTTTTTCTTTAACTTTATTTCCATTTTCAGGGATTTCATGTTTGTGAGAGATTCGGTTTCCTCACTCAAATCGAATTCATTATTCTCTTTCGTTATACTCGTTACATTAGTTACATTCGTTACATTTGTTACATTTTTCTTTCTCTTTTCTCCCTCTAACTTACCATTCAACAGATGCAATTTCTCTTTATACTTCTTTTCTTCCTCATTCTTAATGTGCAGCTCTGTTTCTAGTAATATTACGCGATTCTTCAAATGGTAAATTTCGTTATTTCTGGATTTTATTATTTTATTCAAATTGCTGATATCATTCACGGAATCTTCATTTTTCGTCTGAACATAATCGCTTGAACTATCATCAATTAATTCAAGTTTGCAGTTCATATGTTCAAAGTTAAAATTATCGCTAGTAGCACTTTCGCAAACTGATTTTTTGTCTTTATACATCTTTTGCTCCTTTATATCATTGATCATTCTCAATTCGTTTAATTTTCGAATTTCTATTTCGTATTCATTTAATCTTTTCTTTAGATGTTTTATTTCTGTGTTTTTTACTTCTATCAAAGATTCATTATACTCATTTATATCGTTATTACTTCTTCGATTTGAACTTTTTTTTTCTTCTTCATCGATAGCTCTATATTCACCATTTTCACCCACTCCCGCTTTACTATTATCTCCACTAATATACTTTATTCTATTGTTAACATCGTTAGTTTTATCCTTCCTTATTCTGTCAATTTCCAGTTTGAACTCTTTACATAAATTTTTGTAATAAGACAGTTCCTTTCCTAATGATAACGTGTGTTCATTAATTATGTTGCTTCCCATTTGGGATAATTTTTTTTCTTTTGTTTTTATTTTATTAATTTCATAATCATCAAATGATTTTGTTCTGTTGTTACAAGAAGAAAATTCATAACCTGACAGATCTTCCGTTGATTCATCAAATTTTTCTTTTTTATTATTTTCTAATATCTGCAAACTGAATTTCAAATTCTTATTTTCTTTCATATACGCCTCTTTTAATTTGCATTCTTCCTCTATCTGTTTGCGAAGTTCTATAATTTTTACTTCGTATTCTTTGGATTTTGCTTGAAGATCTGTCTCAAGTTGTATCTTTTTATTTACTTCATTTTCCTCGTCACTGATAACGCCATCTTTGTGTTCTCCGCTCAAGAACAATTTGCTACTTATTTTCTTCCCTTCCTCTTTTGTGTCTAATTCAGAATTCTGTTTTTTCTTTTCATTTACCAACTCTTTATATTTCCTTTGAGAATCATCATATTTATCAGAGAGTTTTTGAAAATTTTGAATTGCCTGAATTAGGTCATCAAAAATTATTTGAACTAAAGGAGTGCAGGACAGACATAAGGACTCCTTATAATTTAGATTATTTAATTTTTTTCTTAATTTTTTATAATTTAAGTTGTTATTACTATCGCTTATCACAATTTCTGTTGACGCCTTTTCAATTTTTTCCTTTTCGTTACATTTTTTTTTTTCTTTCTCTGATAAAATCTTCCCATTTTTATTTTCAATACTGTTTGAATTCTTTTTCATTTTTTGATTACCACTTGTTGTTGATATCGATTCTTTTGTAAACAAATTTTTTCTTTCACTTTTTTTTTGTTCCTTCTTAAAATTACTACTTATGTTTTCCTTCCGTTTTTCCATATTTTTTTTTTATTGCGACAAATGCATTATGTTAACGGTGGTTTGTCAATATTTGGTGTTGTTTTTTCAGACCCCTCTTTCTTTTGCGTTTTCTTAATTGGCAAATTTAGAACCTTGGTTTTGTGTCCTCACAATTCTTTTTATGTTTCACACTTGTTAATGCGTTAGGAAAATGCAGAGAGACGGGAAAGGATACTAAAAAAATAAAAAAAAATTACTGTGCTAACAGAACAGAAAATTCACCAAGGGGAATCCGAAGTGGAAAATGTAACGTTTCAGCTGTTGCTTCCCCAATTCATAATTAAACCACACATGCAGGAAATATATATGAAGAATCATTATAACTCCAAAATAGGAAAAAAAAAATAATAAAAAAAAAAAAAAAAAAAACGTTTAAGCTTTATATTTCAACAAGACTTCTTAATTAAATTAGTCAAGCTCATGAAGATTATCTTAATTCTTTCCCTTCACATTTTGCATATGTTTTCATATTTTTCATTTATGTGTGAAGTGCATATATATTTGAAAAATAGTCCAATTGTGCAGCAAATTAGAAAGTGTGAATATTTAAAATAATTGCAAGTTGACAAAACTAAAGATATAGGGACGTGGAAAAAAAAAGGGGAAAAGAAAAAAAAAAAAAAAAGAAGTAGAAGGAGAAGAAGAAGAAACTTCTGGCAAAAAAGGAACCAATAATTTTCCAAAAATGAGAAGAAAAATAAAAAGTGTGAAAATTGTGAACGATAAAATAGTGCTAATTTAAGCATACCTACAAATTGGTCTCAACTAAACAAGAGAAAAAATGGTATTTTCAATGTCCTTATTTATTTGCCAAGTGTAAAACAAGTAGGTCAAGTTAGGTGTGTGCTTAAAAAAGTATTTTATTTTTCTCCTTTTCCAAAAGAAGAAGAAGAAAAAAAGAAAAAAAAAAAAAAATGCATTACCATTTTATTTATTTAGTTATTTATTTCCCCCTTCTGGATACACCTTTTTTCCCTAACATTTGAGTAAGACATTTTTGCATTCGCAAATTTTCTCGAAAAATGTAAGAGAATTATGCCAAAAGTGTGTTTTATATCTTTTCTATTTTTTTGATATTCATATTTGTACGCGGTGAAAAGGAAGGCATTTTTTTTTTTTTTTTTTTTTTTTTTTTTTGCGAAACATTATTTGGAAAATTCCCCTAAAATATAGAGAAACACACTGTATTCATAGGAATGTAAAAAAATGAGGTAAAGAATTACACAAATGTTTGTATAAATGTTTTCTAAAAATCCTGTTTATATGTTCACATAGGCTTTTCAATTATACATTGTTCATACGTAAATGAATGTTTTTTTTTTTTTTTTTTCTTCATGTTATCACGTGGAAAAAAAAAAAAAAAAAGGAAAAAACAACTCAAAGAATAATGAATAATAAATTTCATGACGATACTACACAAAAATGTACACCCCCAGATTTGTGAACAAAATGACTGACCCTTTAATAATGCATGGTTGGCATTCTTTTATCCCTCACTCGTATGAATTTTTAGTTGAAAATAATCACAATTTAACGCAATTTAGTTAGAGTCATAAAAAAGTTTTGCTCCCTCGTAATTAATTTAATGTTATAATTATGCCTATTTCCTCTCCATAAAACCTTAAAACACTTACTCGTCATAAGAACGTGCTCACATGACGGAACCAAATGAATATACACTGATAATTGAATTACTCAATTTTTGATGGCCTAACGAATTGTACAGGAAACTACAAATTCATGGTGTTGTTATATATACTAGGAACGATAAGTTACAAGGAAGAACTTTCCATGATAAAAAATGATAACATATGAGAAAATATATCCAAAAATAAACACGAACGTATGTTTTCTATTTATGTATATGGTATGCATATGGTATGCATATGGGACATAGCATCCTTAATGGTGAATAATCAATTCTAGTGATGTCCCATAGAGTACACTCTTCTTCCATTCTCCAAAGTTGATAAAACAAATTGGTTATCTCCTTACAACCCAAGGAAGAGCAAAATGTAGAACAAACTAAGCAAAATCAACCAAATGTACTAAAATGAACTACCACTTACTCACGTCTTGTCAACCACATAGTAGAAAAAAATGAAGGGATCTTCTTTTCTTTTAAACCATCTAAAATGCAAACTACTGAATAGGTGTAAAAATGAAAAAAAACATTTGTTATATTCAACAGTGACAAAAAGGTTTGGTGAACTTCATCAGCCAAGAACTAGAAGTGAAAAGAAAAGTCATCTAGAAATAATTGACGAAGTGTATTTCGATATGACTGATGCAATGAGAGAAAAAAATAAACTAGAAATAGAAGAATATAGTAGCATACACAGAAATATTTCTGAAATTATATTAAATCATAACATTTCTAAAAAGAATGAAATTATAAAAAATATTATGCGATATTGCATCGAATTCAATAGAAAAAATAAAATGCATGAACAAAAAAGAAAAAGAGAAAATGTAAACGAAGTAAATAAAATGGATGAAGAAAAAGAAATTTTTAATATAATAAAATGTAACATAAAAGAGTACTGTAATCAGTTTAATTCATGCGAAATAGGAATCATATTAAAATGTCTTCTTAAAATTAAAGTGAATGATTTGTCCTTAATAAATGTACTACTACAACATTATTTTAAGCGAAATATGAAATTTTCTCAATATGGATCTTTATACATATTATATGCCTTTACTAAATTAAATCTACTGCCACAACATGAAAATAATTTCAAACTTTTATGCTCAGATATTTTGAACAAAATTAATAACTTTGAATTTAAAAATCTATGTTTAGTATGTAACTATTTGTCTGCATTATATAATTTTAATAAAACGAGTATCAGATACATGGTCGAACAAATCTGCACATTTCTTATGAATGAAAGCAAGAATAATGATGATACTGATACAGATTCTATATGGTGCGAGGATTCAATTCATTATATTGCCAATGCATGTGCCAGGGTTAATCATTTGAATAAAGAATTATTCCATTTTTTGAAAAAAAAAATTGAAAAAAGAACCATGTTTTTTTCCATAGACCAGTTGGTATCTCTAACAAATGCATACAGCAAATTCAAAAGTGCAGAAGAGGAAAACTTCTTATCATTATACCTACTCATAGCTGATGAAATAATAAACAAGTCTTATTTATTGAAACCAAGACATTTGAGCGTGTTAGCAAATTCATTTAATAATGCTTGTATACTTCATGAAAAGTTATTTCATATTATTACTGAAAATAGTTTACTCCTTTTAAGTTCATTTGAACCCAAACAAATCGTGATGATCATACATGCATATGTAAATATTGGACTGTCAAATAATGCTCTACTCGAATCCATATGGAACACTGCATCAGTATTTATTCCTGAATATACCCTTCAGGAGTTGTCTATGCTACTGCAGGCATACACAAAAAGTTCACAACATCGACAAAAATTTTTCAACCAAGTTAGTCTCAGAATTTATTCTCTCATTACAATATCTTATCCTTTTTTAGAAGAAAATGCAACTGCTAATTCTATAATGTATAATCATGAAAAGTATGTAAAAATGCTCCAAAGTGTAAAAACGGATGATTATTTAACTTCAGAAAAAATAACAACAGAACAACTTTTTTCTCTTTTCTACTTAGTACATAATCATCAGTATTATTATAATTTTATGGATCATTTATTAACCATTAGTAATAACAAATATAATAATCTCCCGCATCCTGAGATTCATAACGAAATCCAAAACTCCCAAAATACTCCAAACAAGATACCAATAAATGATGAAAAGAATCCAAACAAATATACTAACGGTTTTAAACAGAGTGAACTACATGAAAAACATGATATAGATAATTCGTTGTCAAAGTCGATACCCTCTGAAGAACTCCCAGACATGAATAACGTCAGTGTTTGTTACAATGAAAAGATAACCCCTACGAACAAACTCATAGCCGATAAAAAAATAATCCAAAAAAGCATATCCGAGAATTATACAAATTATCATGACATGGATGAAGAGCCATTCTCTCACTTATGTATCAGAAACCAAAGAATTAGTAAAAAAAAATTTTATTCAAATGAAACTAAAATTAATTACCTAAACAGCTCAGACATATATTACCCAGACACGGAAAAAATGGAACAACGATTAATAAAGCACATGAGCAAAGATATTAATGCCACCTTGGTTTGCTCAATAATTTATTCACTCATTAAGGGAAATTGCTTACTGCAGTATGACTTGTTAATATGTTTATCCAAATTGGCAATAATTTTTCTCAAAAAGTTCAAAATTTCGGAGCTAGCCAATGTGTGTTCAGCTTTGTCAGAAGCATATATACGAGCGTCGGACGAAAATAATAGGCAAAATGAGCTCATAACAAAAAGACAAAATAAGAAGTTTGAGGATCAGGAAAAAAATGCAAAAGAGGATAAACAGAAAGAAGAAAAAGGGAGGGAAAAAGAGCAACAAAATGAGCTAAAAAATGAGCACAGAATGGAAAATAAGGTCACATCATTCTTGTGCAAACACCAAACGATTAAGAAAATCACAAGTCCTAACAACACTCCAACCTACGATGAACAGTTGTACAACTCATCAAAGCTATATTTATCAACATGTACATTATTTTTCGACAACGTCGAATACTATTTGATGGAGAAAAAGAATTTTTTCACGGATGTTCACAGTACATATAAATTTATAACGTCCTTTGGCACCCTTCGGATGAGCAAATATTCTTCTGTAGCTTTACATTTATTTAGGTTGTCTCTCCTGGAAATTAAGCATTTGTCCTACTTGCCTTTGCAAAAAATGGTAACACCTTCATCTTTTCACGAGCAGGAGAAAAATATAAAACATCTGCAAGTATAAATTGAAAATGTAAAAATACACGCTAAAAAATACTACACACTCTTACAACATTCCCCTTATTTTCATTCACAAAAATTTCAAACTTCTTTCCACAGGCAAATGCGTTTATGCAAATGAATGTTTACAATGAAGACGTTTATGCATTTATAAATAAAATCCAAAAGACGAAAAAGAATAAATGAGTTTTTTCATTCCTCATCAATTAGTTGTTTTTTTTTTTTTTTTTTTTTTTTTTTTTTCTTCTTCTTTTTTAAAGCATCTTTCATGTTTTGTTTCAAATTATTTACTTCTTAATTTATTTTATTTTATTTTTTTTTTTGTTAACATATGGGTTGATTAATTGTAAAAAAATATGGTTGGATATTTCATCCTTGCGTGCATAGCGTGTGCCCGTATCAGTAGGTGTGTAAAAACTACCTAGTAATTTCCCAATCCCATTTACATATGATACCACATTTTGTATTACTATAAGTACAACTGGTTTATGCCCTTTAATTTAAGGATATCTTACAAGTGCGTAATTTTACCAATCCCAGGATGTGTCCTTTTATTTTTTATTTTTTAATGCATAACAGTATCAACAAAACTTCTCGAAATAAATTTAAAAAGAAAAATATTTTACGTCATAACGTGGACTCATCAAATATGAAACAATAAAATAGCCGAATGGTAAAATATATTATTTTACACACTTTACATATGTATACTGCTTTGGAAACACAAAATAGGAAATGACATTTTATCAAGACATGGTAAAAAAAAAAGAAAAAAAAAGATTTAACAAAGAAAACGTAGATAGCTTTATTACTAGATTTATCGGACTATTACAACTCTTTTATAAAACACAATCAGCATTTTCACAAGAAATAATCTGTTTAATAATACCATTCTTCATTTTGTAAAACACACATAACATATACAATACTTCGCTCTATATTCACATTATAACTCTTTCATGTTCTTCTTAAGTATACACAGACCATTTATATATGTACACTTCTTTTGATCCCACCTCTCTGTATTACTCCCATTTACCAATAACATTATGATTTTTTTTTTTTTTTTTAATTACAAAGTAAGCTATCCTAAAGCAATTCTACGTTGTTATAATTTCTTATTGTTGTGTCTACAAAGGTACTCACAGGGAAAAAAAGTAAAAAAATAAGAGAAAAGAATGAACATTGTCTCCGTGAACCTCATTCTATTTTCTCTACTTCCTACTGTTATTATATCCCTTTAATATTTCCTTTATACAATATAAACTTTTAAAAAGTAGGTATGTTTAAATTGGCATCATAAGCAGATCTAGTGTTTGCGTCAAAATTGTACTTAATCATAAGCATACTTATATATACAAAACAAAGGAATATTTATTTTATTATAATCTTACCATTGCTAAACATAAGGCATTATAGTCTCCTATTTTTACATGCACTCAATGTAATTGTAGAGTATTTATATTTTAATGACTTGGGAGCTTTTTTTCATTGAGTGCCGAAAGGCATATTTAATTTTGGTAACCCCTCTTTCACTAAAAAGTAATATTCAAATAAATTTTCTTATTTTTTTTTTTTTTGGAAATTTTTCTCTATGAAGTCTAACATTATGTAGAGGGGGTGCAAAAAATATAGGAAAAAACAGAAAGCGATTTTTAATTTTACATCTTCGTGGAAAACCATATTAGAAGAAAAGGGGATAAAACTTGTGAATGTAAGAAATATATTTATGCATATTCAATTTCTATAGCAAAACAAACACCACATTAAATTTTTCTTTTTTTACACTTCTTTTAATAATTAAAATGTACACACGCATAACCCAATTTAAATATACACGTAACATCATTTGTTTATAAATTTTTAATTATGCAAAAATCTTAATCCAATGAAATACTCTATAAACAAGTTTCAGGCTAAATTAATATCATAATAAAACTCTATAAAATTCCCCATTTTATATGATGAATTGGAACAATTAGCTTTTTTTTTCCTCAAATTAAAAATATTATCAAACATGTTTTATTATATATAGACGGCGACGGGACTCGAACCCGCAATCTTCGGTTCCGAAGACCGACGCCTTATCCATTAGGCTACGCCGTCATAATAGAAATTTCTTCCTAAGAATTACATTATGGAATTTTTTGGAATACTTTAAACTTTAGAAATCAATGTATTTTTCCTCTAACTTTATTATAACAAAAACAAAAAAAAAAAAAATTTAAATTCTATTGGTGCTAACTTAAGCAATGAGAAATTATTTGTTTATTGTTTAAGTTAACGCCAATAATATTCATTCCTCATATATACAAATTTGCTCCTCGTTGAAATCATTTCTCAACAAGCTGCACTAATTGTTAGGCTTAAGCAGTTATAGTAATGGGTTATACCTATTTCGCCTATGTTTGTGTGAATATATATATGTATACATGTGTATTATATTTATATTCTACATACGTAGATAAATATATTTATTTGATAATTTTATTACATGTTGAAAAAAGAAAAAAAAAAAAATACATATGATTATTTCGAAGTGTAGAGAAATGTTTTATGGGGAAAAAAACAAAAAGGAAAACGAAAATTAAAAAGCAAAAAAACCATGACGTTCATCTAAAAATTCAAATTAAAGAACTTATGACATATATTAAAATAAAAAAAAAAAACACTTTAACTTAAGGTTAAGAAAAAGAGAAAAAAACATATATTCTCAAATTTATTATGTAAAAAAAAGCACAAATTTTAACAAAAACAAAGTGTCGTCGTGCCAAATAAATTTCATCTCACAAATAGATATACATATAACATTACATAAATTATAAAAGGAAAAAAATGCCGAAAAATATCTTTCTTATTCAACTTTATATTACTTTACAATCTTAAGAAAGTATAGTACACACAGTAATTAATACAAAAAAAAAATTGCAGTTATTTTTTCTGCCCCTCCTTGCTATGAATAAGCTACAGCCTTTTTCTTGTATATTCTAAAGGGGTTTTCATACATACAACGAAGTAAGTTCCTCATTATACATCCTAAGGTAATAATACATACAATTGGCTGTAAATATATATCTCCCCTACTAATTCTCTATTTTACAGCTCCATAAGCCATCATTCAAGTAATGTATATTTTCAATGCAGATGTCTTTATTCACTTCCAATCTAAAAAAAAAAAAGAAGAAAATAAAAATTATTACAAACTTTACATGCATAAAAACAGTTTGTATTCAAAATGAATTAATCTTTTGTTCTCTTCCTTACATTTCCTTTGATGACATGGTGGTAATTCCAATTGCGCATGCAAACTCCTTATCTTCAGCTCGAATTTGCTGTAGAGAGGAAAAAAAAAAAAAAAAAAAAAAAAATTCATGGAAATATATTCGCACATGCATCAATATATATATATGCATAAGAAAAACATTTATACTGATTGTTCTTTGTACATATATACGCTTTTACATGTACACAACTCTGGGTGTATATTCACATGTATACTTACTACTACTGTGTTTGCTTCTACGTCATCCAATTTTCCCCCTGGAGATGTAACCCCTGGACACATTATATTGGATCCTCTAAGAACGTTTCGAATTGCACCTTTGTCTACTTGTATTTGTGGCATCATGAAAGGGTCTAAAAGAACAGAGGTATGTCAACAAGTGTAAGTATGCATATGTAAAGAAACTCGCCTACATAATCGTATGAACGAAGAATGTATAACTTCTTATGTGCCAACTTTCCATCTGATTTTTCTATCCAGTAACAAACAAAAAAACCTTGTTATCATTAAAAAAAAAAAAAAAAATTAAATTTGTTTCTAACATTTGTGTACTAATTTTAAGTTGGGAATCCAAGGACCATTTCTTATTTGAAAAAATAACAACGCATTGTTTCCAATAATTACAGTTACGTGGTTTATACTAAAAATAAAAAAAAAAAAAAAAAAAAGGCATCTATAGATGGTTCCAATACTTTCACTGTCGCAGTCGTTATATTACAATATACACTCGTTAATTGTTTATATGAATTAATGAAAGACAAAAAAAAAAAAAAAAAAAAAAAGGGAAAAAAATAATAAAAACCAATACACAAAATTGTAGTGTATAATTTTATCGGATCTTATTTTGTTTATACCATTTTCCTAAAAATAAAGGACCCTTTTTGGGAAATATTTCCTCAATGAAGTCTTCTAATTTGGGGTATTGCTTTAAAATCTTCAATAAAAAAAAAAAAAAAGAGATTAATTTATATGCAAACATCTATCTCGAAATGTGTGTGCAAAATGATAGGAGCCATAAAGGAAAGTCAGCAAATTAAACAACTACAGCGAGAGAACAACCAAGACAAGTACAACTATAATCAGCATAGAATCATTGTTGAAATAGCATAAATCAAATATAGACGTGCTTATAGCAGGACAACTAGGAGCACATTCAATTTGGGGACAATTTTCACCAGTATTGATAGAATTAAAAATTTTGACAAATGTATTGCGTGCTATTATTTTTTTTTTTTTTTTTGCTAAAAAGATAAGATTACACATACCGTTGCTTTGATACTCCTCTGTACTGAGGACTTCATCAAATTCTGGGATGATATATTGTCAGCACAAAATCCCTTCATGATTTTCAACTTTTTTTTTTTTTTTTTTTTTTAATGTTCTTATATCAAAATTACAAATTTGTATTAATTCTATAAATAGAAGAAATTAACATCTACAAAAATGTAAAATAAAAAAAAAAAAAAAAAAAAACTTCTTAAAACTTTTCTCCCACTTCAAGCATGTTGGAATATCTTAACCTTTCAAAAAAAAAAAAAAAAAAGTTCTCATTTTATTCCCGGAGAGGAACATAATGTGTTTTGTGCTGTATTAACCTAGTTAAAGGACGTTGGTGGTCATAAAATCTATTTACATTCTAAGAATTGCTATGCGCACAATTTACTTTTAACTAAAATTTTTATCGTATTTTACCCTTAATAGGGGGGTAGAAAATAAATTTTCATTTCACTCAAAAACCTATTCACGTGTATACATTTACTCCGCTTACATATTCATAAAGTGAACAAAAATTAGAACTATTAAATGTATTTTAACATGACCTAATTTGCAAAGCTTAGGAGGTTCTTAAAAATGACACAAAAAAAAAAAAAATAAAATAAAATAAAAAAAAAGGAAAAAGTAAAAAATAAAAGAAAATGCAAAAAAAAAAAAAAAAAAAGGTGCAAAAAGCGTTGTACATCTAAAAACTACACCAATAAAGGTAAAAGAAGAAAAAAGTAGAGCATGTAAAACAGTGCTCATCATGTTCCTTTGCAAAATGTATATAAATGTACCTTTCAGTTTAATGCATGCATACCATATACATGTATGTAATGAGGTGTTATACTTTTTATATAAGCCTTAAAAATGAATCTTTTGGGGGCTTACATGGTGTATTCAAATTGTGTGGAACGATGAGATAAATACATCTCTTAATTATTCGTTTTCATACCTCATAAATACATTAACACCAAAAAAAAAAAAAAAAAAAAAGTGAAAAAATAAAAATAATAAAATATAAATGGGATTGGATTGGATGGGATGAGATGGAAAATGGAAAATACATTTACACATTTTTCTATTTACATATATTCATATTGAGCAAAATGGGGGTACTAAAAATTGTGAAATTAAAAAGTGTCTCGAATGCGGCATAAATGAAAAAGAGAGTAAAAAAAAAAAAAAATAAAATAAAATAAAAATAAAAACGAAGCGCTACAGCTAAATAGCGAAGTAATGATGTAACGAAGCAACGAAATAACGAACTCATGGACGAATGTGGAAATGTGCAAGGTCTTAAAAATAAGTATAGTGATAGTTACAAAAGACACAATCACACAAATGTTTGAATATAAAAAAAAAAGAATATGATAAAACAGTAAAATGCCGAAATAGTGAAATGCTGAAATAGAAAAATAATCAAAGGAATAACAAAAGTAAAACACACAAAAAACATATTTGGGTTGAGGAAGGCTATGATATATGATACCTTCAAAAATTTATGTGTACATAAATGTGCCAATCTACATATAAATCTTACAGATGGGTGGGACAGAATAAAAACTAAATTTCCCAATTCTTTGAAACAAAATAAAGGACATTATGATATCCATACTTTTTGCCCTCGTGGGATGTACAAAGTCCACAAGTTGCAAATTTCCTTAGTTTATTCTTTTATTTTTAAAACATCTATGAGTACATACAAATACTATGGTACATGCACACACAAGTCAATGCAGGTATATCTTATACATAAGCATACAAATGTTTCATATACTAGCCAATGATGATTACTAACAAATCAGCAATATTTGAAGCACTGAAAAGTTTCGTAATAGTAAAATGATATGACCTGAAAAAAAAATATTATCATTCATCTCTCCTCCAAAGTTTTACACCTAGGTATCATCTGCGCTTTGATTTTCTGCACTATTATATTCATTAGAGTTCTTTTCATTATGGTTATTCTTTTCATGTTCATTTTGATTATCGTGGTTCTTATCATTTACCTTGTCGCTTCCATTTCTGTTTCCATTTCTGCTATCACTGCTATCATTATCGCATGATTCATCGAGGTCATCCATTTTCGACTTGTCACTCAAAGTGCACATGGTCATGGGCAGATGATGGGAAACAAAAAAAGAGTTGGGAGTTTTAAATGATTCTGCATTTATATCCATTTTATTGAATTCTAAATTTTCCAAAAGTTTTGATAAAATTTCATCTTCATTTAAATCTTGCATAGATCTCAGCTGACTTTTTACATCATCATTTGATATCATTCTCCCTTCAATTATTTTTGCAAATGCATTTAAATTCAATTCTACTTTATTCAAGTAGTCTAAAAGTCCTATTCTATCTTTTATTCCTTCCACAATCTGCGGATATGTGCGGAAGGTAGATTACATATTTGAATATTTTCATGGACATATATAGACAAGAAGGTAAATTAAAGCAAAAAAAAAAAAAAAAAAAAAAAATATACGAATATGTGGAACTCTTTTCTTACCTTTTTCTGTATTAACTTTTTGCTTTGCTTATTTTCATTTTTCCATTCTTCCCTTATTTGATTTAGCGAGTATTCTAAGTCCATGTCCCAGTTCATGTCCTTTATGAAAAAAAAAAAAAAAAAAAAAGTTTTATATAAATTTTACCTAAATTTTACATAGATGCGTAAATCTAACAACGATGGAAACCTTTCTTTCTCTCATTCTATTGTGCTATTTCATTTGGCCTTATTTTGTCTTTATTTAGTCTCATTCAATTTGGCTCTATTTTTTTTTTTTTTTTTTTTATTTTCTTTTACCTTAATAAGGTCAGTTACTGTTATGTTGGCTGGGTCGAACTTGTTTTCAGAAACCTCTCCAATATTGGGTATAGATATGTCGTCAATATTTACATCTAATTCAATATTTGATTTTTTTATTTCGTCAAAACTTAAGTGAAAATCATTTACAGATTTCTCACCATATAATGACAAAAGAGAACTAATAATATTATTGGGATCTATATTAATAGACTCTAAAATTTCTGAAATTTTATTCCATTCCTTTATTAACAAACTCATGCACTCACTTTGTTTTTCCCAGTATTTACATATCAAATTATGTTCTTCTATTTTTATTTCTTTTTCCTTTGGGCTCATTTTGGGCTTAACATTGTCTTCCTTTTTCTGCAGATTCAGGAAGTGACAAAAAGAGGTTTATGTGTTATGAATACATTAATGTGCGTTCATGTTTGTACTACGGGTGTATACATAATGTATTCACGTATACTCATCTGTGCCATGCAAAACGAAAAGATAAAAAGTTGTAAAATAAAAATGAATGAACACTCTTGTTCCTTTCATATGATTCACTCATACGTTCAAGGACTAATGTCACAACAATATATCACACATTTTTAATTTGCTTTATTTAGAATTTGTTCATTTTTAATGATTTCATTAAGTCATCATTTATAATTCATTCATTCTTTTTCATTATCGCTATTTTTTTTTTTTTTTTTTTTTTTATTCTTTATTTTTTGTCACTTTAGATAAAACCACCTTTGCTGCATACCAGTTCGTTTTCCATTGGGTTTTCTGTCGCATTTGCCTCCAAAAACTTTTTCTTGATTTCCGAATTTATTTGATTTCCCAACAAAGCTATTAATTTTAGGATCATTCTTTTCCTTTTCTCGTTAAAAACTTCTTTAATTTCTTCCTTTTCTATGCTCTTTAAAATATACTTATAGTAATTGTTTGAAACCTATAAAGAAGAAATATTTCCAATAATGTATTAATTTAGTTGTTATATGATGGAGACGGTTGAGAGGAAAAAACTTAAGTGAATTAAAATATACGTTCCTTCCCCACTCCCACCCTCACCCCTATTGTGCCATATTTTAATATATGGAAATATCTCCCTTCTCTTGAAATTACCGTGAGGGCTAAGCTCATCAACTTGGCATTATTATTTTTTCCAGGTAATTGAGAATAATCTATCGATTCCATACTGTACTTTTCGAATGGATTCGGTATGTCATATTTTTCTAATAACCCAGTGACATGTTGAATTTTTTTTAATTTTATTTCAGTAGCTTTTTTTACTTTACTTGAATCTAAAACTATTTTATTATTTGGTTCACTCTTTTTTTCATGTCTCACTCTTGTTCTGGATTCATCAAATATAGAAGCTCTTTTTCTTTCTGTAACATTCTTGTCAATTTTAAAATTTCTTAATTCTTCTGATAATATATGATCCTCTATTTTTTTATTTAACTCTTTGTCACTATCTTCCCTTTTCGTTATCATATTTTTATTTTCATTTTTTTCTTGTGATTTATTTTCATATTCTCCTTGGGACAACTTGAACTTTACGCTCAGGGAAGATCCGCTTTTGTTTCTCAATGATGTTCCTCTTATTATAGACTTCAGCTATGTACGGATGAGTGAGGATGAAGAAAAAAGAAAAAATAAAAAGGAATTCAAAACGAATATATACATATTTCTATACATGAAAATTTGTCCACATTTTTGCAGAGACGGAAATGGGAGAAGCACGAGCAAAATGCACACATGTGTGTAATAACTACAATAGAAGTATTACGTTTTTATCGTTTTCTCCTCCGCTTAGGGATTCTTTTGATTTTTCCAGGGATTCTTCAAAAAAAAAAAATAAATAAATAAATAAAATAAAATAAAGTAAAACAAAATAGCAATAACTCACACCACGTAGTAAAACAAAAAGAACACTTCAGAATAGTGATACGAATACACAAATGATCATCTCTTTTCGACAGGTCTGTATTTGTGACAGACTTCATTCACAAAGTCATTTCAATGTGCGCAGGCAAACCTTTCAAGGATTCGTCGGACTCAGGAACAACACAAGAAGCTATGTTGGGAATGTCATCGATCTTCTGATGATGTGTGGTGGTTATAATATGTTGCTTTACATTATCATTTTGATTAACAAACAGAGGTGAAGATGACTGCAAGGTAACATGAGTAATGCCATCACATTCCCTAACCTCAACTACTGACTTTGGTATCAATGCATATATTTTTTCATCTAAATTTTCATTTTTCGATAATGCCTTTAATGCATAGGAGTCAACTTTTTCATTTATTGGGATGGCTGTACTATACATTTCTACTAAGGATTTTCCATGACTAACTTTACTTTTTTTTTTTTTTTTTACTTGTTTTTTATTCTCGGCTGGTAGTCGTATAATTGTAAGAGCGCCTTTTTCTGTAATAGCAAATAGGGAGAGGTAATAATAAAACAATAAATGTGCCATTTGCAGGATATGGTTTGTGCTAGTATTCCTAATGTATAACATGCATATTTTTATGCATGCCCCAGTCATGGCATCGAATTTATCGTAATATCCCTTCGTGCTCCGACTGGGAAATCAGTACATATATATATATATATATATATATTATATGCATACCACTTTTGGATTCATGCGAATAACTCCTTTGGTAATTTCGCAGATCTTCATGTTTTTCCATATCTAATAATTGTACAATTGGGTATGAGTAGATGGATCATGAATGGTTATATCGTAAATGACATATATCCACAAATACAAATACATGTATAAAAAAACGAACATTTAAACGAGAATACATACACACAGATTAACGATTCTCACCTGAGTAGGACACATCAGGATAACCCTCGTCCGCATAGACCTCATCATCCCTGCAAGCATCATAGGGACTATTCATATCTGGTGTGATTTCCATATCGTCATAATAGTCAGGTGTATAATTCTTAAAAACAGGGGCATAAGAACTGTTTTTTTTATTATCCCTTGTATAATTCATCATAGTATCATGATAGGGTCTCTTCACACTTTTCTCGCGGTTATGCTTATTGATCATTTTTCTCTTTGCATAATTATGGTCCTTTATCATTGTGTACTCATTTGGATCCAAGTCCATATTGTCATTCATATTTTCATAATAAAAATGATTATTATTGTTATGATAAACATCGGATGAAGAATACCTGTTATCAACTTCATCATTTACGTGATTATACTTGATAGCCTTTTTGTTTTTATATATTCCTTGTACATTGTTCGAAAATTTTGTCGGCTCTTTTATTTCATCATATTTCGAGGCTTTATTATATGGATTTATATTTTTCATTTGATTTTTATCTCTCATATTATGTGTATTAGTGTCAACATTTCCCCTTGAGGTTCTATGCCCACTTGTCATATTAACACTATTTAAGTTAGATATAGCTTCATTTGTATTCTCCCTATTTCCATTCCTTCCCTCACATATTACAACATTCGTATTATTATTGTCAAACTCGGGGAAATAATTTCCTGAATCGTTTTTTTTATATTCATAATTTTTTACAGAGGCATTTACATCTTCCCTGTCAAAATATCTTTGCTTCTCAAAAAAGTTGGAATTACCACTACCACTTGGCCCACCACTATTTATGTCTTTAATAAATGGCTGTTTGTTGTTATTACCAACAGCAGTATTTTTACCACAATTGCTGGTGCTGGCAATACCAACCCCTTTAGAACATTGATTGTATTCTAACACAGGATCATATTCATTCACCTCGTTACCACATGAAGGATTAAATCTATCTGACACGATTGCTGCATTTCCGTTATTACCATCCGAATTTAATGGATATTTTTTTCCCTCGAATTTGGTTTCATCCAAGGGAACATTTAAGTCTGTCATATTTTCTTTATTTCCTTCTTTTCTATCCTTCATATGTGAATCGATAAACTTAGAACCAAATTTTCTGTCAAATACATTTTGATGAGAATAATTAACATCTACAGCATTTTGAGAAAATTTTTGATATTCTTTTTTTCTGTCTCCATCTTTATCTACAACATACTTGTGTTGACACATATTTGTGTCATTTTTTGTTGAATTCATGTAATTAGTATACATATTTCTTTTAACATTAGGGTTATGTTGTTTCATTATATAATTATTATTAGCTCTTTCATGATCTACGTTGATATCGTCATTAAATTTATTATGATTCGCTCCCATTTTTGATGCAGTCACACTGCTTTGTTCTTTTGACAAAAATGAAGTAGACGAAAATTTGGGATTTATCATAACGCCCTTATTATTTGACATATTATTATTTCTCCGAAATTCATTATTTCCCAAACCTACTGCTGCATCCTTCTCATTCATTTTTTTAGATTCGATAAAATTTTCTTCGCTCAACTTTTTATCTTTTGACATTAGTGCATCGTTTTTATAATTCCCCTTTCCATTTGTAGCAATATTCACGTTGGAGTTACAATTCTGTTCGTTTGAATTTCTCTGATATATTTTGTCTCTTCCCACATACGAAGTATGTTGTGGTACTTGCACCCCTGCTCCTGCTGTTGCTCCTCCTCCTTGTGTTGATAGTCCTGTTCCTCCTACAGATGCTAGCCCTTGTGGGGAATGATCTCTAAATTCTGGATTCCCATACTTATTATGCTTTCTGTTCAGTTTGGAATAATTATAATTCTGGTTATTATCATTCTTACTTTTGGGATGCATTAAATTTTTCTTACTAAAATTTTCGTAATTTGTTTTCTGAATATGTGTTCCCTGTGAACTACTAGCATTCGTACTTTTCAAAATGGCCTCACTATTATTGTCACTCTTAGCACCTGTAGTTACTTTAAACTCGTTAAACTTTCGATGCAAAGTTTCTCCACTCATATTCGGAGCAGCTTTATTATTAGCTACTACATTACTTGCATCACCATACTTTGAATCCATTTTTAAACTATTCTCTTCATTATGGTAACCTATTCTGCGCAATTTGAATCGATCTTTTTCTACATTATTGCTGTCTCCATATATTTTGTCTACGTAATTTTTGTTCATATGTTCATTCAGAACGGTGCTTTTTTGCTTTATAAATTCTTTTTCATCCTTATTAGTGGTATTTATTTTCTCATAATAATTTTTTTTTTTTATATTTATACTACTGTTGTTATTATGTACTTTATTTTTTATCATATTTTCTTTTTCTAAAATTATATTACTAGACTCCTTATTACTATAACCATATAACTTTTCATCATTCATTTCCTTTCGTCTATATCCATTAGTTGGGAAATTACGATTAACCATAGAATACAGATTATTAGTTTTATTATAAGTTGTATCTATTGAATGTGTTTTGTTAGTTCTGTCTTTCTTTATTTGAAAAATATTGTTCACGTTTTTTATATTTTCTATATTCTTAATGTTTTTCTTGTTGTAATTATGCATAGTTCTTTTTGTTTTACCTGTTGTTATCTACTATGCGCCTCTTCACTCTCATATATATATAGAGACATGCACACGTGAGAACAGGGGCTTTTGGCAAGATTGCGTTTAAGAGGATGCACTGTTCTTATATGGCTTAGCTAGGCGTACAGGTTGTGCACACGTATATAAGCATGCACACACATATACAAACGTATATATATATACACATAAATACATATATATATGTGTAGATATATGAACAAACGCATGCATAAGCACTCACAAACGTGGAATCTCCCAATTAATGCAACCACAGAGAAACACACTGAAACAAAATAAAATGTGGTAAAAATTCAAAAGGTGTGCAAAACTAACTCGCGTGTGCAGAACCATTCAAATTTCAATGGTTCGAATGTGAAAGTGCGCAAAATCATACGCGCAGACATACACAATGCATGCATGTTTATTCATCCATATGGATCTCGTAATTTTCGCTATTCTTATATTTCCGTTGATATATCCAGTTTTTTGCTTATCAAAAACGTTGCAGTTTCATTTTGATATGACAAAGACATAACCATGCAATTTAGAATGATAACATTTTTTGTTTTTTTTGATCTGTAAAATGGGATGCAAAGGTATATCTTCAACGATATATTTTCCAATTTTTTCCTGTTTTTTTCGTTTTTTTTTTTTTTTTTTAAATCATTATGCCTATGCAAATTTTTTTTGCATATGTTTATGTATATATGTTTGTATTTATTTCATGCAAATAGTCGTATTTTTACCCAATAAAAAAAATTACAAAAGATTACACGAAATTCCATTTTTTATTACGGGAAAATGAAAAGGAGAAATATAACAAAGAGGTTGATACGTATGTCCCTGAAAAAAAAAAAAAAAATTAAATTAAATAAATAAATAAAAAAAGCGATATTATATTATACTACATGATATACCATGTGCATACGACGCAATCCAATAAAACATTACACAATGCATTACGAATTAGTGTAAAAAAATATCCCATTGTATATTTTCAACAATGTATGAAATTACTATTCCGCGAAAATCAAAGAAAATAATAAGAAACATGACTGTTACGCCCTTTATATCCATATTTTTTTTTTTTTTTTTGGTAACTTTACATATTTTTTTTACAAAATTTACACCATTAAAAAAAAATAAGCTAATGCAAAAATGAGAAAAATATTTTTATTTTCTTTTATATTTTCTTACATTTTTTTTTTTTTTTTTTTTTTTTTTTTGTATATTTCCACAATTTTCTATATCCCTGCGTAATTATTGCAATTTCCTCACACACGCCTTTTGTGTATCCTATTATATATATATTTTTTTCCCCCCCCCCCCCATACACTACCGCGTGTGTATGAGTGTGTGCAAACGGAGTTTTACAAGAAAGTATTTTCCCTGTGGAATTATTTTTCCATTCATATGGAAAACTTATCCTTAAGTTATTCAAAGCATTTACAAATTATGTGTAAACATATAAACAAACTTATGTTTTATAAGATTATATATATAATTATATAGTAACCCCTAGTTATAAAAAAGAATAAAATATGCACAGGAATTACACACTTTTTCTCTTCATTTCATTTGCGGTTAATGTCTTATATAATTGTAACACTTATTGATTGCTCTTCTTGCAATTCGAACCCCTTTTTTTTTGACATTTTTGATATTTTTCATGTTTTTTGAGAACGAAATTGTCCTCATGTTTATTTTCACTTAATTCACAATTAATTGTTCAAGGAAGTGTTAACATCAGGTAATAACCGTTGCAATACCAAACACACAAGGACAATAGGGTAAAATTTTGCTTTGTGGTAACTATGTCTGAGTCATTTTACCAATACTTGTCACTATGGTAATTCTCACACTGATTAGTTTATGACACTTTATTAAAATTTTTTTTTTTTTAATAAAGTTAAAAAATAGCGATTTAAAAAAATGAAAAAAGGTGGAAAAGATCTTTCAAAAGAGAAATCCTCATATTATTCAAAAAAAAAAAAAACAAAAAAAAAACTGCTAGAAACCTGCTCCGAACGAGACGTTTCCCATATTTTTAAGTTCAAAAAAAGAAAAATTTCTCAAATAAAAATTTTTTCTTAATGCTCAAAATAATATACAATTAGAAAAATGTGTAACTAATAGGAAAAAAAAAAAAGATAAAATAAAATAATAATAATAATAATAATAATAATAAAATAAAAAGTTGTTAAAAATAAGATTTTCTTAATACAATTTTTTTCAATTTATCCACATATGCTAAGCTTGTAGAACTGGGTATAAAGCCGAACTTCTTGTTGTCGTCCTGTTGAAAAGAGGAAAAAATTTTACTTTAAGCATCACACTATTGAAGCATAACACTCGTTCGTTATTGCATTGCAGGGATAAAACGTCTCTAAATATATGAATTGCAAAATGTGACAAATATAAGAATGAGCATACATTTGCATACCCCTGTGGTGGGATACACTCTTGGAAAATCACAAAAAAAAAAAAAAAATACATTACTAAAAATTGCTAAAAATAAGGGAACACAGGATTATGTTATTATGCTTAGGATACACCATATTTACACAAGACTACGCGTGCAACGACCCTCGTAAACATTTGTAAAACGAAAAAGTAAAATTGTTCAAAAGTGCATGCACAGAATTATTTCCTTTTTTTATCTCTTCAAAATTTGCACTTTTCTTACCGAAAAGATCAAGTCGACAAAATTTAAGACCTTAATTTTGTAATTTTTCATGGGAGTTTTTTCAATTGCAATCTTCAAATCCTCCATGTCAAAAAATAAAGGTACAATGTTTTTAGCATCTCGTTGTAAGTAAAATCCTTCTATATAAAAGATAGGAAATACTATTTCACTTTTTTTTTTAAAAGATAAAAATAGAAGAGCATTTTGAATTTGTCTACTGGATGGCATTAATTTCCAGTAAACGTTATTTTTTTTTACATGAGCATGCACGTTCTCAATATTTTTTAAACGTAAAAATTCATTTATCAATTCATAAGCTTTCTGCATGTTTATGTGATGTATTTTTATATTATTCGTATTCTTTACACCATTATTATTTATTATTTCATTCAACATATTTTCAGCATCGTAAGGACATAAAAAAAGATAACAAACCTGTTTGTCATTTTCGTGAAATATATATGGTGAATTGTTATGGTTTGTTAAAATGTATACTGGTATAATTTTCAATTTTTCATCTATAGATCTTTCATGATATTTCTTTTTCCAGAATTGGAAATTTATTTTGTTCCGCAACATACAAAGCTTACTTTCATATTTCATTTTCTTCCATATCCTTTCATTGGGTACTAATATGTTTATACTTCTTTGAATTCCTGCATTCGTGTTCAAACATTTTAATATATTTAGCATATATATACATAGAAAAATGATCAAATACATCTCGTAATGTTTCCGCTGTTCGTCCGAAGTAATGTGTAGTTATCTATGTGCAAAAAAACACAAGTGTTTAAACATTTGCAAAGAATTTACGTCGATCATGCTGATGAATCGTGTTTCTATATGTTCTTCATTTTTATATCCCTTTCCATTCCATTCCTAGCTGTATATGTTAAGTTCATTACAATGGTCTTGTTGTGTTATGGGTGTTGAAATAAACTACACTTCGGTGGAATCAAACTTTATATCTAATTTTCCTCGATTGCTCTTAAATGAAATATGTTTTCATTTCCGATAATCGTGTGAATATATGTTAAAAGGAATCTCCTAAGGGATTTTCCCTTGAATTTGATTTTGTTCATCTAGATGTTAATGAATCTGTCAACTTGTTTATATACATACATTTAGTAATTAAGTTTTTTCGTTTTTTTTTTTTTTTTTTTTTTTCCGGATACTTTATATATATACGCTTCAACAATTTTGTTAACAATTAAAAAAACTACAAATCGGATGTGCAAAAAAAAAAAAAAAGAAGAAAAAACAAAAACTAAAAAAAAATTTCCCACTTTCAACATTTGTCATATGTTCCAGCAAAGTGTTGCATCCAGTAACCTGCTAATATTGAAACACAAAATAACATACATTTCATGAGGTTACAAGTACATATACTTATCTATACACCCCACTTTGTATACCGCATTATATATATGTGCAGCAAAAGTATAGAATATTCAAGGCCTCCTCAGGCAGAATTAAAACATAAACACAAAACAAATGCACCTTATTACTCCTTACCTTAAGCACAAGAACGACGAAAACGTTGTATTCTTCGAATATGAAAATTATCAAACACGAATTATCACATTAGTGCGAAATAATTGTAACATATATAAGGTACACACAAAAAGGAGTAACTGCATGCTTTTCTTTTTTTTTTTTTTTTTCTTTTTTTTCATATTTTATTTTGTTCCTGCATATTAGGAAAAAACTAATTAACTTTTCCCCTAATTAGAAGTACGTCACCTTTGAACAATTTAGAACTCCTCAATGATTCATTCATTCCTTCATTTGTAGAAAACAGGAAAAAAAAAAAAAAAAAAAAATATATTCATTCCTTTTTTATCCTTATATATTTGGTACCATGTATTCTATAAAAAAAAAAAAAAAAAAAAAAAAAAATCATATTTGAAGAAGCGTAACAATTCTTCAGATCATCTACATAATATATCAATATATACATTTCGCACAAAAGATAGTTACGTGAAAAATGTCACAATAACATATGCAATTTAGATTGACCACAACAAGAACTTTTTCCAATTTGACAAATTTTAAGCTAATGTTTTTTCAACGCAGATTTCTCATGACCATTATTGCCTGTGTCTATGTCTTTATTCTCAAAGTTTTTTTAAATCCTTTTTTTTTTTTATCTTTCAATGATAAAACTGTTGGAGGTGTGGTTATAAAAAATGATCACCATTCAAAAAATATTGCATCGAATAAAATATGGTCTCAAAGTGGAGCATCACCTAACAAATCCCCGGTGAATAGTTATGTTTTCCAATTTGCACAGAAAAACAGATTATCTAGCATGAGAACGAGAAGGAAGAAAAATTTACTTTTTTTTTACAACATAAAAAAAAAAAAATTACCGCACCTCCTTTGTTTTCATAGTGAAGATTGTGAATACTGCAATAGCATGGAGAAGCTATTAACCAAATTAAAAGACGAAGAGGGAGTTAAATTTCTCAAACTTGAAATGTATGAAAACACATACAATTATGAATTGTTACAAGAGTTAGATTATGATAACCTGTGTGGTGGATTACCATATTATTACAACTTGAAGACACATTATAACATCTGTGGTGCTACGACTTATCACAACTTGAGAAACTGGGCCCTAGACAAGAAGTGCAAGTATGCCGAATACATCACATTTATAAATTTTTTTTTTCTCTGTCACTACCCTATAATGCATATTACCCTCTGTAGTTTGAATATGCTACTTTACAATACACCGTTTCTACAACACTTTGCCCAATCCTATTGCATCTTCATCGGATAGATATAGTATCAGATTTTACGTTAATTTAATTTCCTAACAACTTTTTCCCCCTTTTTTTTCAACAGCCCCAATGAACCACCATATGAAGAATTTTAAATGAAGAAGATACAGCGTAACCGTATATATATATATACTGACACCCGTTTTGTGCTTAAAAATAAAGCAATTGGAAGGGTTATAATATTGAGTCCTCCCACGCGAATAGCCTAAATGATTTAAAAAAAAAAAAAAAAAAAAAATTACCACTATGCTTATTTTAAATGAAAATGGATTAAAAGAACATTTATTGCACAATACTACGTCACACAACATAACAAAATTTAAGAAATGTTAATTAAAGGAATGGGTTTTTATATTAGAAGAGATATACACGTCAATATATTTATTTACAATATGCGTGTTTGATATTTGGCACATGTGCACATATTGTACATTTTAAAGCTTTATATATATATATATATATATTTACTTTTTTTTTTTTTTTTTTTTTTTCCCTTTTTAAATCGTTAAAAAAAATATTTCATTCACTAGTTTACAGTTCCATTTTCTTTTTCCATTTTTATTTAATCGAAGCGATTCGCGAGATAAAAAGGAACTATATTGCTACAGCATATTCGGCAATTCCAAATACATGCACTCAAGTACTCATACATATATGTATACATATATATATATGTACATATATGCGAGAACACACTGGTATGAAAAACGTTTATATATTTTTTTTTATGCCTCAAAAAGTTGAATCATTATTCCGTCTGAGACTTTGCCATTTTCACATTTACCGTTTATGATGCTTTTTTGTTCCATACATATTATTTCTTAAGCATCATTTTTTTTTTTTTCTTTTCGTAAGATTGACTTTGCCCATTTGGCATTTTCACTATGTGCCACAATTTTTTGGCATGCTTTACCTTTGCCACAATTTGATTTATTTTGCCCACTCCCCCTAACATTCTTCCTTATACTTAATTAATAGAACTTTTTTCATGATTTCCGTTTTTCGCCGCATTGAGAAGTGATAACTATGCAGCAAGGAAGCTGTACAACTTTGAAGAGAGGAGCTGACATATGCCACATACATATACGCATGTATGTATATATATGTATCTCCATTTTGTTATGTAAGGCTTATATGCCTAAACACTCTTTTGCTGCATGCTGAAAGCCAATTACTAAACATTGCCCCTTCATCAGTGTACATATATTTTCTGTACATAATTCGTGAAAAGGGTAACAAAAAACCCATGACTCCTTATTTGATTTAGCACATAATTATATATGTGCTTTTTTCTGATTTGCCTTTTTTTTTTATTATTTTTTTTATATATTATTTTATTTTATTTTTTAACACCATGTGTTTGCATATTAGAACGAATTAACATCCATTGGAGCTTATTTGTATGAAGAACTTTTCAAATGGTTCACTTTGTATGTTGCAGAAATTTAAAGGTCATTTAAACCATCCACACAAAATAGCACCCTACAGAACCAAGGCATTTTTTATTTATTTATATATTTTATTTTTTCTGTTTTTGTGTCTAAGTGTATCCATTCAGTGTTTGTATAAACCATATTCGATGTAAATGGGGAAAGTATATTTTTTTTTTTTCTTCTCAAAAAGGTGACAAAATTCAATGGAGAAAAAAATCGTCATTTTTTAGGTTCCATTCTTTGCATATAGCATTCAACCATATTTTATTTTTTTCCTTTTTGCTTCTTTTTATCCCTATTTATATTCCTTTTTTTTTTTTTTTTACATTTGCAACCCTGTAAAAATGTACAACATGACTATATACACAAAGTATGGCACCGTATTCAAATTGCTGTTTCTGCTGTGCATGTATAATATCATAAAAAGTGTATTTTTTCATCTGAAGGGGAATGAAAAAACAAACGATCGTAAAAATTTTTACGTACAAGCGAATAATTGGAATTTATTCGAAAAATGGAAATCCATAAGTCCTATGGAAAAATTAGAATACAAAATAAATTACAATCTTGGATTAAACATAGATGCAGAGATAGGTGATTTTGGTGATTATAACTCAGATGTGAAAACAGATCTGATTCTGTTTAATTATGATAAGAATAAACAAACAAGTACTATATTTATATACATATTTAGCATATATGAAAATAAATTCATATACCACACGGAAGTTAGTTTTGAAGGTCAAGTTGTGAATGTCATTGCCATCGATCTTAATTTTGACGGTGCATTAGATGTCTTGGTATTATTTAAAGATCCCAAGGATAGTAGCAAAACGAGTAAGTATTATATTTCTGCATTTTTGCAAAACGAAAATGATAAATTAGAAGAAGCGTGGAATTCGAAAAAAAAGGAAGTTGCTAATGAAGACATATCAGATGGTAAAAACGCAAGCCAAGCGCCCACTGTTCCAGCTAGCGAAAAGGGAAGCGAAAAAGAATCCAACGATAGCATCTACTTTAGCAATATTCATCCACTCGTATGTGATATAAACAACGATGGTTTACCGGATCTAATAGGACAACAAGCATCAAGCGATTCCGTGGGATTTTCCCGTTTTGTATGGATTAACAAAAAAGGAGAATTCAAAAGTGCATTGTGGAAAAATATGAATCTGTTTAGTAAAGAAGATGTAGATGAAATTACGAACCCCAATTCGAGTGCAGTTGTAGATATCAATGGTGATTGTAAAGCCGATTTGGTATTTACTGTGTATAATAAAAATAATGCAAAAAAAAGTACTTCTCTAGAAATATGGTTGAATCAAATAGTGGGTGAAGGAAGCATGTATGTAAAATATAAAGAAAACTACAATTTACCATCTAATTCTTTGCAAGTCCTTTTTGGAGATTTTAATGGAGATGGTGCTATCGATATTGTAACTCCAACATGTACAAAAAGCTCATATTGCAATTATTGTTGTGTAAGTGATGATAAAATATACTTTATCCCGAATATTCAAAAAAAAATATGTGATAATTCTTGGCAAAAACCTGATGAAAGTAAATGTAGATTAGCATCTAACTTATGTTCAGAAAGTGATTTTACATTTATGCAAGAATTAAATGATGATTTTGTATCTATAGTTGATACATCTGGATTACATCTATCAGGTAATGCAGACTATCCCTACTACATTAGTGTTGGGGATGTAGATGATGACGGATTCTTAGATTTGTTAATCACATTAAAAAATGATAAAGGTCAGAAATATGTACGAATATATAAAAATGAACAAAAGGCATTATATGAAGAAAATAATGTCGACATAAGGGGTTTTTTTAATTTCTACCAGTTTGTTACATCTCCTGACGAAACGGTAACAGATGTGTACAATGCTGCTTTTTTTGACATCTATGAAAATGGAGTATTAGATATACTCATATTTGGAAAGTATAAAACATCCAATAAACAGAATAAATATGCAGCTGTTGGATTTATTAGAAGTAATGAAACAGATTCACTTTTTTTAAAGTCAACAGCATTAAATGGAATATGTGTAAATGATTGTTATAAAGAAAAGGATAAAATAACAACCAAAACATTGGGAGGAAATGCTCATGGTCCCACTTTTAAAATTACAGTAATTGATGTTAATGGTGTTAAATCAAGCAGAATTGGTATACAGAAAAGTCAGTCAGCTCATTCCCCTTTGCAATTACCATATGTTTTATTTGGACTTGGGAGAACTAGTAATTATGTAGAAGAATTTTATGTTGGCATGCCAACACATGAACAGAAGTATTACAACATGTGGGTATCCATCATACCAAATTCACATATTATAGTCATTCCTTACCCTTTGGAAAATTCCAATAAGTGGCAAATTCAACTATCTGTCAATCCATCCAAGAAGTTTTATTCCATTATTTATATAACCCTCATATGCTTGACCGTCATTGGAATTTTGATTTTCATCTTGGACAGGCGGGAGAAGGTGGAGGACTCAAAGGAAGAAATGGGATTTAAGAGCCATTTTGTTATAGGCTAATAGCTTAGAAGTGAAATTATGAAAAACTTGGAAAATTTATTAGAATATTTTATACGAGTTAGGAAAAAAAAAAAAAAAAAAATGCCTAACCTGTGTCTACATGTATTAGTTATCATGAACCCCTTCCAAATGATAAAGTAATTCACAAAGAAATTATTCCTCCACTTCTAAACATATTATTGCAACATGACACAACTATACAATGAATAATTGTTCGTGGCATCAAAACATGGCCCATCACGCAGTGCCTCATCAGGATAGGTGTAATGAAAATTCCACTATGTATTATTACTGATCAAAGTGCAAAACGCATGTCCATTACAGCTTATCGCACACTCGTAATGAATTTGTGTCACCATTCAGGGTTAAAATGCACACACACCCTTTAAGAATAAAATAAAGGGGTGAGTTTTATTTTACTTTATTTATTTTAATTTATTTTATTATAACCCCCATAGCCGCTTTCTCATTTTGTTCTTAATTTGAATATTTTCAATTTCACCATTTGTGGCCCTTTCTTATTTTTTTGCTATATTTGTGGGATTCACAGTGTTCTCTTACCGTCATGTTAACTCGTTTCTATTCTTTCTTTGGCTCATTCTTTCTTTTTTTTTCTTTTTTTTTTTTTTGTTACTAATTACATGAGATATTCAAGCCATTAAGCTGAATTAGGGAGAAACAACTTTTAAAAATTTTTTAGTGCATTTATATCCATGCAAACATATGTATTTATATATATATATATATATATATATATATATATATATATATATATATGTGCGTGTTTCTCGTCGTCCTACTTTTTGACGGTACCATTTTGTATAAATTTAATGCAATGTGCTTTTTTCTCCATTCCATTTTTATTTTAAAACCATTATATAGAGTAAATATAGCTCTTTTATTAAATAGTGAAATGGTCAAATTTTACAAAACTTAAAAATGAAAAAAATTAAGAATACATCACTTAAAACAATATTATCATGCCAGTCCTACTAAGAAAATGTTGTATGGACTGTAGTCCTTTTGTTTGTATAAAAGTGACAAATACCTGTGATAGGAATATATTTTAGGGGGTACTACATTGCATAAGGATTTTTTTTTTTTTTTTTTTTTTTATGCATACATTTATATGCTATTTTTTCCGTATACTATCAAGCAAGTGCATTTTTTTGTATATACATTTATAGAACATAGTAAGATAACAGGAAAATGAAAATAGACAGAATGTTTTTTTTTTTTTTTTTTTTTTTTTTACCAAAATTAGCTTCATTGACTTGGGTTATGTTTTATTCGATAAGAAAATACTAATTTTTTTTTTTTTTTTCTAATCGATATAGAGAAGTATTTCCACTCCTTGTACATTAATTTGTTTCGTGTTTTTTTTCATACCCATCTCTCATTGTTCACAATTCTTTTTTTTTTTTTTTTTTTGCAATTTATTTTTGTTTGCTCAATTAAAAATGAGACGAGTCATTCAAGGGGTATTTTACTGTTGTCTATTCCTATCATTTGCAGAAATCGTAAGTGGATGTTGTTTTTTTTTTTTTTTTTTTTTATATATATATTTCTTTTTTTTGGCTTTTTACCATTTTATGTACACCTTTGAGCACCTGAAGCTTGAACACGCAACATGACACTTCTAACATACAGTTGCTATAAATTGCGTGTTGTCAACCTTTCCCCTCCAGAATGCATAGACAAAATAGAGTATTTCCTCTTTTTTTTTTACCTAATGAACAGATATTAGGATTCAACTTTGAACATGTGTCGAAGAAAAAAAAATACTTAGTTTTGCCAAGTATTACTGTTTTTCCCTTATATCTCTACATTACCAAATGATATCACATATGCTTCCAACCGATTTATTCATTTTTCTTCTTCTTCTTTTTCATCTTCTTCTTGTCCCTTTTTTTTTTTTTTTTTTCCCGGCAGAATCATACTTGGATTGCAAATACTACAATGGTTAGTCCTCAAAGGATAAAGAGTATTTATTACAATTTATTGATTCTACAAAATGACGAATAAACAAATTTTAATAACCCTTTTTTTTTTTTTTTTTTTTTTTTTTAAGTTATAAGTAAAAAGACTTCCTACCTTAGTGTAAATCATGCAGAACAGGTTTAAGCAAGAAAATAATATCATTACTTGCGTTACCTTTCCTCTCTATGTGCGTGAAATAAAACCATGTTGAACCTCATTAGATCAATCATATCTTACCAATTGTTCGTCTTGAAAAAAATTTCCTCTCTTGTCTTTTTCGGACAAAAGTACTGTGACGAAGACCCATTCTGTAGTTACTTCCTGTATAGTGACACAAAACAAGAAATACGACTTTGCTATGACAAAAAAATTCTTCTTAAGAAGCCAAAATATGATGAATTGTAATCCAAAAGGAGGATTAATTTTACAAAAAAAAGAAGAAGTTCTATTTAATCATAATCTCACTTAGGTAAAAACATGTTCATCATACGTACATTTGTACTCAATGAGTTTTTCTTTTTTAGATGGATAACAAGTATAAAGGAAAAAATGTTTGAACAATTTGCTCCTGCACTCGTAAATACGCAAGGCATATGTAGTCACAAAGTCGAAAAATTTACTTTTCACACTTTAAGAGAGGCCATAAAAAATGCAAAGGTGACTTACAATTAACACTTTGGGATATATATAAGAGGTGATAAAAATAATTATCACATCGGTTGCAAAAAAAAAAAAAATAAAATAAAATAAAATCCCTTTCTTAGGAAAAAATGCAAAACTTTATGATACTCAACTTTCAAACAATTTTAAAAAATGGTAAGACAATTGATAAGAATAAAAATGGATGGTCTCTTGTGTGTGTACGCTAAATTAGATGAATACACAATTTTTCGAATTTCATATTCACTTTCTACCTAAATTACCTTTTTTTAAGAGGATGATATCCAAGGATATTTCTGCGAAGTGATTGATTATTTTGTCAATCGAGAAAGTTATGTTGTGTTCGACTTTACCAAATTAGGAAATCCACATGAATCATGTCTCTGGACAAAAAAATGTGGAGCACGAGGATCGGTGATATAAAATACATATCGATACAGGACTAACAGAATAAAAAGACATCCTATGTGTTGATTTTTTTTTTTTTTTTTACTTTGACAGGTTTTTCCATATGGGGGAGAGAGAATTTATGCATTTTATATCTCCCTTAAGTTCATATGTACACTGTAACAGTTTAATGTACAACTCGTCCTCTTTTTTTTTTTTTTTTTTTCTTCATCAGATACAAGCAGATGATAGTAAATATGAGGATAATATAAATCCAGGAGATGTGGTAGAAGCTCATACATTCTAAGTCTTAATTTTTTCTTTCATTTATTGACAAATTTGTTTTCATCCCTTTATTTATACATACTCATAATTGTGTGCACAGACAATAGTTGTATTTACAGTCAAAATATATGATAAAAAATAAAGTTTAAAAACTTTTTAGCGTTTGTTTCATGTTACACTAATCATAAAATATATATACATCAAAAAAACAAAAAATAAAAAAATTTCCCTACTTATATAAAATTCATGTGATATGTTAACCCCTTTCCAACACTCACGAACAACTTTCTACATGTATAAAAATTGTTCTCCATTTCGATTTATTTTAACTATCTACACACTATAGTGCCCAAATGATCGAGGTCTTTTACATTTTTTAATAAAAGCATTGAAGTCATAATTATAGCTAGTACAATAAGGTAACTGTGCATATATATATATATATATATATATATATATATATATATATATATATATATATATCCCTTGCAATGTAAAGTGACAAGGTGAGGTAGGGAAGAGAAATGTTATAATTATGCACCCACCTGGTTGAAACTAAACCATCTTCATAATTATTTAAAAATAATTTCCTGTCTTGTACTATTAAAATGTATTATTTGAAAGATATATTTTATATAATTTCAATCTTCTCTTATGTAAGAATGGGATGAATTAAAAAAAAAAATAAGTAAATTGGAACGACAACTTCTACCCACATATCCCTTTCTTACATTATACATCATCCATATAAAAATGTCGTAAAAATGGAACCATCTTATTACTTTCCCTCATATATATAATTCTTCCAACATTGAGATAATTGTATAAACAAAAAAAAAAAAAAAAATATAAATTACATGTGAACAAGAAAAACTTCCCTATTTTTTGTTTTAGTTTATGCTTGTTTTATCTTTTCTCTTCACGGCACTCTGCATCATATTTTATTTAATCTCTATATGTGGGTTGCCAAAATTATGCGTGTAGGAAAAATGTATTCAAACAGGAGACGCAAAAATATCACAACATTTGTGAAAATTTGTGAAAACTTCACAAAAATTGGCAAAAAATTAGCCAAATATTGACCAAAATGTTTTTCTCTACTTTTAATTGTTCCACATGTGGGAAAATAACGTAAAGTAGAAAATAAAATGGCCTTCAATTTCTTCACGCAAAGGAGCCGGGATAAAATAAAAAATACAAGCGTATTACTCCGTAGAATATATTTTTGCATACATTTTTTTATACACATTGTGCATTTTAAATATATAAACGTACATGTTAGATCGTGCAACAGCTTCGCGAAATTTTGACTAAGGAAAGCAGCTAAGCTTCTATAATATATATACATTTGTAAATATCTCCATTTGACTATAAAAAAAAGAGGGGAAAACAAGGTGCATTTCGGATAAATAATAAAAGAATATTTACAAAATGATTCCAAGAGTTTCAGGAAAATGTTTCCTTATCAATCTTTTGTAAATTTGGTGGAATATGTTTTTTTTTTTTTTTTGTTTTGTTTTTTATTATACCCCGTTTAGTTCACAAATTTGTATCTGCTTTTCTGAAATGCAAGGGTTTAATTTTTTATTAAAATACATGACAATCTAGGAATGTTATTAAATGTCGTAGATTATGTGAAACAATAAGGAAAAAAGGAATGGAAAAAAAAAAAAAAATAAAAATAAAAAAAAAAAATAAGTTTTTCCTCACCTTTCCTCTAGCCTTCAATTTGAGTTTCCCTTTTTTTCCCTTTTTAAAATAACAATAAAATATATTACAAAATAATTTTTTTAAAAATTGCAAACTCATTAATCTTAATGTATATTTATTTAAAGCAAAGCAGTTTTTATAAAAGTGAAAGTGGCTTACTTTATTTATTTAAAAAGAAGAAAATATTTTAAAAGTGTCCATATTTATACATATAGAAGTATATATAATTATGTACACTCTTTTTCTTTTTTTTTTTTTTTTGTGCTTGTACATGTAGCACCTTGAACAAAACAAGCTTTGTATTGTTACTCTGCACGAGGAATTCAAATAAGTGAAATTTTTTGCAACAATGGTGAAGCTTGGGAAAATAAGTAAGAGGCAACCACTTAAGCAAAAATATGCCATTACGAAAAAAGTAGCAGCACATAAGAAGAAACTAAAAAAAATTATAAAAAAGACGAAAATTCATAATAGAAGAAGTACGAAGAAATCTTTGAAAATTCCAGAATGTATTTTTAAAAAAGATATATTAAATAATATAAAAATAATTTCTTCAACGAAGAAAAAAAAAAACAAGGAAGATGAGGAAATATGTAAGGAAGTTAGCTTAGAGAACTACGATGATTGCACATTACAAAATATGATGTATGCTTTGAACATCTCTCCGGAGGAAATTCCTCATGCGGACTTAACTAGTACTGTGAGTAGTGAAACTATGCAGAGCAATTTTGCCCATAGTAATAACGTCATTTCTGTGAAAACAACAGATGGGGACTTAATTTCTAGGGACCAAGCCGATTCAGGGATGAACAATTTTTACAATTACCTCGATTTAAACTTCGTCACAAAAATGCATATTTTTGAAAAAGCGAAGGAAGAACTGTATCCTATGCTAAAGGAAAAATATTTGCATGTGGATGACTTACTAGAAATCATAAGAAATTGTGATGCTATTTTTTACCTTGTCGATATAAGAAACCCATTAGTTTACCTGGAAGAAGACATAATCAATTTTATTAAAAAATGCAAAAAGGAAATAATTTTTATTTTAAATAAATGTGATTTAGTCGATAGTTCTCTAATCGAGCAGTGGCTATATTTTTTTCGCAATTTTTATTTAACCATACCTTTTACATGTTATGAAAGGAAGAATCCAACTTATTTATCTTCAGGCAGAAACAAACAAAACACAGATTGGTCACAAGGGAACTTGAATAATGTATCACATCACGGTACCAATAATAATATATATCTAACATCAATTATTAAAAGCTTTTTTAACACGAATAAGAAAATTACTTTTGGTGTAATTGGATATATATATACAGGAAGGAGTAGCTTCTTGCAACTAATACTACGTGCATTCAGTTGTACAAATCCTCGTAACAAAATAACTGCCATCAATGTTGCAGAAAACATAAATTTTTATTCAAAGTGTGGTATTATTTTAAGAAAAAATTTAAATGGTATTGGATTGATTAAGAAACTACATGTATTAAGTAACAATGAACGATTAGTTCTTTTAAGTGAATTTCTCCTAAGTTTAAGTGGTAAAAATTTAATAAAATGTTTACTATTTTTAAATCAAGAGGAACTTGCTAATAAGTACAAAAATTATTTTACAAAAAACATTGACAAAGAGGAAAAATTAGAAAAAAAAAAAGAAATTATTCGTCTAATATTTTTAAAACAACAAAATGGAAATGAACTTGAAAATGAAAATATTAATTCTAAAAATGTAACAAAAGTGTACAATAAATTATTTTTAAACAAAATCCCGTATTATGTCATTCCTAAGGAAAAATTATCTCTATCTCCTGAACAAAATAATAACCAGAATAATGATATCCGTAATATTTTTTCCCAAATTGTTTCTGACATCTACCCAAAAATTGATGACTTCATAATTTCTCAAAAAAAAAAGTTTGATGACTATATCATTATAAAAAGTGACAAATTTAATTATAACGTTTAGTAGGTTCTACACAATATGCAATCATCTTATCACATCCACGTTATAGAATGCATGTAATTATGAGGTCCCTATGCATATCCATTTCTTGCACGTATGCATACCCTCGTACACACATGAAATCACAAAATAATTCACTCCCTGGAATCAACATCTCTGCTTCTCAGCAAAACAAAAAAAAATAAAAGAAACAGTTTTTACTTAAAATAAAGGGTGTAGAATATGAATATAGACAGGGAAATTTTTTCTCATTCCTCGTAAATAGTGAAATATTTGTTTCATGCACATGCACATACAAAAACAGAAAAGGATATCATATCTCTATAACTCTCTAACAATCCCCCTCTACTTTTATAAAACTGGAAGAAGCACATTTCTGTGGATATCTAAACACCACAGACGAGAGGAAAAATAAGCCTTTTGACATTTTGTAGCAGTCATTTGATTTGTGTTATTACGTTATTATTTTTTTACCCTTTTTACCTGTTTTATTATTATTATTATTTTTCTACCCTTTTTACCTGTTTTATTATTATTATTTTTTTTTTAAAGTGTGTTCATGACCACCCCGTGCTGGCCACAAATTTCTGGGTTTATTTTATGCCAACTTTATTGATATGTAATTTGTTGAGGAGACATTTTTCAGTACACATATAAGAACAACCATCATTTGAGCATTTTTTTTTTTTTTTTTTCCATTCATTTAAAAAATATAGTTTTCAATTTCTTAATGATTGAAAATTTTTGTGGCCATTTCGAAAAATATGCATATGATTTATGTATGGGTAGTATAACGTGCAGAAAAAAAAATACGTCCACAATATTTACACGAAGGATATAGAAGTGTTATCCCAAAAATGAAATTAAACCCAAGTAGTCTGTTTTGTTTTCCACGCTCTCCTCATATAGTGAATTTGCTGAAGGGCAATTATTCATAAGACTTGATTTTTTTTTTTTTTTTTTTCTACTAAATTTATTTACGTACTCTTCGTGAAATGTACAAAAAGGTGAAGAATATTTATCTATCTTTACATAAATATTTTTTAAATTTATTTGCCAGAAAAATAAAACATTAATAGGACTCACTCTAAATGATTGATCTCATTCATATGCACTAATTGCATGATTAAAATTAAGTGCACAACGCAAAAGAAAAAAAGAAATGGAATAATGATAGGTAATAAATGCTACATGTGTAACACAACAGTCATGTACTAAAGATAAGTCCACATCTTTTGAAATGTTAAAAATTTTATAATTTTTCAAGTACAAAAAAAATAAAGTCACATGTAAATTATCATTTTTTTAAAGTAACATTTTTTTCTTTTTTGCTTTTATAATGAGTCCGCATGCGAATTCAACAAATATGCAAAATTTAATAGCAAATTTAAAACATATTTCAAAATTACTCATATGTTTCATGACAATTTCGTAACAACTAAACAACAAAAAAAAGAACGCAAGAATTGTAATTACAGATATGAATTGTTATACATTGTATATGCATTTCCATATAAGCATGCGGACTTATATATCTAATATTAGTTCATGAAAATTATTCACACAGCTGGATCATTACAGAAAAGAATACTCAACCAACAAATTCTTATTCACCTTATCCTAACAGTTATAAAATTACTTCAAATATATTTTGCATTATTAAAAAAAAAAAAAAAAAAAAAAAAATACTTAAAGCAGATAGCTAAAACGAAGAGAGAAAAAAACCCGTCACCTTAAAATGTTCACTCTCTGTAAAGGTTACAGTGATGATGATGATGAGAAAGAAGAAACAGATATAATCAATTCAGTGTCTGAAAATAAAAAATCGTTTGAAGATAAAATATCATATTATAAATTAAAGGGGAAAGATGAAAGAGGTCATATAACTATTTATACAAATTTAGGTGAATTTGAAATAGAATTGTATTGGTATCATAGCCCTAAAACATGTTTCAATTTTTATTCACTATGTGATATGGGATATTATGATAACACTATATTTCATAGAATTATACCGAACTATATTATACAAGGTGGTGATCCCACAGGGACAGGAAAAGGTGGGAAAAGTATTTATGGAGAATATTTTGAAGACGAAATAAATAAAGAATTAAAACACACAGGTGCTGGTATATTAAGCATGTCTAATAATGGTCCAAATACCAATTCTTCGCAGTTTTTTATAACCTTATGTCCTTTGCCACATTTGGATGGCAAACACACAATTTTTGCAAGGGTTAGCAAAAACTTCACTTGCATAGAAAATATCGCGTCAGTCAAAACAACTGCAACGAATAAACCAATTTTTGATGTCAAAATTTTGCGAACATCCACAGCCGTAAATGTTGATTGATGAGTCGAAGCGAGATAACCTATGAACGTTAGTAATTTCCCCAAATGATATAATGTTTCTTCCTATACAATCGTCAATTCCAAACTTGCACAGCCCTTACATATGTGTACCAGTAAACCAACCAACCTTGAAAGATGACATATATATATTGCCTTAGTATAATTAATGTGCATGTCCATAAATCTATATTGCTTTGCTCATATTGATTTCCATTTGTTAAGTAAAAATGATTATTCTTCATTAATCGTTTTTATTTTTATTGTAATTACCATGGAATTCTAATTAGTTTGCTTTGAATATTTTATTTATTTTATTATTTATTGTTTTTTTGTCAGATTATTTTATTTTATTGTTTTATTTATTGTTTTTTTGTCAGATTATTTTATTTTATTGTTTTATTTATTGTTTTTTTGTCAGATTATTTTATTTTATTGTTTTATTTTATTTTTTTTTTTTTGCTAATTTATTTATTTTTTTTTTTTTTTTTTTCCTTTTCACTAAAAATGGAAGTACATGTGAAGCAAGCATCATGTTTCTCTATTTTGAAATTTTTTTTTTGGGATATTTTTTTTATTTTTAAAAGTTCAACATAAATTAATTGTTGAGGAAAAATAATATTCTTTAAAATAAAACACTCCTTGTATGTAGCCTTTAAACAGCACATACCTTCCCTCTGTATTTTTCAGTATTATATCATTTCTCAGTTATTTTTCCACTTTTCGATATATGGGGTTTAATTTTTAAAGGTAATAAAATGATCGTAGCCATATTAAAGTGCACGTTTGTCCGTGGCCAAAGAGAAGGTTAAGTTAATGATATTTTGTAAGCAATCCAAAAAGTAAATCATTAAAATATAACAATAAATGGAAGAAGCAGTAAAATTACAAAATAAGGAATAAGAAGGGAGAAAAAAAAAAAAAAAAAAAAAACGCAGGAACCTTTTCGAAACAGCGTTTGATGTGTCATTCCTTGCAAACACTATCCCTCCCCAATTTATGGATGTGCTGATACCACACAGCATAAAAAGTGTAGTAGAGTATCCATTCCTTGGTGACATATTTGTTCAAATTTATAATTCCATATGAGCATTTACTAATTTTGGACACCTACTCTCGAATGAAAAAAAAATAAACATGAACCCAGCACTACGTTGTACATAATATATATAGCATATACATATTCTGATGTGTCTGCTTACTCACAATCGTACATACGTGATCAACCACCTTATAAATAGTAAAAGTTATCCCGGAATAGTCACATATATCGACTGAGATTTCGTCATTTCATCTTATAAAAAGGTAATATATATAAATGAACCAGTAACAAAATGATAAATGATGAAGACTTGAGCCTAGAATCCTTCAAGCGGTTAAAAGATCTAGAGGAAAAAATAAACGGAAAAACAGAAAATAATGAGAAGAAAAAGGAAACAGATAACAATGTAAAAAGTTTTATGAAACTAAAACTTTTAGAAAATTCATTACCTCAAATTGTCAAGAAAAAATTGAAGTCCATGAAAATTGACAATATGAAAGATCTGAAAAAATTAACTGTCACTAAGAAGAAGAAATTTTTTGTGAAAATTTTGGAAAACAAAGATTTAAAGCGGCAAAAGAAGAAGAAGTAGAAACAGAAACTGAAGCAGAAACAGAAAAATAAGAATAAATCCAAATTTGCAAAGTACTTCCACAGATGGTTCGTAAAGAAATTTGTTAGTATCAAATGCCAGGCATATTTCTTATATACGACATGATCTACGTGCATACTTTATGGCTTATATTTGGAAAATTTACTCTCTCCATATGTACACAGATACATGTGCAGATAGTGTACTGTATAAATTTCCCTTTTTTTTTTTTTTTTTTTTTTTTTTTTTTGAACCCAGTTAATATAATTATGCATTGAAAGTATAATTATTTATTTATTTTTATTTGTTTAAATCTTTATATATCCAATATTTGCAAATTCGTACATACTTTCACACATATGTAATGTGTGTACATGTACTAACTGAATTTGAGCCGGGATATCTTGGTATGTCTCCTTCCAGTCAAATTTGTCACCATTCAATGGTATTATTTTCCGTGTATTTTTGACAACATTTTTACCTGAACCATAATATAAACAGAAAAACAAAATGAAGGTAATTTTTTTTTATAATAAATAATTACTACTTAGGATATGTGGACATACGAGGATGGAATAGACCTTCATTTTTGAGAGACATCCAAAAATACACGGATATATATGAATACACATACATATATTCATGTGTTCATATGTTTTTGTGAAATATATACATATGCATAGGTTATGTCTTCTTTTTTTTTTTTTTTTTTTTTACAAAAACTGCTGATATATTCCATATTTACCTATGTTAATAAGGAACTCGTTTAGCTCATACAGTGTACAATTTTCACACTCCTTAATAGAAGACAAAATGTTTGTGGAAAAGTTATCAATATCCTAGGTTGAAAATAAAAAAAAAAAAACGTTACAAAATGGGTTGAAATGCCAAAGGAGAGACGTAAAATAATTGTAGATTGAATAAAAAAAAAAAAAAATTATCCAACGCGTGTTTTTTCTCCCTTTTTCTATTTGTTCATCCTTACCGTATTCACTTGAACAGTTTTTTCGAAACTTTTGGATGTTTTAAAATTGATATTTGCATCTTCGAAATATGTAAGAACTATATCTATAGTGCCCTAAAAAAAAAAAAATGAAAACAGAAAATTGCCTTTTTCGATTTATTGTGTGAGAAATAATTTGAGCTCAGGAATTTATGCGTGTACACGCTTGTGCATATCAAAATAGGACAAAATAAGAGGCCCTTAAATTTGTTTTTTACCCTTATGAGTACTTCTTCATCCGTTGTTAAAAATTTCACATTCCAGGTACTCCTCCATGAACTGGCACTGCAAGAGGAAACAAAATATAGAGTATTTCTATCACTATATGATTAATCAAATTTTTTGACTACAAAGTTTTAGTGATTTTTTTTTTTCTCTTTCTTTAATCGTTCTCTTTTTTTTTTTTTTTACTGAAAATTCTTTAAATAGTGTCTGTCACAACATATTATTAGGATGAGGTTAAATCTGCCTGCGTTCTCTGAAGCGTACACAGAAGAACTACATTTCACATTTAGTCCATTCTTCGATTTTATATTAACAGTTGGATAATTTATCGTTTGTAGTTCGTTCCATTTCGAATAATGCACTTGGACATATTCCTCCAACTTTTCACTACATTTTTTTCTATTATATGAAGCAAATTGGGGAATTGGGGGGGAAGTGTAATGGTTGAGGGATGACAAAGGAAAAAGAACAAAAATAAGCATGAGTTAAAATTATGCTTATCTTATTTCCTTCCTTGTTTATATAGAATAAAGTGAAATAATATCTCCCTTTTTATGCACATTTGTCAAACCTATAATTTTCCAAGAGTTCAGGATAGCTCAAAAATTCCAGACTTGTCATTGTGTTTACGTTCTAACGAATAAAAAGAAAGTTCAGAAATTTCTCAAAAGTTGAAGGAAAGAATCGTGTAATGCACCATTTTTTTTTTTTTTTTTAAGAAATTGCAAATGTCTGTACCTTCTTCATGTGGTTTACAATTAGCAAAGATTTCAGCTTTGGATGAATGTAAGAATTGTCAATTTTTGCTTCTTCACAGGTGATGACCTTCAATTGTAAAAGTTATATGAGTGTGTATGTGTTTGATACATGTGCATTCATATGTTCATTTATGAGTATAGCATACATTTATACATTTTTACGTATATATTTTTTTATAATCACACAAATATGTGATTTGTATTTTGTTGCAATCTTAGAACAACAATAGCAATCCTATTTATTTAACATAGACATGCACTTGTACATATTCATCATCCGCAACGGGAATGAGGGCATAACTTTTTTCATTGTGATTTGCCACAGCTTCTTCAATTGAATTGAGGATGGCTGCACTGGTTCCAAATAAAGTTTTCAGATCTGCGTAAAAGTATCCAAATGGATTTAGTAATTTATGAACATTCATAAAAAATAAGAACATATACACAGCAGCATTGGTAAATAGGATACACTCCTGAGTGCATATATCTGACGCAGTTTTGTGTATTGTCGAATTTTATCTCTTCACACCTGACACTAAGTCGGCTATTTTCACAGGAGGAGAGTTTAATAAAACATGTCTAATAAAATTTTTCTTTTCATTTAATGAACTTTCCATTTTATCATCCTTATTTAGAAGTACACATAGTTTGGCAATACTGTCGTCAGTTGTTCAGGTCTATATTTAAAAATACTTATTTAAAGAGTGTTTAGCATTTAAAAAAAAAAAAAAAAAAAAAAAAAAAAAAACTTTCCTCAATCTTATAAAACTTATAATAGTGAACAAGTATTCTTAAAAAGTAAAGGAATAATTCAAACATGAGTTGCTCAAAAATTAACATTTCCGCATTTTATTTATGTCCACTAACACTTTCATCTTTCTTCATTTCAAACAATTAATTAAATAGGATAGCAAATGAATGGAAGCAATAGAGAGATCGTCGTAAAACAAAATAAAAAATAATAAATGTACATTATTTCATTAAACGCTCAATTCTGCATGGCACAAACCGATTTTGCTTTTCTCAAAAAAAAAAAAAAAAAAAAAGAAAGAAAATATTCCCTACATAGTGACAAAATTCCACAATCCTTGTGCACACACGCGCTTTCGTAAAGTTGTACATTTCATTGCTCCAAATTTAGCAAATTGCTCTATGTCCAAAAATTTCACGAAAAATCAACAAAACAATTTGACTATTATTATTGATAAGACAAAGCAACTTAAAAAAAACGCTTAAATTATTTCCTCTTTTTTGTAAGAACATAAGGAACGGGCTTTTTCAAAGAAATAAAATTAAATTCAGATGAAAAATATATTCTCATTATTGTTGCCAGTAAACAAAATGTAAGAAAATTTAGGAACAGATTCAGAATTCATTGTTATTAAAAAAAAAAAAATAATAATAATAAAGTTGCAAGAATGTGTAAAATGATAAAGCAAAATAACGGAACGTCTAATATCTAGCACTATAATGAAAAAACGAAAAAAAATTAATAATTCTAGAAAAAACTATATCAGTAAAGAAAATATAAATTTTAATAACGGTATATATATATAAAAGGGAAAAAAGGCAAAAAACAGACATTATGTGTGTACATATAGCCCTTTTTGAAGATACACACATATATATACATATATCTACCTTGCCCATGCCAGGATAAAGAGATTTTACGATATAAAGAGTAAGAAGCACGAAAAAAAGTAAAATGAAAAAATAGAAATAAGCAATGTGTGTATATGTTATAAAAATATATGCGTATAGAACAAAGGCTACTCAAAAAATGGGAATAAAAAAAAAAAAAAAAACAAGTTCACAAAAAAATATTCGATTATTTATCTGATCCCAAATTTCTTTTAATAGTAGAATATTGTCACCTCGCACTGTGAACACATTTAAAAAATTCTGAGAACTTCCATAAAATCATTCATATAACATTCTTTTAGCAACTAAATTTTATTGGTACCGTTTCTTCTGACGCTTTTTCGATATAATCCTTACTGTGGCGCTTTATGAAATTTATGCCATCTCCTTTTCTATTGTCTGAAATTTGAGATAACAGGTAGGACATGTTCAATTAGGTACGAAATTTTAAGTTTACATATTATCAGAATATACTTACATGTGGGAATACACATTTGTTGATAAGTGGATATGTATGGACACACTATTATGTGCTTCTGATGCAATAAGGACGTGAAAAAAAAAAAAAAAAATAATAATAAAATAATGGGTCATAACAAATGCGTCGAAATCCATAATTTGAAAATTTACCTATGGGAAGAAACCACAAGAAGGGAGATTCACCGAAGACTTCCTTAAAATTTTGGTACATTCCTTTATTGTAGTATTTCTGTGAGATGGGTGGAAGAAATTTACGCATAAAGACAAGCATGAGTATGCATGTATGCAATAAGAACACATTGGCATAAGCATAAGGGCACTAACAAATTTGCACGAACATATAAAGTTCAACATTATTGAAAATAATTTATTACTGAATATGACTGATTTCGGTAGTTTGTCTGTTTCTCGCAAAATTCGATTGTAGTCATTGCCCTAAACATAAGCCTACGGGAAAAAAAAAAAAAAAATGAATAAATAATAATAAAATAAGACGAATAAACAGAATAAAAAAGAAAACGTATAATTCAAAAAATTGGCTTGTTCATTGTAAAAAAAAAAAAAAAAAAAAAAAAAAAAAAAAAAAAAAAAAAAAAAAAAAAAAAAAAAAAAAAAAAAAACGAAAAAAAAAAAAAAAAAAAAAAACGTAAAATTCAAAAAATTGGCTTGTTCATTGTAAAAAAAAAAAAAAAAAAAAAAAAAAAACGCAAGTAAAATCACAAACAAAATCACATATTAAACTATTTATTTTTATTTACCATATGTGAAAAAATAAGAAACATGTGATGATAATCGCTAGGAATGAGTTTAATGTTTCTCCAAATAATAGTAAAAATAACTCATTAAAGGGTGTCTAAATGAGGGAAAAAAAAAAAAAAAAAAAAAAAATTAAATTGTACCAATAAATAACTATTTCGAAGTGATTATCCTTGTCAATTTGAAAATACAAAAAGTTTAAACTCTATTTTGTCTATTCTTCTGATTATATAATCAACTCAATTTTGTGTGCTATATCCATTTCCTATAACACACATGGATAAGTTTATCTACTAGTGTCCTCCAAAAAAAAATTTCCTAAATGATAAACAAAAGTTAATAAAGATTATTTACCTCTCTGTGACTTATGGCATCCCGAACCGTATTGAACATGGTGATTGAAACGAAAACAGTAGTTACACAACAATATATTAAGGAAAGCATAAAATATTTGTGATTATTATATCCAACACAATTATATATCCAAGGACAATGGTGATCCATTTTTAATATGCACGTTTTACAAACACGACAATGATGAGTTCTGTCAGGTTTAAATTTACAACACCACTTACAATATCGTCTTTCTCCTGTTTTCTTCTTTTCTAATAAATAATTATCCATATGATCTACAAAATTTTCTTGATGATCTTTAATATCCCATTCATCGGTGTTTGGAATTGCCCCTGGTGCTACTACTATGGATAGGATGTAATTCACCAAGTACATTATCAAGAAAAAGTGAAAAATTACTACTTCTACTATTCCTCTGCAGAGAAAAACAAGTGAAATGGAATAATAGAAAATTCAGGAATAAATTTTGTAAATTAACAATGTAATATATTCACACACTAGCACAGAAAAAAAAAAAAAAAAAAAAAACGATTAACGCAGTAAAATTAAATTCCTATTTTATTCATCAAAATTCCACTAAATAAGGAAAACATGTAATGTCATATACACAGCCTCACATAAAACATTGTACTCATAAACATACCTCTTCATATCATAATTTACGTACTCCTTCCTGTGACTTTTCATGATTAGTGGTAAACAGTGGTACTACAAGGAAAAGGATAAAAAATTCGAAATAATCATTTTTGCATTTTAAAAAGAAATAAATAATAATCATTTAAATTTTTTTTTTTCTTTTTTTTTTTTTTTTTTTTTCACGTAGGATTTTGTTAAAAAAATTCTCATTTAGCATCATGATAAATGAACATTTCTATAATGGAGTCTTCCTATTTTCTATATAACTATCACTAGAAAATCTTTTACAATTCACTTACCATTATATATATGAGGTAAATTACAAATAAAATAAGAAAAATGAAAAATACAGGTAACATTCTAACAAATTTACTTTTGTTATTTTGTATTGTGAACATTTCTGTTGTGTTATTCTGCTTCTCATACTGTTCAGAGGTATATTCATACTTGTGTTCGTTATTGAACCCTGTAATAACTTCCTCATTAGTAGCCTTACTGGATTTGTCTACAGTTGAAGCTTCTCCTATTATTTCTTCTTTTACATTCTTTGTTACTTTTAAGATGCACTTATCTTCGGAATATTTTCTGCTATTCTCGCTTTTCTTTTTCTTCTGTTTATTTTTCTATAAATGATCATGTGAAAGAAGAGAATTTTATGTGGAGAAATTTATGGATAAAATTTATAGGTAAAAAATCCACGACACTCCCAATAAATAAATTGAAATAACATAAATTTTTATGCATTCTTTAACTATACTGGGGCACAAAAAAATAATGTAAATCGAAAAGGAAAGTTAGGCAGAAGTAATATCATAATGTAGCAATGCAAAGGTGCAACAAAAAGAAATACAATAAATAAGTCGAATATACACACCACGTTCGAGTATTTAATTATTTGTTTATTTTATTTTATTTTGGCTTTCCATCATACGCACCTTCGTTTTCTTTTTTGTATCACCACTAGAGTCCGCTTTGTCTGTTATCACAGTTATTTTACTATCATCGTCTAAAATATTTCCCGTATTTTTTTCTCCATTTGCATTTAACATTTTATATATAATGTTAAAAAGAGTGATAAAGGGGAAAGGAGGATAATAAGGTAATATGTGTTCCTCTATATTATGTGTAACATAATGATTTTATTTTTTTATTTTTTTTTGTTTTTTTCCTGTTTCTTCTTCTATTGCTATTACTACTTCTGCTTTGTTCCTTTTTCTCGTTAATCTACTTAACATGTATCTTCCGTTAGAATTTTAAGTTTCGGTTACATATCTTTTACACTATTTATGCTTAATTATTCCATTCACACATATATACATAGTTGCACCAATATAATCGGGCACATAAATAGAGTTTAGTTTCTATTTATGTGTTTTATTGTTCTCTTCAGCGTTGTTCTGATTGGAGAAAATCGGGTAAAATCAATTTTTTAATTGTAAGAAAAATAATGAAATGGAAAGAAAAACGGGAAAGCACATTAGAAAATTGATAATCGAATATGTTGATGATTTAACTTTTCTATTAATTGTTTAACTTGTCTATTGATTGTTTAACTTTGTCTATTAATTGTTTAACTTGTCTATTGATTGTTTAACTTTGTCTATTGATTGTTTAACTTGTCTATTGATTGTTTAACTTGTCTATTGATTGTCTAACTTTGTCTATTGATTAACTTGTGTATTGATTGTCTAACTTTGTCTATTGATTGTTTAACTTGTCTATTGATTGTCTAACATGTCTATTGATTGTTTAACTTGTATATTGATTGTCTAACATGTCTATTGATTGTCTAACATGTCTATTGATTGTTTAGTTTGCTTACTAGATGCCTAATATATGTACTTGCAGGCAAAAAGTAGCGTCAGAAAGAAATGCATATATTCACAAACAAACAAATGAAACATGAAAAATTTTTTTTTTTTTTTTTTATGGATACATATTAGTATATATGTACGCACATGCATTGTACGTTCCACCCAATATGCTATAACAATTTTATACAAAAATTAATTTCGTAAAAATAAATGATATTATACCAAAAACTACATGCGTAAAAATACAGTAGTAAACATAAAAATCTAAAAAAGAAAAAAAAAAAATTTACATAAAGAAAATAAATTACGTTAAAAATTAGTATATACAAACAAACAAAGGTTTTTTTTTTTTTTTTTTTTTTTTTTAAAGCTATAAATAATTAAATAAAAAACGGGAAAAAAAAAAAAAAAAATAGAACGGAAAATAATACTAAAGAGCGTGCAGGTGGGGGGAAATTCCTTTCCTTTTTACACACATATTTAATTATTATATTTGCAAAATGTCATATATGTATCTTTTCCTAAGGTAAGACGGATAAATATTGTGTAACAAGTAGTATGGGGGATTATTGCAAAGTATTACACAAAGGGAAACTATGAAAAGTATGTAAATTCTCATGATTAAATAATCATGACTTAGTGCGTATGATTATGTTACGTATAACTAAGCAGGTGTAACTGAGAAAGCTTAATCAAATATAATTAACCAATGTTGCGAAAAAACATACTTAAACAAAAAGGTACCCCATTGATTTTTGTCAAAAAAAAAAAAAAAAAAAAAAAAAAGTAATATAAGACTGGAAATATAAACACTTATTGATGCTAAGCGGATAAATGTTTTTTTCATGTAGCTGTATAAAGTGGTTAAGGATCATTACATCAGATCATTTGTCCAGAGAATAAAAAATACGTAATCAAAATTGTGCTTAAAAAAGTGTTGTAACAAAGGTGTGCTCATGAAAATGTAAAAAGGTAAAAAAAAATTAAAGTAATGTGACTTATATCTCAGTTATTTCAGTTTTTCTTTTTACACATAAAGTTTAGGAACATTGAAAAGTGAAGAATAAAATGTCATAAAATTTTTAGAAGGGGTGATGGTGATCCAGATAAAGGACATTATATTATAATGAGTTTACATATGTGTATGTACAGGTGGATATATACGTAAAATGGCATATTGAGCATAATCGTTGGTATGAACAATATCCCAAGTAAATATAAATTTGTTCACAAGGGAAGGGGGGGAGGCAACTGAACAGCTCGAAATGAATGTTACAGGAGGTAGACAAAAAAATAAAATAAAAAAAAGTCTTTTATGTGCTCACAGTAGTCATGTTTAATATCCAAAATATTAATGGCATAAATTCTAAATATTAATCAAGAGAAATGCCTATTTTTCATTTCTATCTGTTAAAAAAAAAAAAAAAAAAATCATTACGAAATGTTTTCGCGTGAAAAACTTTTTTCAGGCTAAACTGCTTTCCTCTGTTACATTACAATACTGCTTTATACTGCTTTATACTGCTTTAGTTCTGTTTTCTTTTTTTTCATGTTATATATTCTCCTTTCTTTTGCTTTTTAATTGCTTCTATATAGCTTTTAAAGTACTTTTTGAAGGAAAAGTTGACATATAAAAAAAAAAAAACTTAATTCAGTATATCTATCTTTTGACACATTATATAAGTATGTAAACGCATATTCCCGTAATTATACAACTAAACATGTACGCATGATTCACCTTTACAGTTTTTAATTTATAACAAAGTTTTTTTCAAGAGATGAATTTGATTTCTCATTTTACATTTTTTTTATTTTTTACTTTAATTTTCATTTTCTTCTTTGTTGTTGTTCACTATGTATATAGGACATTATAAAAAGAAAAAAAGTGTAAAAGGAAAGCAAAAAGACGAGGAAAAAGAAGGGTTAAAGTTGTAAAATAATGCACACGTAAGCATTTAAAAAATGGTGTTTTCCAATAAATTTTTAAAATCGTCATTTATTTTTTTTTGACGTCTTCGTTTTGTATATTAATAAGACTATTTTTTTTTTTTTTTTTTTTTTTTCACTTCTATTATGTCAACTATCCTGAATTTCTTTGGCTATTTATTCAATGCTTCACTTCGCTTTTTCGTTTCTTCACTTTGTTTTTCCCATTTTTAAACACTAATAGACAAGTTAATTTACCCTCACTGCGGGAATTGCAACATCAGAAGATTAATTCAGAATTAAATAAAAACAACTCACCGTTGGATTCCATTTAACAATTTTGCAACTTTCACTACTTGATTGACATTATTTCCCTTTTTTTCCTCCCTGTATAATGAGAAAAAATAACTTCATCATGAAAATCGCTGTGACGAAAGGAAAGAAAACAATGAATCGTGTTTCATTTAAATTTTTTTTCCCATTTCTTTCAGCACGCGAAAATGTGCGTGTATGAATTTGAAGAAATGTATACGATTTTCCCCCATTTTCACTCATAAATTTTTCGTGCTAATCTATTCACATCGTCGATTTTTTTTTTTTTTTCTTTTATTTTTTTCGCGACAAATTATGATTACATGGAGCCAATACATCCATATTCGTACGTATCCACATGGAAGGTGTATAATTACAGGTGCGCATTCACATGGTGAGACCATACATTTTGAATTCGATAAACTAGAATAGAAAAATTTTTAAAATCTTCAAAATATGTATACAGGATAATACACTATTGGTGGAGTACTTTTTTTTTATCTGATACATCTATCATTGCATAATCGAAAAAAAAGGTTTAACTAGGTATTAATTTCACACATATTTACTGCAAACATTTTGTTAAGATGTATTCTGCAGAAATTAAAAAAAAGGAAGAATTGCAAAATGAGACATGTTCTATAAACTACTCCCTCATTATCTATACTTTTTTTTTTTTTTTTTTTTTTTTGGTCATATATTCTTAATCAATCTTTTCAAAGTGTTCTTTAAAAGGGTTAGTAACTACCTACTTTGACTTGCTTATAATTAATATGCAATTATCATGATAAAAATTGATCTCAATACATTATGTTAGAATAGTGAAAGTTGTGAATAAACGTTTTTGATAAACTTGATTTCTGTTCTTTTTTCATTTACTTTGTTTATCTTTCTCCTACTCGTTCTGTTTTACCTTTCCCCCCACCCCATCAACTTTCTTCCTCCTCCTTCCATTCATCGCTAGTAACTGAATAAAAATGAAAATCAAAAGAGGCGAGTCACGGATAAGATGAATGAAGATAAGGACGACTCTGATTCTTCTCCTTACACCTTGGAGAAGGAAATTTCGAATTTATACAGAAAAGACAATTATATGAAACATTGCCACGTTAACGATTTCATCGAACCAATAGAATTAGAAGCTGAAGTTCATATTTTGAAAAGGGAAGAACACAAGACATTTAAGTTAGGTGATATTTTAGAATCATTAGAAAATGAAAAGCAAAAAAAAAATGAACAAGAGTATGACAATGACGATGACATTATTCTACCAAAATACGTAGAACATGAGAAAACTGAACAAGAAGAAGAGATTGAAGAAAGAATAAATTGTGGGATATATTTACACGAAGTAAATATAACAGACAATTCATATTTATGCCATAATGATATAATTGATGATTGTTCTAATCCGGTATGTATAAAAGGTGATATGTATGTAAATAATACTATCCATTTTGAAGATTCTTCAACCTATAATTCATTATATAAAGTTCATAAAGTAGAATGGTTCATAGGTTTAGAAATCAATGAGAGACGAATATATGAAATTATTCCCTGTAACCAAGGCATGTGTTTCCAAATCCCATTTGAGGCATTAGGAAAATACATTTTTTGTAAGGCCTATAGACGTGTTTATGTAAATTCAGAATTTCAGAAAAAAGGTAGGAATACCATTATCGATCCCCATACTTTAGATACGAAACCTGTAAAATTTATTGTGGAACGTAAATGTATAGAAAAATGTTCTATTACATCTAAAGGACCCGTTTTCATATCTATAAACTCTGCTTTCCAAATTTTGAAATTTTTATGTAATAATAATTTTTCAACCCAAGTAATTATTGAAGATCCGTTAGAGAATATTAACAATTTATCTACCTCATCATCACAATCTGATGATGATATGACAATTACAACTACGTCAGATATGATGAATCAGCAGAACCAGAGACAGCGCTTTATTGCTACTTTATCTGTAAATTTTGATGAGATCAAATTTTGTTTACAAAATAAAACAATGGATAATATGGAGGAACAACAAATAAATAGGCAAGAAAAAGAAAATCCTGCATTTAATTCTTTTCCTTTTTTTGAATTCAAGAATAATCGTGACAATTGTTCTTCCAATTCGAAGGGAGAAACTTCGAAGAAATCTAATGAGATTATGAATAATGAGAAAAACTCAAAAGAGTTACAAATAGATGGGGGTAGGGCATACAAATGGGGACTTAGAAAGGATGACCACAAAACTGAATTAACATTCAACTGGTATGAAGTAGAATTCAGATTACACAATAAAGACGACTGTGTTGTTATAAGCATTGCTATGGATTTACAAAAGTCTTTTAGATTTGTTAAGTACAAAATGATAACTATCAAATCGGTTATGAAAAGCATCAACTCAAATGATTTATGGTTGATTTTAATAGCTTTTAAATCTGCGTTTCCGTATAAAAAGCTTTTTCAAAAAAAATCCAAAATAATATATACCAATACGAATATTTCATTTGTTCAAAATGTCATAAATGATTTCTTGATTAAATCCGCCGAAAAAAATATCAATGAAACTATGCCTCTTCAAAAAATGAACACAATTTTTAACCAGATTCGGTAAACGCAAAAGGAACAAGAAGTGCATAAATATAAATACATTCCATATATAAATATACTCCTTTTTAATGAATTCCTGGAATGTGATAAGAGCCATGGACATACAGCAATAGGACCTTCAAGCTGCTAGGGAAAAAACGCGCAGAACTTGTTTTCAAGCATATGTATGTACATATACATAGAAGTACACATTTTTGTGGTTATTTTCCCCCCCCCCATTAATTTCTATTCATTTATTCACCATTCCGCAGAACTGTGTGTTTTAATAGCGATTCGTCAACCCATTTCCACATATATTTCCACATCTTTACACATGTATATGATGTAAAACCTTTTAAATGATCTTAAGTGAACGCTCTAGCAACCATATATAATATGTAGTGATAATTAATTGAAATTTTTAGTACCTCTGGAAAAGTCGTTTTTACCTTCATTCAAGTGATATATTTTAAAAAGGCATTTTTTTTTTTTCTTTTTTCTTTATAACCTTCATAAACATGTAAACTGACAAATTTGATAATAAAATAAAAGGACACATAAAATGTTCTTTACTTTTACCGTAAATATGTAATGGGAACAGGTAAATTGATTTCTTCTTACATATTGTGATGTTTACATATCGGTGTGTGTTACAAGTGTGTTTTATAAATAAACTAAAAACAAAAAACACACCTCTGGATGAAATGTAGCAAAAATTGATAACATGCTGTTTTTCACCCCATAATGTATTTTATACGTCTCTCTTTTTGCTAAGCTTTGTTTTTTTCCTTTTTTTTTTGGCCTATTTTAAAAAATAAAATTTAACACAAAAAATTGTTTTTTCCACGTTGAGATGAATGAAAAAATATATAACCCAAGGAACGAAGGAAAAAAAAAAAAAAAAAAAAAAAAAAAAAAAATTACAAAAATCTAATAGATCCTTCTTGTGATGTATTTACCAAAACAAAACATATTTTTCTTCTTAGGTTAAAAAAACATATGTACATTCATATATATATATATATATATGTATGCGCACTAAACTGATGATTGCACCCCTAAAGTAAAGGAATTGATGCATATAGGTGACGAAACGAACGCTTGGTTCTCATGAGATAGAGACTTTCTTGTGAATGAATTTTGTAAAATTACAGAAACTTATATTGTTGTGCATAACCTGTATATTATATGAAGTGAAGCTATGGTGTTATAACAATATAAATAAATATTGTATGCATTTTAAGCCAATAAGTAATTGGAAAATTCCAAAGAATATTATTAAAATGTTTTTTTTCTCAATAAAACAAAAAAAAAAAAAAAAAAAAAAAGTAAACACTTCCTAACCCCTACATGTTTGCGAAAGAATTGTAAGGAAAAGAAAGGATTAAAATTTCATCTATTAAAAAGTTGCTAATGATGAAACTCTTTCGAAAGCTTCATTTTACTAGCAATTAAAGAAGTGTTAAGCTAGAGCCATTTCACATTTTTTAAAAATATTTCCTCCATTTCTTCCATTTCTTCTATATCTTCTATTTTTTTTTTTTTTTTTTTTTTTTTTGTTTGTGCAGTCTTTGCAAAATTAAGAAAAATAATATAAAATAAACAGGCAGAAAGGAAGAACAACAGGAGGAAGAGAACAAAATATTATTTTAACACAGCAAAACACAAGCGTGAAAGGGAGAAACCAACGTGTGTCCCCACTTTCCACCTTCACCTAGGAAGAGTTAAAAAAAAAAAAAGAAAAAAAATATAACATAAAAATTCAGTACGAACAAGTAAAAAAATCAAAACTGGGAAACCAAGTAAACGAGAAATATGGAAGTCGATCATAATAGTACGTATGACCAATCAACTTTAGTAAGTAAAATATGTGCCTACCTAGATCCGCATATGATTCAGATAATTCTGAGTTGGTTGAAAGAAAATAAGGTATGTCAAACATTCAATGGAAAATTACGAAATATTGAGGTGATCACGTATAGAGTACTGTCCTCTCTTTCAATTGTAAAAATACAATCAGTCCACTTTACATACATGTGTTCGTTTTTGTGGAATATTAGTTTTTAGTGTTCCCTATGCTGTTCGCTTCATTATATTTTGCAGTATATATATCATAAGATAGGTGCAGTGCATGATTCTATTTATTTTTAAAGTTTATTTACTTCACACTATCTGGTTCACACTCACACCCACCTACAGGTAATGAATGATGGAGATATCGATCAGAGCCTTGGGGTACTGAAAGAAGGTTACGAAAAGGAAATTATTAGCATCGAAAATGAATTCACGAACGGAAATAGAGGAGTGATAACGAATTATCTGGATAGCTTAGAAATTGAAATAGAAGAATTTCAGGATGCTATGAATGCATATAAAAATGATCAAGTAAATAAAATAGGAGGAGCCGTGGAAAAGAAGAGTATAATGGCACTACGAGAATGGTGTAATTTAAATGTATTAGAAAAAAATAAAACATACAATTTTACAGATAATATAGATGACAAAATTTTAAAGTTAAGTAGATATTATTATCAAAAAAAGGACTATCAAAAGAGTAAACAGCATTTGCTACTATACATTTTGAACATATCCGAAATTGTAATTAATGTTTCTGATTCTCCTAAAATGAGATTATGTTATTGGGGTATTATTAGCAACATTATTAACACCTTTTTTATGAACCTAAATAATGATGATTATATGTTGATAAAAACAGAAGAAGGGAAATTAATTGTGAGAGAGGAAATAGGAAATGAAATAAATGTATGCATAGAAACAATTGTTAAATTAAGTCAAATATTGAATAAAGATAAGGTTCCTAAAAGTGAAATTATATTACAAAGAAGTTGGTTAATTCACTGGGCACTTATTTTAATATTTCATTTTTTTATGTATTTAATATATGTAAAAAGTATATATCCAAAAAATAACTCCTTTTCTATGTTACAAGATTGGTTTATTGATGAAAAAAATTTAGCAATTCTTAATTTAATATGTCCACATATTATTAGATACTATTGTGTATATGCAATATTTTACAGAAATAGAAAAGATCATTTTGAACTTATTCTCAACACTTTAAATTTGTTGAAACCGAAATATACTGACCCATTTACTTCCCTATTAATATCTATATTTACTGAATATGATTTCAATATGGCTCAAACATGTATTGCACAGTTAGGATCCATATGTGAAAAGGACATTTTCTTATTTAAGTTAAAACCATACATAGAAGAACAGAGTAGATATATAATCTTCGAAACCTATTGTCGTATTCATAAATCAATTAATATAGATATGATTGCAAATAAAGTAAACTTACCTAGGGACGATGCAGAAAAATGGGTTGTTAATCTTATCAGAAATGCAAAGTTAGATGCTAAAATTGATAGTGAAAAAAATTGCATCGAAATATCAACCACCTTGCCAAATTTATATCAACAAGTTATCGATAAAACACAAAACTTAACCATGAGATCCAACTTTCTTGTTCAAGTTTTAAATCGATCTTCAACAGATGAGCATTTTCAGAAAAATATCCGATTTAAAAATAAACACGAAAAGGGTAAGCCACCAAAGAAAGGTAAACAATACAACTCAATGTATAATAACAACAAAGGTGGTAACGTAAAGATTATTTCTCCTAATATGTAATAATTAGTCCCATTTGCCATAAGAATGACAAGTATTATTACCTTATGTATCTTCGTCCATTTATCTACCCTCCCCTTGGACGTTTTTCCATGATGTATATACATTACAAATATGTGTGTATGAATATATGCACGTATGTACGTGCTTGTTTTATTTATTTCCTTTTTTCTTTTATTTCCTAAACTTCTGGTCTCTGATGGCAATCATCATATCCACCACAACCAGTACCACACCCCTTCCATAGTGTAACCCATTTTGTTATGAAATAAATTGCAAGTTTTCCTCGTTCTGAAAATTTGTGTAAACTTGTTTGTGTCATATGTAATGGCTCATATATGGCTCCACAGTATGCCCCCCCATCCACACACACACACACACACTTATATACCTAAATGTACATTTTTACTGTTTATTTAAAAAAAAAAAAAAAAAAGAAAAAAAAAAAGAGAAAACTTTAAAAATCAGAATTATAACATGTTTAAAAACAATTAGCCTTTTTGCTTATCAAACGGATAGCTGTATAGCCGTATATACCTTATAAAGTGTGTCCCTAAAATGTGTATACGCGAGGGGGAAATAATCACTTGCGAAAATCAAATAAATCATTGAAAAGAATGACAAAAACTATATTGCCAAATCTATGAATAAATATATATCCCCCATTAGTACCTGTCAGACTTAGCAAATAATCTGTGGGCACATTTCATGCTTCATGATCATAAGGCAATACCATTTGCACTTTTTGCTCCTTACAAAAATAGAATCTTATGATGAGAACATACATTTTCTGTAAATTGTAAAAAAAAGGAATCGCTAAAAAAACTCAATTATAAAAAAAAACATGCTCGATGCTGATCAAGCAAGTGGAGGGAGAACTAGGTGTCATTCCCATTAAAAGTCACTTCCTCTGTTTTTTAATTCGTTTGTTTGAGGATAAGTTAAAGGAAGCAAAAAAAGAAAATAAATCAAAGTGATCAAATATTTTAAAGGTTAAAAAAAAAAAAAAAAAAAAGGAAAATACACATTATGTGCACAATATATATATATGCATAAAATGCAATAAAAAACTATTAAACTTTTTTTTCGCCATTTTAAAGCAGCAAAAGAAAGAAAAAAAAATTAATATCATTAGCATATACACAACTGGTTTCCATGCATAAGCATTTGTGTACTACTTGTATTTTTATTTTATCCCATTGTAAAGGTAGTGCTTTTTTTTTTTTTTTTTTTTTTTTTCTTAGAATGATATATAATAAAATTTAGAAATATTTATATCCGCATCCTGATCTGAGGGAAAGATAGAAAAAAAAAAAAAAAAATTAAGCACATTTTCAACCCACCAATTTTAAACTGTTTTAAAGAAAAAATTTATAAAGAAAAGGATTAACAGAAGGAATGAAGTATATATATTGGGGTAAATCCTAGTAAATACAGCCTATAGAATGATGACATATTTTTAGTTTTTTATATCTTTTTTTTTTTTTTTTTTTTTTTTGCCTAATTTTTTTATTTATCCTTTTTTCTGTATGTACAATTTTTATGTTAATGGGTTGTTATGTATATTCATAAAATGTAACCTAATTTGAAAGAAACTATGCAGATATAAAAGAAGGGGAAAATACCTTCGAAAAGGGAACACGTTATTTTACGGACCGTTTAGCGGGCCATTTTGCAGACCATTTTGAAGACCATTTTGCAGACCATTTTGCAGACCATTTTACAGACCATTTTGCAGACCATTTTGTGGACCATTTTGTGGACCATTTTGCAGACCATTTTGCAGACCATTTTGTGGACCATTTTGCAGACTATTTTTCGACCCATTGAAGAGACGATTCATTTTGTATTCTATGAAAAATGGAAGAATGAAATTACAAGATAGGCCATACGAAGGAGAAATATTAATATTGTCAACAAAAAATACCATATGTTGTACCCATTGTGTATCTTACATATGCATAAACATATGTATAGGCACACGTTCGTATAGCATCCCAGAAAGAAGAGAATATATTTTCTACCTCATTTTAAGCCAATACACATATTCTCCATTTGGTTGATTTACCAACACATGCTTTTACGTCTGAACATATATCCTCATTCTGTGAGTAAACTGTATATTCATAGTCACATCATCCTTCTCCCCCTCTTCCCACCCAAAAAAAAAAGAAAAACCAAGAAAAGTTTTACCATAAACCGAAGGATACATTCCTATTTAACTCTGCAAGAATGTCAGACCTGCGGTATTTCCAGACAACAAAGAAGGGGGAGATTCATGAGCTAAAGGAGGAACTACACTCTTCTCATAAGGAAAAAAAAAAGGAAGCCATTAAAAAAATAATTGCTGCTATGACGGTTGGAAAAGATGTCTCTACACTATTCTCAGATGTTGTAAACTGCATGCAGACATCTAATATAGAATTAAAGAAACTCGTTTATTTGTACGTAATAAATTACGCAAAGGCGCAACCAGAATTAGCCATTTTAGCAGTGAATACATTTCGAAAAGATTCATCAGATCCAAATCCATTAATCAGGGCATTGGCTATAAGGACCATGGGATGCATCAGATTAGAACAAATAACAGAATATCTAATTGAGCCTTTGAGGAGGTGCTTAAAGGATGAAGATCCATATGTGCGAAAAACAGCTGTCATTTGTATTGCCAAATTGTATGACATATCTCCAAAGTTAGTGGAAGAAGAAGGTTTTATAGAAACTCTTTTAAATATATTAGATGATAACAATGCTATGGTAGTGGCAAATGCTATAATTTCCTTAACTGATATATGTGAAAATTCTAATAAAAGTATTCTAAGAGATGTCATCAATAAAGATGAAAATAATGTGAATAAACTTCTAAATGCAATTAACGAATGTGTGGAATGGGGCCAAGTATTCATTTTAGATGCTTTGGTTTTGTATGAACCAAAGACTAGTAAAGATGCAGAGAGAGTTCTAGAAAGAATATTACCCAGATTATCTCATGCTAATTCAGCAGTTGTTCTTTCATCTATTAAGGTTATTTTAAGCCTATTAGATAAGATTAGCGATAAAGAATTTATTAAAACTGTTCATAAAAAATTGAGCCCATCGCTAGTTACTCTCTTGTCAGCTGAGCCGGAAATACAATACATAGCATTAAGAAATATTAATTTGATAACTCAGAAATTACCGAACATGCTAGCAGATAAAATTAATATGTTTTTTTGCAAATATAACGAACCTGCATATGTAAAAATGGAAAAGTTAGATATAATTATTCGCCTCGTTTCAGATAAAAATGTAGATCTTGTTTTGTATGAATTGAAAGAATATTCAACAGAAGTAGATGTAGAATTTGTAAAAAAAAGCGTAAGAGCTATTGGTAGTTGTGCTATAAAGCTACCACAATCTAGTGAAAAATGTATAAATATTTTACTAGATTTAATAGATACCAAAATTAATTACGTTATTCAAGAATGCATAGTAGTTATTAAAGATATCTTTCGTAAATACCCAAATAAATATGAAAGTATTATTACAATACTGTGTGAAAATTTAGAATCGCTAGATGAATCAAATGCGAAAGCGGCTCTTATATGGATCATTGGTGAATATGTAGAAAGAATAGAAAATGCAGATGAATTGATAGATTCATTTTTAGAAAACTTTACAGATGAACCATATAATGTACAATTACAAATACTAACAGCTAGCGTGAAATTATTTTTAAAATGCTCAAAAAATACTAAAGATATTATAACGAAAGTCTTAAAATTATCAACAGAAGAAAGTGATAACCCTGATCTAAGGGATCGAGCATTTATTTATTGGAGATTATTATCCAAAAATATAGAAATTGCTAAAAAAATAGTTTTAGCTGAAAAACCACCAATCCAAGAAGAAAATAAAATTACAGATATGAAAGTTTTAAATAAACTAATCAAAAATATATCCATGCTTTCATCTGTTTATCATAAACTACCAGAAACATTTATTTCCAAAAAATCAAGTTATATATTCCATAGTGATCAAGACGACGATGACAACAATATTGATAATATGGATGATTATAATGTTGTTAAAATTAAGAAACAAATGGAAAGACAAAAATATGAAAGCTATTCTAGTGATAATAGAAAATCAAATCAATCAAGATCATCCAGCGAATCTTCTAACAATTCATCTGATGATGCCAATGATGATAAAGATGATGAAGATGATGATGATAGTAAAAAGTCCATGGATTTAATTGGACTAAATGATGATGAACCAACAAACACAAAACATAAGAGAACTGCACCTGCACCACCGGTTAAATTAGTTCAAGTTCTATCTCCCGAAGATACAGGTCTAAAGGGACAAACCGGATTATCTATTCTATCTTCAATAAATCGTATAGAGGGTAATTCATTCATTTTTCATTATTGTGTGGTGTAGTGATAGTTTACACTTGTACATCTAACCTATTTATCCATAAAAAGCGTTTTCTTGATATTACCATTTTTAGTAATCTTTTGATCCCAAAGTTGCCAAGTTCCTTTTTTTTTTTTTTTTTTTTCCCGCTTATCGACCGGTGTAACGCTTATTTTTTCCTTTTTTTTTCCCAATTTACAGGAAAAATTCAGCTAAAAATTGCGGTGACGAATCAGACACCAAACCCTGTTGTTATATCGGGAGTGCAGATAAACAAGAATTCGTAAGAAAAAAAGATAAGAAAAATAACTGATAAAACAAAATAAAAAAAAAATAAAATAACACGTGTCCTATGATTGTTCCGCTAATTTGATGAACATTACTATTGTCATTATCTGTGTATACATTTTGCATGGTTGTTTTTCACGAATCCGTTTTGAATCATTTGATATAACCTCCAACTCTGTAACCCTGTGTTATTATTTTCTCTTTCACTATTTTACTTTTTTTAGATTTGGTCTATCTTCGCCGAACAATTTGGATATTCAGAATGTTTCCTTTGGAGAGACCAAAGGTAAGCGACAAGAAGCTGAAGAAGCATATTTAATAAGTCCATTAAGTCCCTTTCCCTTTTTTCTATTTTTCTTTTTTTCTCCAAGCCAAAATTATATTCTTTCCTTCATGTTATGCCACTTTTTAGAAATATTAATATTGCTCGTCCCAAATATGCTAAATTCGAACACTCCTCCATCTACTCCATTATTTTTACAAGTAAGAAGCAAAGAGGAATGGAATACATGAGATAGTTATTTTTATTTCATTTATTTTTTTTTTATTTATTTTTATTTTTTTTGTCCTGCTTCCGTATGATAAATTGCACATGGCGAAATATTGCAAAAAGCACTTGTGTATTGACCATTTTCTCACCTTTCTTTTATTCTTTTTTAGGTTGCCATAAGAACGAGCATAGATATTTTTTACTTTAATGTTCCATACGATATTTTCATCGTTTTCGTTGAAAATTTTAATATGGAAAAAGATATTTTCAAGAAAAAATGGCAGCTTATAGAGGATTCAAAGGAGGTATACACAAAATATGCACGTGTGTGCAATTTATTTGAAATAACCACATATGTACAATTGTTTTTACTTGGAAAAAATAATTCCTGTTATACATTTTAACTCTTCAATTTTTTTTTTTTTTTTCTTTTTTTCTAAGAGCATACTAATGGCTTCAAGTCCAATGGTTATAACTTCTGACATACTTATAAAGAGAATGAAAATTTTCAATATTTCGCTGATAGCTCGAAGGAATGTAAATAACGTGGTATGTAATTTGTTAATAAGAGAAATATCCTGTTATGGGACATTGATTTATTCTTTAGTCTGAATTTTTTTTTTTTTTTTTTTTTTTTTCATTTCAACCTGATAATCATTTTCTCATACCCCTAAATGTTCTATTATTCCACTGCTGATTTTTTTTTTTTTTTTTTTCTGTTTCATTTATTCACAGGAATTGTATTATTTCGCCTGCTTAACGACAAACAATCTCGTTATACTTAGCGAAGTGACCATTCATCCAGAAAAAAAAGGTGTCAAGTTATGTGTCAGGACAGATTCAACATCAGTGGTAATTACAAACTTTTTCCCTTAAGCAGATAATTCAAATATGATATATTACTTTCATTTATGCTATGATTATATTTCCGAACTGAGAAAAATGAACGAATTATAATTATGCATTATAGACAATATTACTAACTAATTTTATGTAACTTTTTATTTATTTATTTTTTTTTTTTTTATTTCTCCCACAACAGATACCCTTGTATAAGCTTCTCTTTGTTAAGGCATTTTCGCTAAGTGTAACTCAGACATGAGCAATAGAAACGGAATTACGGAAGAAAAGGAATATCACTGATTTTACATTTTTATCATTTTATCATTTATTATTATTTTTTTTTTCTATTTTTCCTTATTTTGTTTTCGCCATTTTGAAGAATGTACAGCGTATACAATTTAGTACATTTTGTCCCATTTGTTTTTTCCAAATCCCCCATTTATATATATCCTTGCTAAATGTGCGTATGCGGGCATATGCATGTTGAGAAGTACACGATATATATTCATACACATAAATTTGCTGAAACTTTTTAGTCTATTTCTCCCGCTAGCATGTTATAAAAAACGAACATTTTTCAACAATATCAATTTTATTAGACTTGTGCGTTTTTTTCTTTTTTTTTCCTTCTTCCTTCCTTCTTTCTTTTTTTTTTTTTTTTTTTTTTTTTGGTTTCTCCTAACTTTTTTCCCTTAACATGGAAGTTACGTTTTTGTAAATCCACTCGCACATACGAATTTGTGGGAAAGCATATAAATATATGGGCAACCCATTAGTTACAAATAAGAATACTATTTTATTTATTTATTTTATGTTCCACTGCAAAATTGACAAAGATTCATAACATTTTTAAAATGATACTAGTTTTTGCCAAGGGATTGTACAATAATTGAGAATACAAAAGGTAACTTCTTAACAAGTCATCCCTACTTAAGAGTGTGTCATTTCCAAAAAAAAAAAAAAAAAAAAAATTCAACAAGAAGCACACATGGGAGTAAAAAAAAAAACAAAAAACAAAGTGCATGTAATTTTTTTAGGGAAAATTAAAGAAATATCTCCTTTTTTATTTTTATTTTCAAGGGGCTAATGGATTCTTTCTTTTTTTTTTTAAAAGTATTTCTGCTGAAGTTGTTTAGATAAACTAAGAAGGGAGCCCATTTATATTCAAAGTGTTGTTTCTGTTTTTTTACATTTCTTTTTTTTTTTTTTTTTCATTTAGGATGAAACATATTGCATAAAACAAAATCATATTTCTCACACAAATTTTTTCGTTCCTTTTTTTCTTTTTACCTTATAATACATGATTATTTTCAACAAGGAGAAGTTTTTTTTTTTTTTGTTTTTTCTCTCTCTCTTTCGTTGAATTTCTTCATTCTATGATTTAACGTGAAGGAGAAAGGTAAACAACACAATATCCTTCATCCATTTGCACAAGTTGGTAGAAATTGCAAAGAGCAAGAAGAGGCTTATCTTGTAAAGATCATTTGGGTTTGTTTTTTTTCCATTCCTAGCCAATATTATAAAACATATCTTCCACTGAAAACATTTTAAATAATTGATTTATTTTCACCATTGTTACACCTTCAAAACGTTTAAGTATTTCACTAAATCAACAAGAGTTTCCCTTTTTGCATAATTGTAACTTAAAGAGAAAAAAAAAGAGGAAAACTGTTACGCAAGATGGAGAATGTTCAACTAGATAAGCTTAGTTACAATTTCAAAATAAAGGATGTTACGGATATAAGGGACATAAACTTGCAAGCAAAAGAAAACAACATTGAGTTGTTTCATGACAAAATTTTATTAAATGAAGAAAAGAATTATTTAAAGAGAACTGGTTTAATTTATGGTACGCAGGAAGTGTTTAAAAATATAATGGATAGAGAAATTGTAGCCTTGTCAAGAAGATTACCCGGAATAAAAAGCAGTTTACTATCCTTAGACATTCTTAGAAATTCCATCGATAGAATAGAATCACACGAATATATGGAAAATTTATCCCGTTATTCATTGGAACCGCTGAGTGAAATCATTGAACGCAAAATGAATATTTGACGTTACACACTTTTTTTGGCAATGTATTAATATATATTTTTTCTTTTATATGCATTTTTATGCACATTTTTATGCACATTTTTATGTGCATTATTATATGCAATATATTTTTGTATCATGAAGCGTTATTATGTCATCTATTTTATTTTGCATTTGAAAACGAGTGGATGCATCATTTATATATAATGTTAATGAATGGATTTTATAATAGTTAAAGATAAAAAAAGAAAAACGAACAAATTCTGAAAAAGTTGCACTTACATAATTTTATATCAACAGGGTTGTTTTTATCTAGTTCATTTACATTTCTTTTAACGGTTAATTATTTTATTATTATTATTATTATTTTTAAAGATACCAGAACTACTCTAAAAACGTAAAGGTACTCTTCTCAAATTACAGTTTCTTAAGCAGTAGAAAAAGTTGTCCTCACTGTTCATCAAATGAGGAAATAAATCCTCACACCCCACCCTTAACACATGATGATGCAGGCACAAGAGGAGATCACCAATCCCCTGTGTACGCATGCATATTATTATGCTTGTTACTACTAGACAATATGTCCTTGTTCGTGAATGAGATTTGCTTATTTCTTTGGCTTTCCAGTTTTGAGCATTGTGTGATTCTATGCCCTAAGCCACCACAGTAGGAACAGCCCTTAACTCCACCTATTTCTTTTAAGTTTATTCCCTTACTATCTAACATTTCCAGAAAGGGAGGTATTTTCTGTTTGGCTTCAATTAGTAAAGCTTTTAAATCTAGCAAAATAGCTTCTTCTTGATTTTTGTTAATAAAGGTTGTTGCAATTCCAGTTTTTCCACATCTACCTGTTCTACCAATTCGATGTACATAATTTTCAATATCTTTTGGCATATCGTAATTAATTACATGCTCAATAGATGGGAAATCCAAACCTTTCGATGCAACATCTGTACCAACTAAAATATCTTTTTTCCCTTCTCTAAATAAATTAATAGCTTCTTGTCTTTCCGACTGTCCTAAATTACCATGTATAGCAATCGCATTTACTCCTTTTAGTAATAAATATTCATGTACATCATCTACATCTTTTTTATTTTCACAAAAAATTAAAACAGGTGGTCCTGTTTTTTGCAATACTTCTAACAGGTATGACAATTTTAATTCTTCTTTAACATATTCTACTTCTTGTATAACATCTAAATTAGCTGCACCAGCTCTTCCTACATTTATTATTATAGGATTTACTAATGTTGATTTGGCAAATTCTTGAATTTTTTTAGGCATAGTGGCACTAAATAACAATGTTTGCCTTTGACGAGAAAAATGATCTAATGTATTACGCACCTCTTCTTCGAACCCTAAGTCAATTAATCTATCTGCTTCATCAAAACATAAGTATCTACACTGCTCAAGAGTCATCCTTTTTTTATTTAACATGTCGTTCAGTCTACCAGGAGTAGCTACAACCATGTGAATGCCTTTCTGTATTTCTCTCCCTTGCTCATATGTACTTATACCTCCAATCATACATAAACTTTTTAACATTGGAAAATCATCATTATGTAAAAACTCACAAAAATATTTTATAACATTATGTGTTTGTGTTGCTAATTCTCTAGATGGACATACAATAAGACCTAATGGTCCTTCTCCATCTTCAATTTTACATCGCATTTCTCCTTCTAAACATATCATAACTAAGGGTAAAACAAAAACTATCGTTTTTCCACTTCCTGTAAATGCAATTCCAATGATATCTCTTCCTAACAATATAGATGGTAATCCTTGCATTTGTATTTGTGTGGGTTTATCAATTTTTTTTTTTTTTAAAGCTTTTAAAATTGGTTTCGGAAATTTCATATCGCGGAAATTTTTAATTGGTGGTGGTATATCATTTCCACTTACATCAATATAAAATACATTTCGTATTTTATTTACATATTTGTTACTTAATTGTTTATATTTCTTAGGCAATGTCCATATTGTTTTAAAGTTTTCTTTATATACAATACCTTTAGCCCTTTCCTTAACTGATTGTAATGGTGCATTTAAAGCTTTTGATACTTGTGCTAATATTTTTTCTTCTCTTTTTCGAATTTCTTCTGTTTCATCTACTGCATTGTTTTGTGCTTCCAGTCTCATTTTATAATATGTTTCTAGCAAACTTTTCTGCATATTTGTCTTTACTTCATTTTCCATTTTTTTATTCATGTCCTTTTTTATTCCATCCTTTTTCTTCTTATCTTCTTTGTTATTATGTTTTTCTGCATCCTCCTCGTCGTTCTCATTATTTTCACTTCCCATGGATTTTTCACTTGAATCATATTTACTCCCCCGTTTCTCATCCTCTAATTCATATTCATCTTTTCTCTTCTTTTTATTATTTATAAAACTATTTATCAGGTTATCCATGAATCTCTTTTTCCGTGAACTCCTCGGTTCATAAACAAACTCCTCGCTGCTGCTGCTGTCGGATTCATCCTTTCCATGATCAACCTGCACTTTATCTATGTTCTTATTGTTGGAGTCTCCCATTTCGGGCATTCTTATCTGATGATTTTTCTTTGTTACATTTGCGTGCCAACACAAATGTGAAAGGATATATATATGTATGTCTCCACCCCCCTTTACCGTCAAGTGGGTTGATAAATGGGGTTCTGCATGTTTGTCAGAGTAAGTACATAATGTTTGCTTATGTCATACTAAACAGGGGATATATATAGTTGTCCTATTCTTCTTTTTCAAATACCACTCTTTATTAGTAAAAAAAAATATAATAAAATAAAATAACTTTTTAATGAAACAAATTTTGGGCTAAAAAATTAGATATTCTTAGTAGGACAAAAAAAATAAGCAATTTAACTTTTTTTTTTTTTTTTCTCTTATTTTGTGCGTATTGCAAAAATTGTAAAAATGTATATATTTTTTTCCCCATTTTGTGGGAAAAAAAAAAAAAAAAAAAAAAAAAAAAAAAGTAGTAAAATCAAAAGTCGAATCGCAAAGAGTAAATATAAATACCCAAAGGAAATTGTAACATGTATGGTCACTATAATTAGGCACTTATGTTAGTCATGCAAAATGATAATTATTTTCCCCTCATTTTATTATCCCTCTCCATAATCCCATTTAAATATGTTCCAATTTAAATATTATATATGTTACCCTATTATACTTATAAAATACTTGGAAAATATGAAAACATTCAAAAAAAAAAAAAAAAAAAAAAAGTGATAATGACATTTCTTCTGAGATGAAAAGAAAAGAGAAACGTCCCAATTCGATATAAGGGTAAAAAAAATTTTGTATTTCTTATAGTATATCCATATTTATGGCTTTTTAATTTTTACTATCAAAAGTGGAAATCTCAGTACACATAAAAACTTTACAAAACAGGTGGATGATAAGATTAATCAAATGGACATTGTAAAAATCATAGTAGGAAATAGAAGGAAAAATGCGAATATGTGATTAAACTGGATGATCTTATACCATATATATTCAACCTAGTACTGATGTGATAAATGCAAAATATAGGAACAAATTAGCCAAATGTAATATCATTTTTTTGCTTTTTTCTATCAAAAATGCTACTCTTTCCTCTTATATATGAAATTGTCAATCTCTGTACCTCACACATGGTTTCAGAGAATTTTGTTAACGTAACTCCACGAAAAAAGAAAAAAACACATCTGAGGGGGAATGTAGCACTCCTGATTAATTCATGCATAAAAGTTTCAACTCGGACACATCATCAATTGTACATGCTGCATTAGTAGATTTTATTATATAATCAATATTCCACTATGATCCATCTTCTAATTCTAATGAAAAATGTGTTTTTATAAAAAATCACATAAATTTTTTAGCAATTTTTTTTGTAAAAAAAAGAAAACAAAAAGGACTCACATTTATTTTTTCATACATATAATAATGTAATATCAGAATGTGCTAAACCGCCCATAATATATCTCGTCCAAAATGAATGGACAAGTTTATATTTAAGCTGTAATCACAAATTTCACCTTTATCATATAATACGAATAAAAAAAAAAAAAAAAAAAAAAAAAAAAGAAGAAGCAGAAAAGAAAGAATGAAAGATAGAAATAATTGACATTTTACAAAGCGTTCAAAAGAATATCTATTTTGAGATTTATAATAATGTGCAAGAATTTTTTCCTTTTTTCCCTTATGTTTCTCTAATTTGATTGATTCTATAAAGAAAATTTCCTGATTTATACCCATTCAACATAGTTATTAAAAAATGCTATTATTTATACATGAATAAGTCTCTTGCACATATAAATTATTAATTAAATAAAAACACATAATTCGCCAAGTCATTCATTTAATAAAAAATTGTAATAGATATCCGTGTATGGTGAACCCAAAATTGTAATAACAAAAGGATGTGATAAAAACATATTTAGAATTTCATTTTTTCAATATATAATAGTAATTATAACTACTTTTTTAAAAAATAAATGTAGTAATTACATATTTTCCTTTTTTTTTTTTTTTTCTAAATTAAAAGAAAAAAGATATAATAGATTTTTTGGAACAATTATGAAATATAATGAAGTACGAATTTAATTAAAAAATATTTATTTAAGCACGGGTGCCCGAGTGGTTAAGGGGGTGGACTTAAGATCCTCTGGTCACTAGACCGCGTGGGTTCGAACCCCACCTCGTGCAATCTTTTTACAAATATTTTAATTTCTCCTTTGATGAGAATCATTTTTTAAGATAAATAAAATTATTCATTTTTTTTAAAAAATGAAAAATATATTATTTTTCGCATAAGAAAAACAAATACATTTCTTTTTCTAGTACTATAATAAACATTGTAGATATTCAAAAGAAGCAATTTTTTTTGGTATAAATTTTTTTCTCTATTTTATGAATTGAAAAAAGGTTGTTACCCGCTATATGTACATATGTATAATGTATATAAAATTGTACTATAACGTTTGAGTTAATGCAAAAATAAATACTACAAAAATATCTTTTTTTTTTTTTTTTTTTTTTGGACTCGATGAGAATATTTTATTGCTAAAAATTATCAATGGTAATTTATGCAAAAGTAACAATCTGAACAATTTGTTTATGTAAATTATTCAAATCCGATTGTAAAAGGATTTCTTTCTTTATTTTATTTTTTTTATATTTCTCATCTTTTTTGTTTGACCGGCACAATTAGATGGATTAAACCTGTTTTTAATATGTATAAATAAATCTAAAGACAAAAATGAGGCTTATATATACATTGTACAAGATACAATGGTGCATAAAAAACAAATCATATACTCTATCTAATAGGATCTGTACACGACATGAGATAAATTCTAAGCATGGGCAACCTTTAAATCCTTTGCATCAACAATTAAATACTTACAGTATAATTATATTGACGAACTTCCTAGGTTATGTATATATATAAAAACATTACAAATCAGGTCGCATAATTGCTCGCTATATAATCGTTGATTTAAATATAAAAAAAGAAAAATGGAGGCAAAAAAAAAAGCGAGTCAAAAAAGCGAAGAAAAAAAGAAGAGAGGGTACCTGCGCAAAATAGAGCATGTTTTATAAAATTTCTAAAAAAACGAAATAAAAATATTTCTTAAATTGGGTATACAGTTTTTCATTACTTAAAATTTTTAAAATTAATATTACTCGATTAAAGACACTTTTTGTGTGTTACACTCTAGTCACCCGTAGTTACATAAACGGTTACAAAACTAAATACATATAATCACAGATACCTTTTACGATATATACATTTTATATCCTCTTTATTAATGTGAAAAAGTACAAAAATAATCTTCATCAAAAATATTGCAGGCATTTTTGATGAAAAATTATTACGCAAAATGGTGTTAAAAATAGAAAAAAAATTTACTCAAAATTTTCTTTTCATATTTAACAGCCTATTATATTTAATTATTCAATTTTACTAAATAAAAAGATTTTTTTTTTTAAACTTCCAAAACGAATACTTAGAAAAAACAAATTTATATTTATTCATTTAAAAAGAAGAAATATAAAAATTATTATAAAACAATGGAAAAATTATTGAAAAAAAATTCTTCTTTTTTTATTTCCCACGCCGGGACTCGAACCCGGGTCGTTCGGGTGAAAGCCGAATATCCTAACCGTCTAGACTACGTGGGATACATTAATTAATAATAAAATATATATTATATATAAAATTAAATATATATTGTAAAAATTAAAAAAAATATTCTTTTAATGATTGTAAAAATATTTCTTTCTCTATTACACTTAAAAAATAAATAATAAAACCAAGAATTATAAAAAGATAAATTGCATACGTGCTATAAAAAAAAAAAACCATGCTACTCAAATGTGTTGGCAAATACTAAAAAAGAATAGCAAAGTTCTAGTAAATTACCAGCAAAAAAAAATTTAGCAATGTTGGTAGCAAAAATACGAGAAATAATAATGGTAAAAGCTTCCTTGTAAAATTCCTAGTAAAATTCCTAGTAAAATTCCTAGTAAAATTCCTAGCAAAATTCCTAGCAAAATTCCTAGCAAAGTTCTAGCAAAATTCCTAGCAAAGTTCTAGCAAAATTCCTAGCAAAGTTCTAGCAAAATTCCTAGAATAACTATATAAAGCTTTATTAATATACTATTAAAATACTACAACAATTCTTGAAATGTCCTAAGAATTAATCTGCAGCTTAAGCAAAAAGGCATCCGTATTTTTTCATATGAACGAAGCTGGTTTCCTTCTTTTTTTTTTTTTTTTTTTCAAAATAAGCATTTTCTTCATATAGTAAAAATAAATTAAGGAATTACATAGTTTCTCTAATCCTTGGATCTCTTTATTACTTCAGTTTTATTGTTCAGTTTGAGAGACATTTGTATCCCCTTGGAATGCTTTAGTTATATGCAATATGTATATATAAAACCAGAAAGGCTTTCAGCTAATTTCCTAATTTTCCACTTTTCTTCATATTTGTTCCCCTTATATTTGTACACACACAGACATTTCCTTAAAAGAGTGACCAATTTAACTATGCTTAATTGTAGAACTTCTCTTTTAGATTTATGCAAGAGCCATGGGCAAAAAAAATTATGAAAAAAATTAGAAAAATATCTAAAAAAAAATTTTATATTATATGTATTTTTGTTTAATTAAGGTAATGCACACTGTACCTTTTCCAAACAACTATATTAAACAAATTTTAAGTTCTTGTACTTTTTTGTACCATTATTCTTATTATCGCTTCTTTATTGTTATTACTACTTCCCCTTTATTATCAGTTGTCTCTACTGTTAAATTTTTTTTTTTTTTTTATTGTTAAATACTATTTATTTACATTTATAATTAAAAAGTCATTGCAAAAAATTTTAGGAGAAACGTAAAAAAAAAAAAAAAAAAAATTACTACATGAAACAGCAGGCAATCTTAACACTATACCACTTTGTGAAGTCTAATATGAAAAGGCTGGGCGCTTACAAAGTTTACTCTCTTCTTTATTAGAGCAACTCCCGGCACTTTGGTAAATAAACCAACTAACTCTTTCTAGTATATTTTCCTCCACTTGGAGAATTTCATTTATATGTATAACTATTCAACAACAACAACAAGAGTTAATATGTTTCAACATTTAGCTACCTTGTGTGTGTGTGTTTATTGACTACTTCACTTTCCGTGTTCTGTTAATTCGATTCATTGAAGAATCTTTCCTAACACATTTTTATGAGTTCTTATAATTGTATGAACGTGAGTGTGTACTCGTGCTTGTGCAAATGTAAAACTAATTTTTTATAACACACCAGTGTGAATACAAGGGTGCATTCATTTGTGCCTGCATGTATATATATATATATATATATACGTACATGTACGAACTAAATGAAGACAATGTGTACTGTACATTTATGCTACTGTATTAACACCCCTTGATTTACACATATTGTGCATATGTGCTTCATCATAAAAAATTGAAGGATAATTTTGTTCTTAGTTTATCTTCACGCTACCCCACACAAAAAAAAAAAAAAAAATATGCAAAGCATTATTAGCGTAACAACGTTAAAGAAAAATTTTTATTTCTTTGATTTACTCATAACTCACGAATACGTCGTAAATATGGGGAAAAAAGAAAAAAATAAATAATTGCAATCAAATTTTTTAGCGAAACAACTCAATAGTATTATTTTATAGATTTATTTTTCCATTTCTTCTTATTTTGTATTCTTCTACATATCCGTAGTGTATACGACATTTTTTTTTTTTTTTTATTTCACATGTATTAATAAAGTTGTGCTGTCAATGAACTGCTAATTAATGAAAGAAAGAAGAAAAAAAAGCAGCTCCTAAAAGCAGTAGTTTGAAAAAAAATGATTGAAAAAAATTTAGCCTTGTTAGTATTATAATGATTTTCAAAAAATGTATATAATTATTTGTGTTATAATGAATCACGTGAAGAAGTACCTCTTCTTTTACATAGTTGCACACATATTAATTGTCTAAAAATGGAAACATACATATGAATATCAAAAATGTAGTATTGTCTAGTGTGTATCACAATGAAGAAATATGATTCTAACTCTCTTGGTTGTTGTAATAAATGGGATAAAATAGTTGAAGACCATTTAAAACTTTTCCTTAATTAATAAACCTTTTTCTTTTCTTTTTAGGTTACTCTCGTAGGCATGCAACACTTGTTCAACCTACTGTCTGAGGTAAGTCAAAAGTGAGTAAATTATTTTCCCAATCGTGCATACACACATATATATATACACTCATGTGCGTTTATATATGTCTGTACATATGCGCATGCAATATTACCATCGTTTTTATCATATAAGCTGAAAAAAACTCATACAAAAATATTGAGTTTATAATTTTTCTTTTCTACCTCATTCTTCTAAGTTTTATATTTTTTTTTTTTTTTTTTTTTTTTTTTTTTTGAAAAGGATGCTTTAAGTAATCATTTATTTTGGTGCCACTTCGAAGGAGATGTTGTCTTTCTTCAGTGTGAATCTCTTCTTAACACGCTAGATAATAGCTCTAACATTGCTACTGTTACTTTCATGATGAATCATTCCACAAAATTTCGTCTATCCTATAGTAATTCTTAATGAGTGTAATTATACTGCAAATGTCTACAGTGCGCAGACGAACAAAAACAAGATCAGTTTGCCCAATCTCTGTTAATAAGTAATGACAAAGACGCTTCGAAATGTTTGTTTATGATTACATCTTTTCTTTA